GGAAGGGAAGGGGGTAAGTGAGGACTGATGGTGGAGGGTGACGATGAGATGTTTATGTATGTTTTCAACACCCCTTCCATATGAAACGAGACCCTTTGGAGGAACGGGAGACACACACACAGAGAGAGAGTTTGAGAGAAAGACTTGTAGAAAAGAAGCATACATACATACATGCATGTATTTGCCTCCGGAGTTCGAGGTGTAAATCTTACCCATTTCCATTTCAATAGAAGAAGAAAAAACCAAGATTTCACAAAGAATATCCAACATTCTTGCATTAAGAATCTTTGGTATATGAGTATATCAGACGAAGATTCGCGGTGTCTACAACCGTCTGAATTCTTTTATCTATACAAGTAGTATTCTAACTACACGGGCCTTATATTGTTCTCTTGTACTGTATCTGACCACCTCTTGGAGAAAGGCATGCGGATGTTGATTTCTTTTTCTCGTGTTTTCTTGCGTGAAGTCTTTTATCGCGACTCTTTACCGTTCAACGCTGCAAGATAACTAGCTACCTAACCTACGGCTCGAGGTGAAATGGCCGGGTAGAGTATTGCGTTAAGCGAGAAGCAGTTGTGCTTTTGGAACACTGTATTTTGCTGAGAGTAAGATCCGAGGAAATTTCTTAGTCGTCAAAGCTCCTCAAGTTGATCAAGCATGTCGCGTATTAACATTGCCAGTCATGAGCTGAGGTTGACTTCGCCGATAAGGCCTTGCTGGCGTTGCCTGTCTAGTTTTCGTCTTGGGCGTCCAGATTACAAAATTCCTTGTGGTGATAAAAAGGGGCCATTTTCAACTGGCTCAAGCAACTATACACCTCACTCTTCGTATCCAAGATATTTCTTGGGTATCCCAAAATCTCAAGGTGTCTGTACTGTAGATATGCTTCTTCCTCTCAACCTCCAGGCCTGTTCTGTCTGCGCTGATATGGCGCTAAGCGACGACTCCCACGATCGTACCGAGACCCCGTAAAAGGTCCCTGGTATGTCCTTTCCGTATTCCTCCCTCTATTCCCTCTAGGTCGGCTCGGTCCTCTATGACCATGTGATGGCGTTTGGCACTCAGCCTGCTTATTCGAATCGCGCTCGTTATACTGCACATCCCTATCCCAATCTTCGAGAAAGATATAAGGACTTCTCAACCACGCTCTCATCTCATGTAAAAATAATCTTGTATTCTCCCTTCCCAAGAACTCTTGCAACATATCTTCGGCCTGTCCACCACTTCCTTGGATATCAACCGTCTTCAGGATAGCGATTATATATTCTAATAGAAACTCGGCGTTGTTTGCGCGGCGGTCAGAAGAGGTTGCTGCATCTGGTGTCAGAAATTCAAATACTTGGAGTTCTCGCCGTATCCACTTTCGCGCGCGAGATATGAGTTCGGCGTCGTTGGTGAAGAGTTGTGGTGTCAAATCTCGAAATCGAGAAAGGCGATTCGATCCTACGTGAAGGGAGAAAAGTTTGTTTTGGTAGATGTGGCGACGTCTTAAAATTGCTTCGTCTGCAGTAGGTTGTACTCGAGGTTCATACTGGCGTCTTTGGGAATATGGTCTTCTGTGACGAGAGGCAAATATTCGATTCGAGGTATTCGTACTTGCTGGCTTTGCGACTGGTTTGACAGGCACCGTATAAGTCTTGCATTGCTTCCCCTTGAAGTCGTATTTCACAGTCGTAACTTCGGCCTTACAGAGAGGACATGATGTCTGTTCTTCCAACCAACTGATCAAACAGAGGAAATCGAAACTGGCATGTTTGCAAGGCTGCGCTATGGCGAGTTCGGAGATACTCTCGAGACAGATGACACAGCAGTTCTCTTCTTTGCCTGTATCTTCTTGGCGACTGGCGGAGATCTGTTCAAGTGTCGACTGAAGGATTTGCGATCTCACATCTATTCCTGTGTTGCCCATGGAGATGCGAAGATGGAATGGCTAGAGTAGTCTCGAGAGCTTTGGCGGGATGTTGACATCTTGGGGTGGCGGACGCTAGGCGATAATGATAAGGGACCGGATGAGTTGCAGGGATTAACGGGTGGACGCGTTTTTGGACGCGAACCCTTTTTTGGCTGGCGTACTGAACCTGGACCGAGTTCATACCTTTCTAACTACGTAACTTCCTGCCACCACCAATCCGCAAGAATACCGGAAAAACAAAGGTTATTTGGCTTCTTATCGAAACTACCTAGGCATTGGAAGAAGTTCGAGCGCAATCCTTTTACTTGCACAGCACATAGGTATCTTCAAACCGCGTGGCGCGTTCCACCAGCTCCTGGACAGTTTATGGTACACGGCACCATTGAGAGGAATAGGTCTGGAAAATGCAGGAACAGGAGAAAGCGGAGTGGACTGAGAAGTCAGTTGGCATCAGAGCAGAATTGAAGATATGGGAGAGAACTTTTGCTGCGGAAAACAATGGACAGAAAGCTTCGCGCGAAGATATCAAAAAGCACCCGGAAATTGGTACCCCTCACCAGATTCTTATGTCCCAAGGATACAGGCTGACAAAATCTAGCTGCCAAATATAAAGAATACAACAAACTGAGAGATATCATCTCAGGGAAAATCCCACCTCCTAAACTAGAACCGCTTCACCAAACCCCTAAGAAGCGGAAATACGAAGGAAGAGAAACCAGTTCCTCGAAGCGGCAGATAATACAGACTCCCTCTCGAGGTGTAATAAATCCATGGGACGTGGACCCATACGACTCACCATCTGTTGTTCGGAATCTATTTACACCATTGAAGAGAACTGCTATTGGTCCAACACCACAAAAAGACGGACAAGTTTTGGGTTTATTTGATCTTCTGGCAGAAGACGTCTCGCCCTCCAAAAGTGATACTGGCAAGAATGGAACGGCACCACCTATACAAGCTACACCCCGGAGGTCAAAGTCACATCAGGATATATCTCTCAAACCTCGTAGGACTCCGGCTTCCACATCAAAACGACGTATGCTGGACGCTTTTGCGACTCCTTTAAAGAACCGAGACCTCAATGGACAAGGATCCAAAACACCATCATCGGTTTCTAAACTTCACTTTGCGACTCCATCTTTTCTTCGAAGGGATAGTCAACGAATACATTTACCACCTGTTGACGAAAACGAACAAGGTCCAATCTCACCGCAAATGGTCAGACTCCCACGCAAGCCCTATGTAAGAGGTTTGAGTAGTATTCTGGCTGGTCTCAGAAAACAGGAAGACGATGTAGCAGATGAAGAACTCGATATCCTCCGAGAAATGGAAATGGAAATGGAGAACAAACCAGCACCAGGAAAAGGCAACCCAAAACCAGCTCCCAAAGCAGTCCCTAAACCTATACCAGCAAACATCACCGGAGATGAAATCTTAGTAGCAGACAGCCAACCCGGATTCCCACTAGGAGGATTTGACGACGAAGCACAATTCGATTCCAATCCAGAAGAAGAAACCACAAACCTAGACCGCAATGGCCAGCCCCTTAAGGTCTACAAAAAGAAAGGTCAAAAACGCACAACCAGACGCGTAACCATGAAGCCCACACGTACAAAGCCCTCCAGCAAGGCACCCGCCGACTTCGACAGCGACGACGAGCTAGCTGGTCACCACCCCTCAGATACAATTCCCGAAACTCAAAACGCAAATCCGGATGAAGGAGAAGGATTTGCAGACTCGGCAAGAAACTTCGCTTCCGATGATGAACAATCTGAGTACACTGCCTCTGAGGGGGGCACGAGGTATAGGAGACCGAATCAGACGAAATCAAAGGTTATGGGGAGGGATGGGAAGATTAGGAGAGTTGCGAAGAAGGTTACTGCTGCGGCGCATCAGAATTTTAAGAGGTTGAAGTTGAGGAACTCGGGGGCGAAGGGGGGTGTGGCTCATAATAGTCGGTTTAGGAGGAGGAAGTAAAGGCTGATTGGCGCAAATCAGGGCCCAGTAGATTGATGACGGTTCATTGACGAAGTATGAAGTAACGAGACGAGGATTTTTATACTCGAGTATTGGGATTTGTCTGATGTGATTGGTTGAATCAAATAAGTATTGACATACCTGCTGTGGTGTGACAAGTAAAAACTTGAGAAAGATACATGAGAACTTCCAAGGTCGGATTCAAGCATGTTGCTTTACTAACATGATATTGAATCCAAGTTCGCTTCCGGAAACAAAACAAACAACCCTCGTTTTCTAATCTTCAAAGCTCAAAATAATACCTGGGAATTGTCTGAATACGAGTACTCCGTAAGGTAGCTGAAAGGCAGTCGTCGTTTTTTAACTGTAATAAGTTCACAGTCACGATGCTTCGTAAGCTTGCCTGGCCGTATTAGAACGACCAAGAAATCCAATTCTTGGGTATTCTTCTTGAACAATACGCTCCGTACTTGCATATGTGGCGGCGACTGGAGTCCCAAAGTTAGTAAATCCACGTGCCGGAAACTTGAGAAGAATGATTATAAGGAAGTCGAGCAATCGTATCGAACAATAACATCAACGAACGAACCAATCGTGATGTCATCCAAAGACCAAGAAAGAGATCTAAAGAGACCGGCTTCTCATCTCCAAAGAGGCGCTCAACCGAAATTAAGGTTATGGAGAGGCTACGGAGCCCCCAGCCCCCTGAAATTGCCACGCTAAGACTTTCGGTTGGCTGCAGTGAAGGATGCGCCGGCGCCGCAGTGATGGTTGCCGGGCCAAACGCCTGAGCCGTCACTAGTAAACACCGCCAAACCTGTCAAAATGCGAATGGCGGGAAATGCAGCTAGGCATCCAACCACCTCCAATTCTCCCGATACACGTACCCTTTTTTCCCTCCGCCGGACAGGACGCAAGTTGGAAAGGAACACTACACTTTTACACTTTTGCAAGTTTACACCTACAGACAAGATTTTATCTTTCTGATCCATACCCTCTTCCTATCCTCCCCTCCCCACCCCAATCTTCTGTCAAGTACGTTTGGGTTTCTAACATACCTCTTTTTGAAAAATACAAGGAATTTTATTCTCGTCGACGATCACATCGCGATATCGATATTCTTCAGCCAACAATCTTCGATCTAGCCTTGTTGCATTCCACACACACTGCGACTCCAACGTCGCTCCGGAACAGGAGGACGGGAGTGGCAGACTTATACAAACTCGTCGCAGGAGGAATTAAAACAAGATGGCTCAAAGATTTCAAGTCGGGTGGATGAGTAGGTTTTCCTTCCCGAGGAATGTTGGAATGAGGTGGCTAATATGGTTGTAGGGCTGATACCATTCCTCGGATACCACCATGTGTTGATGATTTTGATAGGGTTAGCCATCGTATTACTGTGTATGTCTCTTCCAGAAGCATTCCCAGAATCCCAACTAATGATTTATGTGCAGCTCTTTTACTAGCAGGGTGTTCTTCGTCCTCGCCGTTAATACCGGATATCTTCTTGATTTCGCTGTACTATCAATCATACCCCGCCGTCCCATCCACCGCACAGGCCGATTACAATGTCCACAATGCGATAGCGACGGTCGTAGGAAACGCACGATTAGCAGCAAGAGTCGGGTACTTTGGCATCTGTATCAATCCCGATGGAGGATCCTGGCTGTGCAGTAACAACGCAACGGCATTGGCCAACGAAGTCACCGTTGCAGACGACCCATTGAATTTGATCTGGCTGGCAAGTCAATTTAAGGATATGATTGTTTTCCCGTACCTGATGTAAGCTTTTCTTCCATCTCTTCCCATCAATATCTACCTGTCTCTATGTCCCCGTCTGGTCGTGCTTTGCTAATCCGTCACAGTATCATCGCAATCATCTTCGCCTTCATCTGTCTCCTCCTCCTCGCCACCTTCCCAGGCTGGCATGAAGAAGAAGACACCCACGGCAGCGATCGAGAAGTCAAGCCCTTCCCCTCCCGCCCCGTCTCGCAAATTGCCCTCGCAATCATCTTCATCGCCTCCATCTTCGTTCTCGTCTCGGTGCTCTGGCAACACACCGCTTCCGTCGCGGCATCCATCATCGCGCAAGACCTGGGGAACGGGAGCGTCAGGAGTGGTGTGGGCACCACCGCGATGGTACTCGGTTGGTTCGGGTTCGCGCTACTGATCGTGGTGACGATCGGGTTGCTGGTTATGATTCTGAGTATTCGGGTCCTGGCTGAGACGTTCAGGTGAATCAACAAAACGAACCTTTTTTTTTCTCAGCACTGGGATTTTTTGTTTGTTTATACCATACCATACCTGCGACGGTTCTCTTATGCATTATTGGATTGGATGATTTGAAAAAAAAAAGTATGCCACATAACGACCACAACTCTCATTGCCTCACCAAATGTGAGATGAGGAAGCGAAAAGAGACAGAACCAGCAACGTCAAAAAAAAGGAGAGACGAAGAGATACATCGACGAAACAATATTGATGAATGCGGAATTATTTTTTCTTCCGTTGATTTGTGCATACAAGTGATGAACACCATTTTGCATTTGGGAACGGAGTTGGGAAGACATTTGGGAAATTACGCTTTTTTTCTTTCTTTTCTTCTTTCATACTTTTTCTTCTTCCTCTTACCCGTAGGGTAGGGAAGGAAGATGTACCCTGCCCCACCAGGAAGTTTGAGGTGGCTTTTTGAGGTGGCTTTTCGTGGTGGGATGAGGTGATGATTGTATATGAGTGGATGTGTGGGTACGGGGTTTTTCTAATGACTTTTGATGCCCGTGCGGTGGGTAGGTTATGTGGTACCAGCGAGAAGAGAATGACTTGACTCGACTTGACTCGGTTTGGGGATGGAAATGGACGGGATGGGTAGAAGGGTTAATGAATATACAAGAAGCCTCCCCTTATGAGTATCACATTTTTTGAAATATAATTTATGGTTTTTTTTTTACGTTGATGGAGGGAGAGATGGGGAACGGGGTGTGATTTGTGATGCTTTGACTCTAATGGGGTCCATGTAATACAACGGAAGTTGGTCTCTATAGCCCCTACAGCGTCTTTTCTGTATGCTATTCTAACCTAAATAAGTACCCTAAACCCTCACGATATCCGCTTGTTTACCCAGGACTTACTCACTTACTCACTTACTCACTCACTCAAATCCAACAAGAACAACAGAACCAATAACAAACTACAATATTAAACAAAGAAAGAAAGAAAGAAAGAAAGAAAGAAAGAAAAGACTTTCCTTACTACCTACTCAAAACATCACTTGCAGAGTCCCACCCGAGCAACATAATAATAACAACATCAAACCATAAATTAAAATTCCACACTTTCTTATAACAACTTACCCCCCTCTCTCTTAGTAGTCCCACGAGTCAACAACCCACGCCCACCCTCCGCTCTTGCAGCTCTTGGTGGTTCTCGAGGAAGAACAAGGATCTCAGGTATCTCCCTCTTTTTACCCAGCTTCTCACTGTCAGTGTCATTTTTCGTTTTTCCCTTTTGATGGGGGAGTTCTTTGAAGTGTAGTGTTACTTGCTCGTTGTCTCCCTGCTTGGATACTTGTTTGGATTCGTTGTGGGGGTTCATTTTGGATTGGGTTTTGTTGGAGGGTTGGGGTGGTGGATGGTGGGTGTTAAGTGGGGTTGTGGGCGTATTGTTTTGCGGCTGGTCTTTGTTGAGGAGGGTGGGATAAGAGTGGTTTCCTTTGTTAGTGAAAGGAGGGGAGAAAGAGATTGTGCGGGTGAGAGAATGGTGTTGTGTCTATGAAAGAAAGGGGGGTTGTTTTACGATACCTCACAGGATTCAGGAAGTTCTCGGAGGGGACGAATACTAGACTGGAAGATAGAGTACCTCCATTCAAACTACAAACTTTCCCTCGCGTGATATTCTTTGTCATAGCAGTTCGGAGACGATGTTTCTCAGTGCTTAAACATACTCCTGCAAAGGTAGTGTCGTCCACTCAGACAAAAGGGCCCAAACAATATCCCGCGATCCAACACCTCTTTCGTCTCCGAACATAGAAATTTCGTCTTTTTCTTCGATCATTATACCGGGGGCTTGAACGGCAAACTCATTACTCTCCCTCGTTTGAGCAATCCTCTCTGTATCTATGCAATTCTCGGTAGTCTTCGGAGGAAGCTCAAAGAATATCGGACTCGCACGACGAGATTCGTTGAACGACGCAACGGTAGGTGGACTCAGGGCGCGACTCTTGCTAGCAAGATCGTGAGACTGCTTTTTAGCCTGGGAAGGTATAGTTGTCAGTGGCCCAAGGAGTGGAAGTGATGGATGTCCTGAAAATAGAATTCCCGGTGTCCTCGTCAAGGTCTCTAGACGAGTCTGGATGTTTCTGGAAGCCCCCAAATTTATTTCGTCGGAAACAATGTTTTCTTTGTCTAGTTGTTGGAGTTCTGTTTGTAGGAGTTTCTTCAGATGGGTCTTGAAGTCTTCAAAGACGGCAGATGAGTCTTGGAACTTCTTGGAAAGCTCTGAGGTGGAACCGAGAAGATCGTTCAAGAGGCGGAAACAGAGTAAGAGCTCTCTCATCTGAATTTTGGATTTCAATTCTGACGGACCAACAGGTCGAGGATTTTCGGACTTCTCAAAATTTGGATGCTTTGATGGAGAAGCAGTAGGAGGCAAGACATCACCATCGAATTCCGTGCAAGTGCTCCTTTCAAAGGCCCTTTCTAGGTCAAGGTACTTGCGTCTAGTCGCTTCTTCAGAACGTGCGAGATTTTCTATCAGGTGCTTCTGGTGATCAAAAGAAACCTCCATTTCCCTCCTAGATTATATTGAGCTTCGCACTGGAATTTCAGAGACTTGCTTCAAAGGGACTAACCGACAAGAAATAGAGCCAGCATAATTCAGTACTTGCAACATAAGTGTCAGCGAAGCCTTCAACCTATCCATATTCAATCTCAAAAGCTCCATCTTCGGCTGCTTGAACGGCCATTTCAATTTCTCCAACACCACTCTTCCTTTCCTAGCTTTCTCCACGTGCTCACTTTCCGCGATCCCCAAAGTTACCAGGCTCTTCTCTAACGCATCATTGAGCTGCTTGAAGATCGCAAGACATTCATCGGCGGTTTGCTGGGTAGCTTCGATTGCCGAGGACGATACAACATGGGCTTGGTTGGATTTGAGAATCTTGCAGAGCTCCTGAAGGATAGTTGAGGTAAGAGAGACATCATTGGAGAGTTCTTTGATAGTGACTGGGGCTTGTGAGACGGCTTGACTGTAGGAGAAAAGCTTGATGCTGAGTTTGATGCCGTAGTCTGCTAGTTGGGCGACTGAGGCGGCGACCCCGAGGATTGTTATGACCTCGGCCATGGTGTGTAATCATGTTAGGCGGTTGGTGGTTATTGAATGGCGAGTATCCATGTATTATTAGGTGTTCATGGGTTGGATTCTTGGAGTTGACTAGATGAGTGAGATTGCGAATTGAGGTATGGGTGTACCCAACTCGGGAAGGAACGACCTCCAAGCAACCCCTAGACTTTATTTGGGCAAAACCTTGAACGAGGCAACAACTTCCGCCCGATGAAATTGCGGAGTGGTATGACAGGTAATTTGCCATATTTTTCTGGGTTACCAACTGGAAAAACAACTCAAAAAGATGCTGCATTAAAGATGCGCAGTTCCCAATTTATCCCATCATGTATGCATCAATACACACTTCCTCGGATCTAGGTCACACTACTCCTACGTCTCCTTTTTCTTTTCCAGTCGAACCCTTCCAGTCATGAACTTTAATAAGAGGCTCAAGTAATAATTCGACAAAATTATCTCTTTCGCCGCATAGAGTGATCAAGATCTCATTGGTACCGTATGAGAGATTGTTGCTAAACGATCCAGGAGGATCAAGGATCTTCATCGTAGAAGGATTCAGTTCGTCTGGTTTTTCTACTTCAGCCGCCCTCAATGGGAGGGGGAATCGGAGCTTTATGTGGGTTCCTTTTTAGTTGTTTTGGTTGGGGATGGGTTAAGCAAGGGAGTGGGCAAGAATTTTGATGTTAGTTTCAATATTTAGTATAGCAGCGTTACTTCTATGCGTAGTCTGCGTAGTCCAGATAATGACTACCTACTTAATTGCAGCTCTAATTAACTAGGATTCTTTCAAGTAGAGGTACCTTTTGTTGAATTATCTTGTTTTTTTGTAGTGTAATTTTACCACTGCACCACGGCAACGAAAGAAAAAAAGACTTCCGCAGAATGATTTTTGCTTGTACATTGTTCTTTTAGTATCATGTATCATCCTCTCTATCTCCATTCACTGAGCCCGCTGCGGATTTGGGATTGTGGGACGATGGGTCCCAGGATCCAGATGAGTACCAACCAAAGAAAGCCAGAAATTAATCCCCAAATTTCTACCCATCTATCCCCAGTCAACCAAGATCAACTCCTCAACGACGAAGAAACCTACCATCCATCCAATCATGCACATACCGAAACCCAGCCAGCGCACCAAAATGATGGCTCCAAGCACTCCCAGCATGCGGCACAATAACCGCCTCAAAGCTCTTCGCACCAGAAAACTGACTTCTCGTCTCCGCAACCGGTCCCACACTCGCATTACCACAATCCACAGACTATCCAAGCGGTCCATTTCCGCAGAATACGATGTCGTCTTGTCCGGTGGCTACTAAAATGTGGCCTTTGTAGGCTGCAGCTTCGCGAATTCCGAAGTATGCGGTTGCGATTTCGCCGACGGAGATGGTTCCTCGGTGGATGAAGTCGTCGTTTAGGACAGCGGGTGAGTATGGGGCGTTGTTGGTGTAGAATGGGGCGTATAATAATTGTTGGAAGATGGAGATGTTGAGGAACTGGGTGTACCCTTCATCGAGGTTTGCTCCGGGGGAGACGTAGGAGGCGATGAGGTTATTTCCGAATGCTTCAGTGTTGTAGCTTTTACTGTAGCCCGTGAGAACTTCATGCAATTTCAATGGTCAGCTTTATATGCCTTGGAAAATGTGGGAGTCTCGTCTAGAGTTGGACATGAAATGAAGAAGGGGGTTCTTACCAATAGCCTCGAAGTCTGCGGGGTATTTCTCAGCAAGTACAGATCCGAGTATTGAGCCGTATGCATTCCCAACACAAACCAAGTTCTTCACGTGTGGGAAGGCAGCTCTGATATTCTTAGAGAGCTGGTGAAGGATCTCGACTTCCAAAGTATACTGCACTACCTTTGGGTCAGGGTGAGAGGATTGTCCGTTACCGAGACGATCAATTGCGATAGTAGGGTAACCTCTTGAATTCGCATAGTGAACCCAGTCATAATCAAGAGAGTGTGCTGATACACTATCACCAGAATCAGAGCCACGCCAGTCTATAGAATGTCAGTCGTTAAATGTAGGAAATTTTGGGATATAGACGACTTACAATCACTGGTATAGGATGAGCCATGAACCAAGATTTGGAGAGTGGATTTTGTTGCAAGATCAACCTTCTGCAATGGCTCACAATAGACTCCATAAATTTCGGAATGTACATTGACACCTGCGTTGAAATTGAGCTCAGAGACATTTCCAAGGAGTGTTGCGAGGGGGGTTGATAGAAGGGTGTCGACAGTCCAAGGAGAGAGATCCAAGTTTAAGGCAGACGCTGAGATATTCCAGCGGAGTGGTTTGCAAGCCGCTTCCTGCGCCTGTGCTTGTGTGGTGCTTGAGAAGAGCAGGTTTGCAAGTAGAAGATTGAACATGGTCAACATCTTGAGGTTCAGATTGTGCAGTTTGCAGTTTGCAGATTACAGTTTTTGAAGTCGAGGGGTTTTGGGGTCTAAAGAGCACTCGCTTAAATACCTACTTAGGTCTTTTGACTGACCCACGTCACTGTGGGGAACTCTTATGGGCTAAGTGCGGTGGCGTTAACTCTGTAACTGGATAATACCTCATTGTGGCTTGAAGTGAGGGATTTGTACTCTTTGGTCAAACAGGCTCTCTTAGTGAATAGCTGGTATCTACCACATGCTTATGGATTCTGGATAGACTATTTAATATCCAGGACCTCTAGCCTGTACTCTGCACCTCTGAATACGCTCTTGATTCCACCTACTTTACGCACTACTTTATATTTTCGGTGACCTACGTTTCAAGCATAGAGTGGGTATCTGATTCTGACCTTATTTAGGATTTTCGTTTATCCTTTGTCTCTCAAGGGTACAATACCAGTCTTTGGCCTGTAGATTAAGCATCCGATACTACATGATCAAGTCTCCTCCAAGTCGCGTTTCAAGTCATCCAAAGTTATATTACACCAAGCTACGCTACGCATCATATATTAAGAACCGAATCAGTCGTCCTTCTTCAACCCCTGTTCTCTTGTTAGTCCAAATTCTGGGCTCTTTGCTAAGTTTGTCAGGTGCGAGATCATTCCACCAATTAAGGGCATTGCGGTCATTCTACCATATTACGATCTTCTGTTGTTTTCGGTCTTGCGCATTCACTTCTTGCATTCACTTCTTGTTGTTTACCCCGCTAGCCCCACTTCGCCTACTTACGACTATGTCATATCCACCTCTACCCCAACCTTCCTTCATTACTCCAACACAATTCACTATTTAGCCTCGCCATCTCTGTCCTCTTCTCGTTAGTACCACACCATCCAAGGGGACCCGTACAAGATTCGCTACCCATATATCTGCTTTCGTTGCGGCTCTTTTAAACACGTTAGCCGAGAGTATATCTCCTCCGTAGTACGTGTCCCACGAAGTATTTCTCCTAATCAGAGGCGTGTAAATTAGTTTCTAGTAAACCCTATTAAAATATTCTATTCAATATTTTGTATAACTTCTACAAAAGTCGAGAGAGACTTATATAAACTTAAGAACTTTATATTAATATATAGTACTACGTTAAAATCAAAACTCCGACCGTCAAATCCTTCTAACTCTTATATAGAAAGAGACGCATTTGAATTAGGGGCTCACTAAACACGAAGATTCATCTTGGCGGGACGAGGACCACAGTCGAGATAGGTTACTGCCCAGCTCCACCTTAATATTAGCTTCCTAAGAACGCACCAGTTGCACTCCGATGATCTGTTTATTAAGTTAAGAACTTATATAAGTAATAAACCCTTTCTTTGTTACAACTGGAAGGGGAATATACAAGCAAAGGATAAATAAATGGTTTTTGATACTTGAGAAAAGTCATTTTTACTCTAAACACTCTAGATCTCCTTTCAAAGTCATTTCTTCTTAACTCTTTAAGATAAAAGACTTACATCCTCCTATCCATTTTTTAAAAAAAGTAAATAGCTAGTATCCATCATATCACTATAAACCATAAATAGACTCATGATCATTAATATCCAGGACATCTACCTACTCCTCTCCACCTCTACATATCCTCTTCCTCCCACCCCCTCTACGTCCCACTTACACTCTCCTTTTCAATCCATGAATACCTAGGTACAAGTCCCATTAACCCAACCCTAACACAATCCCAAATTAATCGCTTCCCATTAATATTCTGTACATATCAACCACCCCTCTTCCCCCCTTCCCTTCTCCAAATCTACAAGACAAAACACCTAACGATGAAGAACCATAATTTAATAGCCTTTTATCTTTTCTCAGTATCTAGTCTGACTTTCAGGAGATAGTAGGATCGTTGCATTGCCTTGGTGGGTTCAAATACTATTGACCTACCCCTATTTATTATAGGTTATTATATAATATAGAAGAGGGAATTGGTGGAAGTCAGAAATTCAAAATGCTTGGGGAGATCTCTGATGAGTGGAAGAAGGTTGATGGGTTATGAAGATTTTAATGAAGATATCTCAGAGGATAAAAGCTCAGTACCAAACTTTGTGACTGATAATATCATGATCCCAAAAACCGCAGAAATGAAACCAAAATTTCCGTAGATGCATTTTTCCTAGCCCCAGTAGTCGATATTCTTGCTATGGCTTTTGCAAACAAGGACGAGGATAAGCGATTCTTGAAAGCACGAAAAAAAGGAGTCAAGGAGTAGCTTTTGAGGAAGGGCATGGTGGACTGCAAAGACCACAGGGGACAATGTTGAATGGGATTGAAAGCAGTATCCAATAACATTGCATAATATCTACAAACTCCAAGCGCTTTGAGGGTCACCAAACACCAAAATTTATACAACTCCAAAATCTTACATCCAACGATCCTCTTACATCCAAAGACACAACTTCCCACTCGTCGTCCCACCCGCAACCCAATCCTGCGTCGGATGAAAATGCGCCACCGCCGGAACAGCCGTAAGCCCCTCGCCCCCAAGTTGCGCCAGCTGCTCGCCATCCGCGCCATAAACATCCACAAACCGATTCATATTCCCAATGACAAACTTTTGGATTCCATCCGCGGGACGTTCTTGCCACTTGGGCTTGAGGATCGTGACCCATCTCCCGGTTTGGTTATTGTGTTTGATGACCGCCGTGGGTTTCATGGCGTCTTCGTCGAGTTGGTGACCTACTTTCCAAGATCCCGCGTCGAGGAAGGAATGGATTTTGATCGTGTCGTCGTAGGATGAGGTTGCGACGTGGCCGGCTGCAGACCAGGAGGCGTGGGAGATTGAGAGGCGGGATTCGTGTTCGCCGACTTGGTTGGGGCTATCGTTGGTTCCGCTTTCATGCTTTGCACTTCTTAGATCCCAGATTTTGACGGTGCGGTCTAGAGAGCCAGTTGCGACGAGATGGTGATGTAAAGGATGAACTGAGAAACCTCCAATCTTTTTATCTGAAAATTGCCACAGGGTGGGTGTAGATTTGGTTCGCATGTCGTGTCGGCCAAAGGAACCATTCAATGTTGTAAACAGGACAAGATTTGGATCTGACGGAGCGATTTCAATGCCGGAGATGGGTAGATCTTCATCGAGGTCACTTGGCGCGAAGACTTCTATTGCCACACCTTTCTGGAGATCAAATTTTCGGATTGACGAGTCGTATGATGAAGAGTACAAATGGTTCCCATCCGCGGGAAAAACAAAGGATGTGATTGTCCTTGAATGTAATTTCAGAGCAGTGATAGCTGGTTCGGAAGCATCAGCGTCTTCATCGTCATCGTCTTCTTTCTTCACGTCTGGAGTTTGAGAGGCATCGAAAATGCCCATAGTTCCCATCTTGTCTCCGGCAAACATTAAAGGCTTATCTGGCGAAGGGTGAAATCCCAGTGCATAAATTCTCTCTGGTGTAATTTTGATTTCTAGAAACTTGTTAGTGGTGGTCCCAAATACGCTGGAGAAGGTGCCACAGCAAGGAAGACAGTAGAAAGAGATAACCTACGTTGAGGTTCAAAACCATCATATAACTCCAAACCACTCATCTTCTCCCTCAATGCCTTCAATCCCTCATCTGTAGTCTCCCTAATATCACTCTCATCAAACGTCCTGACATAGGGTTGCGCGCCCCTCATAATCCCCGATAGGAACCCCTCATCTTTACTAAAACTCTTCCCATCCACCACCATATCATTGAACTTGAGATCTCCCGAAACACGCATCTTCTTTGCCTTTGCCTGTTCCTTTGCGAACTCATAATCCACTTCCGCCTTGCGCTTCGCCGTCTCGCTATCTGCCTCGATTCCTGCTATCCGAGAACTGGTTCGCGTAGCTCGTGGTGTTTCTTTCTTTACTGGCGTGCTTTTTGATCGTGTAGTAGATCTTGGTTTGGAGACTGGCTTTGGTTTTGGCTTGGGCGCCATTTTTTCCGCATGGCTGCTGAGTTCCTTTAACATTGCTTCATTCGCAGCGATGTTCTCGATACGCTTTCTTTCGAAAGCACTCATTTCGGGCTTTTCTTTCTTGACTGGGGCCATGGTTGCGATTTCTGTGCTGCTAAGTTTGTCGGGTTGAGCGCCGTCTGAGGTTTGCAATTGATGGTCCTGGATGTTCTCTTCTGCTGACCGCGTAGCCTGTAGCCCACGTCGACGTCGTGCAGCCTTGGTGTTAGGTTGTGGTCTAGTCGGTATTCCTATTTGTGACTTGGATCGCTCCTTTCGTCTGTCTATGCCCTGATGGTGCTAAATTTGATTTTATGGTGTTGAGCGAATTGGGTTGGGGAAACTCCGTATCAGAGCAAGTCAAAGAATGTCTGGATGCGAAGTCGTGAGTCGTGAGGTCATTTAGTCATTTACGCGTCGGCACGTTATTTCTCCCTGGAGATCCCTGTACCCGGGTACGCGTCAAAACTCAAAACCCGAAACAGGGGAGTGTGAGCACTGTAATCGCCGAAACGCTGCGCTGCGGGTGAAAGTCGGGCAAAAATGTATTTTGAGCTTGAGGGGCAGGAAGCGCCAGGAACATTTCTGCGCTGCTTGTCAATTCCAATTACTCGAGTACTCGTACACGCCAACATATAATTATATCTGCCATTCGGAATAGCTTCTCTAAGCAACTTGCAATGGGATCCAAAGCTGCCACCGAAGCCATGGCTGGTATTTCTTCCATGTCAACCACAATGATGCCTTTCCTTTACCAGACAAGAACGCTATCCACCTTACCATGGATCAGAACCAATTCGAATTTTCTGCCTCGATACAGAACCGCCGCTCGAACCACTGCATGTTTCACAAGGACGTACGGAAACTTCTCTGAATCTGGGCGCTTCTCCAGGGAAACCCGAAAGAATCGACCCACAAAGAACACTCCTAGATGGGACGACATCGCCTTCGAGGGCGAGGAAACCCCCATGCCCTCTGTGTATCCAGAGAGACGTGGAACTGTCGTCAAAAATCGTAGTCACAAAAAGCTCAACGAATTTGGAGAGTCTGATGATGGAATATTTGGGGAGCCAGACTTGTCAGAAGAGGAAGAATATGACATCTTTGCCGATGAGACGGACTCAAAGCAGCAAGTCCCCAAATCGACAATTACAGATAGAGAACGAAGAGCCTTTCAAAATATTTTCTCGGAAATGTTTGCACAAAAACCGGGGTCCATGGATCCGAATGATCCATCGAATGCCAGAGAACAGGCGAAGACCAAGTTGGACGTTATTATGGCTGGTGCCATGGTTGCAACCGCCCGCAGTCGGAAGGAAAAGGAGGCTGTCATTAATCAATATCCACCAGCTTTACGCGATAGCATTTCGAAAGCTATTGGTCTGCATGATGAGATCGTAGCGAAGGAAGGAGGAAAAGGGTACGAACAAGACCCGGAAGATGCGGATGGGGGTGAAGTAACTGGAAATATAGAAATAGAGCACGCTCATCTCGAAGCTCTGCGAGAACCCGAACGGATCCGAGTCGAAACCTTAATGAAGGAAGCAAACACAGATTTTGAACTGTGGGAGGTGATGGAGAAGGAGGTGTTTTCATTGATTCCAAGATTGGGTCTTGACAAGCCAACATCGCTGGAATCAATGGTGGACGGGTTAGGAAAATCAAACAGAGGGAAGAAGAAGCTCGAGCCAATTCCCAAGAATGAGGACGAGGGAGCTGCTAGATTTAAGCAAATGGTTGAGGAAACCACCGATGGCAGTGAAGCCGCAGCGTTGAACACATATGGACCTTTATACCCTTCGTATCTGTTACTCGCAATCCGTCTCTTCGATCGCTCATTCGCGAAGCCCTCGCCCCTCGCCCTCTCCATCCTACCCAAAATCAAATCTCTCGGCGACACATCAACAGTTCTCGGAGCAAGCACCCAATTCTACAACGAAATCCTTCGTATATCTCTACTCCGATATGAAAACATTGCTGGTATGCTAACAACTCTCACCGAGATGGAGAAATGGGCAGTGGAATTTGACGAGGAGACGCTGGATATCATCAGCGAAGCGTCAAGTCTAGCGGGACGGGCCAGAGCTGGAAATGATGGGGCCGTTATAAAGCATATTTGGAGTCGGATGCCGCAATTTGCGTCCCGTGGTATCAAAGAGTGGAGAGAGAAGATTGTTTCCTCGCTTAGTGCGAGTGAACGGTCTTCCTAATCTATGGAGATATTTTGTACATTAAGAAGGTGCGTAGGTAGAAAGCCTCAACGCCCATATATCATGATCATGCTTGTAACGTTATTTGTATGGAAACTCTGTAACATAGTATATCAACCCATTCAACTCCCTTCCACAAAACAATCTGTTATCACCGCTATCCAACTCCCAATCCATCTCCTTGCACCGCTGTACTTACCCACTCCCCTCAACCCCTAAATTCACATCCCTAAACTTCACATCATCCCCTGAAGTTGGAATACTACTACTATTCCTGAGTCCGAACCAAGACCAGCGTCTCTTGCTGTTGGCATAGGTACCTGAACCTCCTACCGACCAGACGCTTGAGCGACGGGGTGTACCATCTTGGTTTAGGCGTGGGGGGTAGATGATATCCGAGGGTCGGCCTATGTATTTGTTAACCTAACACCTTCGTGGAAATAGTCGAGAAGAAAGAAAAACGGAAGGAGAAAAAGGAGGGTGACAAACGAATATTCCCCGCCCCCCCAATCCCATAACTCTTCCTCCTCTCTGTATCCATCCCCGTCACAAAATCCTGGTGATTCGAATCTCCCATATTCCTTCTTCCTCTCCTTTCTCGCTGTTCATCTACAAATCCGACGCTCTCTCGATCCTCAAGCAAATCCTCGAAACTCTCGTCGATTCTTTGCGTCCCTAACTTTGAGGATGCAAAGCTATACCGAGGAGGCAGAATGACTACTCCACCTTGCTTGCTGCTTGTGGTTACCACCCCGGACGTCGGGTTGTGGTACTTGTATTTTGTCGTTGAAGAGCGGTGCGGGGAGGGGGGTATGAAGTTTTGTGAGTGCGATGGCTCGCTGGATGGGGTTTGGTGGTGGTGTGTTTGTGAGGAAGGGGATGGGGATGGGGATGGGGAAGTAGAGCGGGATTTTATATGCGCGGATGCTGATGAACGGCGGGAGATGGTTATTGAGAGGGAGATGGAGACCATGGTTTTTGGTTTCTTAGGGTTCTGATTGCTTTCTGATACAGGATTGGTGCGTGGGAGGTGGTGTGGTTTATGCGAGCTGTGGTGAGATGAGGGGGTGGTAGATAGTGGCAACCACCGAATTTATATTGATGACTTCTGATATGATATGAGATGAGGGGGGACAACTCCGGAGATGTGGATGGTAGCGAAATTATAACTTCTCAAGCTGGGGTTTAATGAAGGAATCCAACTTCCTTCCATTTAAAGGTATTTTTAAGGTGTTAGATGCCTGCTGAGGTTGAGAGTACTACACGTAGCTCGTTTCCAGCATGGAAGCAGTGTCATACGAGGGGTGCGATGGTATTGCTCTTGGATTGTTACTCCCGCTGGCGAACATGCAGGAAGGCATTCTGTAAGAGGGCGATTCCCGCGGATACGGGGAGGTGACTCCGAATGTACAGTACGAGTAACGAGTATGTGGCTTTCCTTTTTCGAGGACTGTGTATTGTTTCTTTGTACAGGATTCAGTATCAGTTCATCTTATTCCCCTTTTCATTAAGTTCAAAATATTTCTTTCTCCTCCATTTCGCAGCCAATTTCTCTAAATAATATCACTGTATAAGTAAATCCAAGTATTCATATCCTTAGTTCTCACAATCCACAGAAACCAAACCAAATCTACCCACCACAAAACAAACTCCCTATCTCACCCACTAATCCCTCTCCCTTCCCCTCAATACCTTCATATAAATGCACGATCGTACATCTCCATGCAGCGCAACCCCCCGTGATTGGCCGTCTCCCCAATATGCAACATGCACAGGGGAAGTAAGCAACCATCTTCGACGTACCCCGCAAAAGCTTGATTTGTACGCCTTCGATCAAGCCTGGTTACATATGTCATAACAGTCATATACCGATCATGCTATTTAGTGGGCGCTGGGATGAAGGAGGTAATGCATGTCTTCTTGGCAGGGGTTTAATGGGTTGGAAGATGAATGGGTTGAATGAACTAGGAGAGGATGATTTTTTATATGGGATTTGATGGGATTTGTTGGTGGTGTTTTGGTGAGAGCGTGTCGTGTGGTCTCACATGACCTGTCTCGCTTCGGGGGTTTGTTTTGAGGTGTCACTAGGTGTTTTGTCCTGGTACAAAACCGTACAGTAGTTTTGTTGCTTCGTCTCGAGCGGAATAAGTTTGGAATCAGTAGGCGTGTCTTGAGATATTTTGTGCCCTTGCTTTTGTCCCTGAAAAATAAAAAATTCAGGTGCAGGGTAAGTTCGATCTAAAGTCGAGTGTTTCGATCATAGAAAGAAGAACCAGTGGAGTGCTATGGTTTGGTAGGTTATAGTGATTGGAAACCAGTCCAGAACCAAGTACTTACATACCTTGGAAATCAAAATCCAGCTTTCGCTATACTGCATCGAGTGAACTTTTCCGATTGAAGGAATAGAAAACAAACCCATTCAATCACCACAACCTCTAATGCACATCACGTTCTCCACTACCAACCAGCAGAAAACCCCCGCACAACACAAGATCAAGCACATCAAGCTTCCACAACATCCCCAACCACCAACGGTTCTTCGCCTACAGAATGCCAAACGCTGTACAACACAACACGACCCACAGCTGAAAAGAACCTCCGAACTCGGCCTGCGCGGCACTTTACAGTACGAGACGGTACGGTACAACAATCCCCTTTCAGACACGTTCGTACGAGGAGACTGGAGCGGTTATGCATATTCCCTACCTTTCCCCCACGCAGATCCAATACCACACCTTTAACCTCACGGGGGAAGGAGAAAGAAAAGATGTCTCGGTGGGAAAGGAGAAACCTGTCACCTCGGTGATTTGATAACGGAAACGGAGAAATTCACGGGAGGGATTCAGGTTGAAGGAGATTTTTGATCGTGGTTGCATTTATGTCGTGACTACTTTTTGTACCGAGGATCTGGGGAGGAGTCGTATGAGGGCACGGGAGGGCCGCGACGGGGCTTTTGGGGGTGGATGATGGTTTGAGATGGGTTGGTGGAATTTCAATGGTGTGGTTTTTGTGTTCTTTGCAGGGGAAGAGTGATCGTTACTGTCACTAAAGATATTTGAGGGACGAGAGCTAATTCCATGAGGCTAGGTGATAAGCATTAAATTTGACGAAGTGGAGAAGTGCAATGTTGGACCAAAATACCCTCATTCCAATTTCATGTTCTCTCGCATACTTCAACGTTCTGGAAACAACCAATTCTCTCCAAGTACCAAGTACCCAGTATCAGAAAAAGGCTCGTCTAGTAGCTAGCCGTATTTTTCTCCCTCAAACGTGCACCATACCGCCAAAGAATGCACGTCGATGGTAAAGCGACCCCAAAATACATGAAAGCCAATAAACTGTTCCCCCATCCATACCCCAGAACCTTGTACATATGATCAGAAAACAATGGAAAGGCAAACGCCGACAAACTTCGGAATAACTGCGCCGCCGCGGAAGCAGAGCTAACATGGTCTGGATATGCATCCATAACGTAGGCGCGAAGTGTGATATCAAAAACTTGCATTCCCAAGGCGAACAACAGGGTACCTATATCTACAAGTACCCAAGTAAGATGGTACTCGGCCGACCAACCGTAGAGGAAGAGACGAATGGGCGTGAAGACCAGTGTTGGTAATAGTAATGGAATTCGTAGCTCGGGAGACAGTTCTCTTGCTCGTGCTTTGATAGCTGCATAAACGTAGTCCATGAGAGGTCCGCAGATCTGGGAGCCGACAAGTTCGCCAGCACAGAGAGCGATGTAATGCAAGCCAGAGATGGAAATAGACTGGTTATATGCGGACACAAAGAGGTTTGAGAAACTGGAGAGGGCAAAGTACAAGAGACCATAGCCGATACCACCGAGAATTGCCTGTATCTGGATGATAGGATGAAAGGCCAAGAGTCTCAAAGGACGAGAGAGGCCGTTGTGTAGTTTCTAGAAGGATGAGCAGCCGGATTCGTAGGCCTCGTCTTGGGTATGGTAGCGTGTATCACCGGTTTATTGTCGCTGTTGAACTGCTCGTCGACGCAGAAGTATCGGCGCGTAGGTCTCATGAGTGATCGGAAGCGAGCATATCTCCGCGAACCCCTGAAAAATCGTCGTGGCCCAAAACTTCCATCGCCAATTCGAATAGTCGACAATAAACCCACCCATGATCGGACCAATGGCGGCACCAAGAAGGGGGATAAGTAGATATGTACTGAGAGATCGTCCTCGCTCCTCTGGTCTCCATATATCACCGAGGACACAATAGGCGACCGAGTAGACTGCGCTGGCACCAAAGCCAGCAAAGAGCCGCGAGGCAAGTAGAAGTCCTTTGGAATTCGCAAAACCACAGATCAGGTTCCAGACCAAGAACCAGATGTTGGTGATATGCACGATTCTCTTTCGTCCGTACATTTCTGACAATGGCCCGATGACGAGTGGACCGAAAGCAGAAGCCAGAACGTAAACAGAAAGTGCCATTGTGGATTCCGTTGTGGTCATTCTCAAGTCTTTTGCAATGGTGGTGATTGCAGGCGCCATCATCTGTAAAACAAGATCAGTAAATACGTTGGGTATCCCTTGAGATGAATTAATAGAATTACCGTTGAGATCATAATTCGATTGAATCCCGTGGCAGACATGGCTAATGTCATACCCCGTTTGCGTCCCTTGGACCAATTTTTGGGATCTTCTCGATCATCAGGACCAAAGCATATGAGAAAAGTATCGCTGTCAGATTCTTGTTTGGGGTAGTCTTCTCCGCCTGGTGCTGAGGTGTCTGATGGCTTCTGGATCTCTTCGTCGAGCTCATGCTGACGCGATTGTTCAATTTTAGCCATGCTTTTTATTGAAAGGTACTTTGGAGAACAAGAAACCCTCGTAGTGTGAGACAATCAAGGTGAACAGGAAATGAGAGATTTCATGGCTGTGAACATACTATATACCAGAAATTCGTGATGGGTGTACCCCAGTGCGGTAACTGAAGCCATAGTGGATACTACTGGATGCCTCAGATGCGAATCCATCTTATCTGATCCGAAGATTAGATGGTCTTTCGACTTCACCCCTTTCAATTCCTGGAGTAACCGCCCAAGTGACTCATGGCATTCACCATCAGTGGAAAAAACACGGAGCTCCAACCCACCAAATCGGACACCGCATAGACGAGCCGTGCTTCTCTAATGCGGAGTGACGGCTATATCATTCCGTTATGTTTGTATATGGGAATGGTTGGTTATTTTGGGTAGGCGATTTTCTTCTCCGTTATCGCATTTGACGTCAAACAAAAAAACATCGGAATCTGTTGGAACGGATATGGTTCTCTGGTGAGGCACCAGTCCTCGAAACCCAATGAGCCATTCACTACGGAGCTATTATGCCAAGCGTTCTTATCAGATCCGTCGAATCCTTGCGAACTCCTGCTTTTCCCCTTGCAGCTTTTGTGGAGTCCGTACTCCGTGAATTTTGTACTCCGTATGGAGTGGCTTCTGCGCTATCATGGGACGTTATAATTTCAGTAAGTGGAAAATAGTATGGTAGCATACTCTAGTATTGAAGTAGGATTTCAAGTTTCTTCTCTATTATTATTTTCAATCAAGATATCCCGAAATTAAGTCTCTTTTTTAACTCCTTTTCCGATTAATAAAAAACAACTGGGTCAAAGATTTTTCTTATCGCTTGATAATTTACCTATATTTGGATAAAGTATTTCCGTAGCCTGCTGATTATAAATTACGCAAAAATATGGTCTCCACTACCTACATGAAAGTATCCAAATCGTCTTGTATTGGTTTGAAGCATTTGTATTACGTAGTGGATGAAATTCAAGTCTAGGTTGATATAATAGAGCTCGAGGTCCGAATCTTTCAGAACGCTCGATACCAATGACGAATCGACGATGATTTTCATTCGAGAGTTACTGTCTTCAATTTGTGGTTCAAAGTAATCCAGATTAGTATCAAGATGCTCGGGAATTCCTAAGTACAGATATCATGAATGCACAACAACGTTACCAAATTGCTGAGACCGTGAGATGGCTGCAACCTCATAAGTAGCTTGAAGAATAATATCCTAAAAGGGAACGCTAATTCATTACCTGGTGTTCACACGCATCGTTAGCTTCACATGATCCAACCAATTATATCGATTCTTCCTCGTTTCATTGTTTGTCGAACTGCCAAGCATATTCCAAGTTAGAGTGAAAATCAGAGGGCTGATACAATCAGATGAAATCGGGGAATACTCGAGAAATTATACGTCAGTATATAGATTTGAAGTTGAAGTATCAGTTGGCCATGGTAGGCAAAAGTCAAAGGTAGCCGACGAGTGATTGTCAGGGCATGCTTATGGAGTTTGTGAACTTCCAAGCAAATAATTTCTTGAATTCTGATTTGAGATATTTGGTTTGGAGGCACTTTCCGTGACATGCGAATTGAGTTGTGAAAAGTAGAACTTCAATATTCGAAGTAAATACCTGCCGGAAATACGCCCCAAGCTCTGATGTATCGAGGAGGGCCACTTACAAGGGCACCTATCTGTCATTCATTTCCACTCAAATCCCACTCTGGTAGACCTGCATTTTCACAAATACTCCTCTAGTTGATATAGACTTAGTCTGAAAGCCAGTCTTGCTTTCCGCACTAACAGTTCGACGAAACCATTATGAATTCTTTGTGTCCTTTGTGTTGCATTACAGATCAGAGTATGGGAATTGTGCTCCACTACCCAGCTCTCTTTGACGTCTTCTTTTGCGAAAGAAAGTATACTATAAATTGTAGCCTCCTTCACACCTCTATTATGCTTCTTTCATCGTTCATGTGGCTGTAGATAAACCACTATTCCCGACGAGATCCGTGAAAGAAGACATTGTTGAGTTGTCCACAAGGGTGCTAGATTTCTTTGGATGGGTTCGTGGCTTGTGATGAATATCATTATTCATTCCCAAATTACAAAGAAATATGACTAGAGATTGTAACCTTCTCGATAGCCTTGCGTGTGTTGATAGTACCATACCTTTGCAGCTGACTTATTCTTCTTGTGGCGAATGTGTGTAGGAACGGCCTGAAAGGAACAAAGACAGGAAAGATCCAGCATATTGTATTAATTTCGGGATGTTTGCTGAAACAGTAAGAATTCACCTGGAAATCAGATGTGACCAACCCCCTTTTTCCTTCGGTTGAGTAGTTGTTTATGGAAACTAAATTCTTTAATTGGATGAAAATACTAGAAGCGAGATCGGAAATACCATTAAGTCCGATAAACCGGGTCTGAATCCGTACCCCTATCCCTGCTACCCCTGCCGCCCAGTACGAGTACAGCAGAGAAGGCTCCGGCTGGTTTCACTGCTTTCATCTCTCAGTCGCAGAAATACGACTCAATCGAGTTGGGGGAAAGAGTTCCTTTCTTGTCCATTCCTTCTTTGTTTGCGTTTCTTTGATCTCAATCGATCTCGCTCCTTCCCTTGCGCTCGGCTTACTTCGAATACAATCTAGAGGACTTGTTAGTAGAAGCCCGCGCGTTTATTGTTCTTGTATACCCCACATACCGCGCACCTTGCGGAATACCTTCATACTTGCACTCGATCTCTACAGCGGGCAGTTGATTGGCATATGCGCGCATACGGGAGTTCGGTTTCGCAATTGTTTTTAGCAAAATGCCTAGGATCATAAAAGGTATTTTAGGCGCGAATTTGTTGAAGTTTTGCGCGACTTCTAAACGTTAATGCAGATGAGAATGAGGCCACCAAGGCAAATTACAAACCTCATTTTGACCAATCTCCTGATCAGTTTTTCGATGCGGTTTCCGATACATCATCATTAAGAAAAGCCCTCGATTTGGAGAAAAGTATGGAGGGTTGGATGGCGAACCGAATAAATAATTCAAACAATACAATAGACGACGAGACTCGATCCTCAACTTCAACTTCTTCGCTTTCATCAATATCATCTACTTCATCCTTAGTGAGCGTCCTTCCTACAATCGAAACCGGGAACACAAGTATCGAGCCGGAAACTCGTCCAAGTTGCACGAATTCTGGTGGAAAAAATATATTGTTAGAAGAGAGAGATGCGAATAATCTGACGAGCGATGAAGACGAAGATAGTACAGCCAGTTGGCAACTACCAAATCTCAAATTCCGTCTGAAGTTCAAGTCAGAAATGGCAGATTTCATATATCCAAAGTCCTGTTACACTGGATATAAACCACCTCTTCCCATTATCCAGGAAAGATTTGCCGTCGAGAATCTGATTCGAGAAATCCGACGAATAAAGGCGGAATCGCCTAGCGATGGATCAGAGGAGTCGAACGAGTTCTTCGAAATTGAACTCTCCGACTTCTCAGTTTACTCTCCTGACAAGAAAACCCATGGTCTGAAATTGAACGGTCTACAACACTTACATACAAGGAAAGGAAACCCGGTGTTCTTGTTTGATGGAATACTCAGTGTGGGTGGAATGCGACATTACGTTGAGGGAATCCCCTTTCAAGAAGTACCCGTGGGGAATTATGGAAAGGATCTACATACAGTCGGAGGCGAGATTTGGATTCGATCAAATCTAAATCAGAAGTACGAGATATACTACCGACTGAAGAATCCATCGAAAGAGTACAAACGTTTCCACACCGGATTCCTGTGGCTAGTTGATCTTGCAAAACACTTTGTTGATTTCTGCCATTTCTGCGGGCCAGGACTTGTTACTCTCTTGAGGTTTCGCGAAGAGTTTTCTCGATGGATATGGGACCAGCACGAAAATTCAGAAGAATTTCATGCATGGTGGCATGAATACAATCTTCATGACTTCGCGCAGGTCATCGCAGTATATGCTGAGTTTTTGTACAAAGAGTGCTGCGGTCTCGACGAGAGTAATGAGGTCGATGAACTTCGATTACAGCCAATCTGGGACGAGGCCCTTCCTGAAAATTTGAAAGCTGTGCCAAAACAACGCTTGGAAAAGACCAATACAATTGTGACCCCATACGTCTTTGTACTTTTCAATCATCTCAAGTTCGGATCTTATCTGGAGAGTGTAGATATTACTGGCATCTCGAAAAAAAGGCATACATCGCAGGTGGCAGACCTCAATCTCACAGAGGGCGCGCAGAGGAAAAAGTCAAATGTGGCTACCACCAAAAGTTTGCGGCCTGTTCGCGTCGGGGACGTCGTCTCAATAAAGAAGGATGGCCCCAATTCAGTTTGGAAAGACGAGGGTTCCAGACACAGAGCAGCCGAAGAGTGCTGGTACGCTTATGTCGTAGCCGTACATGAGGACGAAGAGGGATCGCCTGCATTTGATGTTATATGGTTGTACCATCCTTCGGAAACCGCATGTGCGAAGATGAAGTATCCCTGGAGTAGGGAATACTTTATGTCAAATCATTGTTCTTGCGAAGGCGACGATCGCATACAACCAGAAGATGTCATTGGGATCAAACCCGTCCTCTGGCATTCGGGTCCGCCAAATGACGGCAACGGCGATGAGTTATTCATTCGACAGACATTTCTCGACCAAGAAATATTTGTCACCTTGAAAGAGTCGCATAAAACATGTGCCCATCACCGCAACGCATCCGATAAAGACGACGTCTCCGAAGAGTATCCTGTGGGCCAGACTTTATACTCCCCTCCAGTCAGCCAGAAGAAAAACGAGCTCGAGGTTTATGAAGTTGCAGAATATGTTGATGGAGGAAAGCGAGTGATGCTAAGAAGGTTCATTCGCAGGCAGGAATTTAATGGTACAGGAAAACCTAACGAATTGGTTTACTCGGAAAAGCTCGAATCACACCTTATCTCAAGAATTTCCGGCAGATGTTTAGTCCGGTTCTACACTCAAGATGATGTTGCGCAAGGCAACATTCCTGTTCCCTACAATCGAGATGGAAATGGCAATGCCTTCTACGTTGCCACGAGGCTTGTCGAAAACGATAGCGAAAAACGGCTCTTTCCTATCCACGATAACCTACCTCGAAGTGTCAAACAAGGATTCGATCCTTCGGTCGGTCTCTCACGGCCTGTACTTCGTGGTATGGATTTGTATTGCGGAGGTGGAAATTTTGGAAGAGGGCTCGAAGAAGGTGGCGCTGTGCGCAATGAATGGGCAGTGGATTATGATGATACTGCGATTCATACATACCGAGCAAACTTGAAAGATCCGGACAAAGTAAAGTTGTTTCATGGATCGGTTGATGACTTGCTATACCAGGCCATGAAGGGAAACCCAAGGAACAATCAATTGATACCAGTACCTGGAGAGGTCGATTTGATCTCCGCAGGAAGTCCATGTCAAGGGTTCAGTTTGATGAACTCGTCACGCGACAACAAGAAAGGTTTGAAAAATCAATCTCTGATTGCTTCGGTGGCAGCTTTTGTCGATGTCTACAGGCCGAAGTACGGTATATTGGAGAACGTTGTAAATATGGCCCAAAAAGGTTTGGGGAGGGATGAAGATATTCTCTCGCAATTGGTTTGCGCCATTGTTGGTATGGGCTATCAAGTTGATATTCAGCTTCTTGATGCTTGGAGTTATGGCAGTCCCCAAGGACGAAGTCGCATCTTCGTCACCTTCACCGCACCTGGCCTGGAGCCACTGAGGCACCCCCATCACTCCCATTCCCATCCTCAATGGAAAAAGAGTCTGGGGCTGGGTAAGCTGGCTAATGGAGAAGCTTTCGGTCATCGCCAAGATATGCCGACGCCATTTTCATACATTTCTATTGGGAAGGCGACGGAGCATCTCCCGCTCATTGGAGACGCTCAGACAAACCAGTGCACGCCATACCCTTACCATGTATTGGCATTAGGTATTCCCGCGAGTCTCAAATACCAAATAGATTGTATTCCCACGCACCCTAGAGGAATGAACTTTGCGAAGACATGGGCCCAGGGTAAGGGAGTCATGTCCAAGGAGGACAGGACATTGTTTCCCAGCTCAGTAACCAGCAAGGGGAGATACAGGGAATCTGTCATGGATAACTCACGAGCTTGGGGTCGTGTCATTCCAACTCGTCTCACTTCAACGATAATGGTAAGGCTTCACGCGACAGACTCCCGCATAGGGAGTGTTTTGCACTGGGACGAACCCAGATACATGAGCGTGGCCGAAGCGCAGATCGCTCAAGGCTTTCTAAATGGCGAAGTAATGATTGGGTGGAGCCATGATTGGTTCAGGATCTTGGGCAATAGTGTTTGCAGAAACGTCTCCCTGGCTTTGGGATTATCTCTTCGAGATGCATGGCTGGGTTCTGAGGATGTGTTGCCCTCTCCTATTGCAAATTCTGTCCCTGCTAGGGTTACACCATCTTGGAGGCTCGCTGATGGACTCTTTCCATCTGATTCTACAGACGAATTGATGAGAGAAGATAGTCCTTTGCTGGCAACACCAGCTCCGGCACTACGCAAGGAGACTCGAATCGTGCCTGCCGAAAGAAAGGCAATCCTTCCCCCAGCGAAAGAAAAGGATGACAAGATCCCGAGGATTGGTTCTGCTTCCCTTGGCGCCGCCGTCCGCGATGCCCTCAATTCCAACGAAATGCAAGCCCAACTTGCAAGAGCACAAGAATCCTGTCTCGCTGCTACGCGTAGCAATTACCACTATCAGCCATATAACGACGGTCTGCGGACTTTCTCGCCTAGTAGTTTTGCCTCACCAGAACACCATAAACGTTTTCAGGCGAGAACGATTGCTACGCCTAGTACTGGACGCACTAAACTCCCCTCCAGCATCTCTGCATCGCATCCTGCTCTTCCTTCTTCCTCCACTCTTTCTACTCAGAGGCCATCCTCTTCTTCTTTCCAAAGACCAAGACCAAAGAGCCCACGACCGCACGTCTCCAAGAAATACAAGACTACAGTCGAGGTCCTAGTTGAGGTGATCGATCTGATTTCCGACGACGAGGATCCAGACGAGTCGGAGAAGGAAGTTCTTGCTGGGACATCGGGTGCGGGGAATGCTCGCATCGGTAGTGTCCCCTCCTCTGCTGGTTGCCGAGGTGAACACGCGGGGTTTGGCGACGCCTATGGGGGAAATGGCGCACGTGGTGGGGGTTTTTCTGGGATGGTGGGAGTGGGAGTGGAGAGGTATCGGCCGGTTGATAATAGTATTTTTGGAGCTTATGGCAGCACGAGGGGGGTTCTGGATGCGGAGAGGGGGGCGGCTGCTAGAGCGGTGGTAAGAGGAAAGCGTAGAGGGGGGATTTGATGGATGAACGTTTTTTCTTTTGTTTGGATTGGGATTTGGGAGGATTGCATAGCGATGGTGTTTTTTTTTTTGGATGGTTTCGGGTAGGAATTGGACATTCCTTGGAGTTTTTGTGGGGGTGGGGTTATTGGAGGGGAGGGAGGGAGGAGATACCCAGTCAGGTGCCTACCCACTTATATCGTTAGAGTACAGGCGGGCGTATTGTTAAGCGTGGATGGGGAATTGTAATATTAATTAATTATCTGAGAGAAATAACGAATAAGAAGTACAAATGATCTCGAGAGTTAACGTAAACTTATACAGTCTTACTCTTACGTGGTTATACTATAGGTATTATCTACTGCTATCTATTCCCAGAGCTACGGCATCCCAAACAATTCTACCAATAATTATGTACTACCTACCTATCCTCCCCCCTCTCCCTTCAAAATAAACCCTTATAACTACAACCACAACAACAACAACAGCGAAAATAGCTAGAGGGGTATCTGTTCCCCCCTCCCCCCCCTCCCCTCGGGGCGGGTTAGAGGGATGTACTGTAACCAACCCCTACACGTATAATACCTAGTAGACGAATACATACAGTATTTTTAGCACATCCTAGATACGTAAGAGGGTATAGAAATACCTACCTATACAGTCCGTTACGAATCCAGCTTAATTTTATCGGGGATCTTCTGTAATCCGTGCTTGCTTTTTTTGGTAGCCCAACCACCAAAAAAGAACGCTACAGTAGCGTGAAAATCTTATAAAAATAAATCGTCAAATTCCTAAATTACTACTAAAAGACATATATTCCATCTGTATCACTCAAAGTTTTGAAACAATTATGGCCCTCGAATTGAAGCGGTTCGACGATCCGCCATTCGTTAATATCGCCCCTATTCCAAGAAGCTCGTTTATAGCGCTTGTAAAAATGGGCCGTCCTTATCAGTGTTCGAAGATAAAATGAGTTAAGTTGAGTTAAGTTAAGTAGTAGTACCTACTTAACTTAACTTGACACAGAGTAGTTATTAGACCCAGGTACTTAATTCAACTCGCCCAAGTACTCGGGTAACTCTTGAGTAATCTTACAGTATAGGACAGCTAAAGTAAACTATACTAAAACCGATATTTCAACCTTACTTAAAAAAACATATTAGATTAGCGATATAAACTATATTTTTATTAGTGCTATAGAGTAACTAGATTAAAAGAATAAGAATACACTTACTAGAAATTTTATATAAGCCTTAACTAAGTGTTATTACAAGGGGCTAAAATAAGCGAGGAAAATATTTAGCGAAACGCTAAGACTCTAGTAATATAAGACCTATATTTTCTATTATTTTTATTAATTAAAGCTAGTAGGTGCATTCTGTTCGGCTAATTATAGCGTATCTCCTAGTCTATTTAAAGTAATTATAAAAGAAGGTTAGAATAAGTTATTAATTAATTCCTTCGAATAAATCCGACTTTTTCTACCTCTCGGATAAGCTTCGTATACGCCTCGTAGCAATAATAAAAGTTATATAACTTATATATAGAATCGATATTATAACCTTAGTATTATAACTATTTAGTTTTATAGATAAGCTCTAATTTTAATAGAGAAGTAGACTAATTAGACTATTTAAAATCGATAATCGATACTTATTAGATTTTCTATATAGCCCTTAGTTAAGCTATATTAGGAAAAGTAGGGCGGGCTTAAAATATTTAGCGAAAACGTTAAGACCTAATAAATATAAGCCTTATATTTTATATAATTTAATTAAAATAAAGCTAGTAAGTGTATTTTGTTTAGCTAATCAAGGCGTATCTTTACCTCTCTTTAAATAATAATTAAGTATTGTTGTTGTTATAGTGTTATAGATAGAAGTGTGGTTTTTAGTCAAATATAGTTTTAGTGTGGTTCACTTTGGGTGTCCTATACTGTACTACTTGAGTAGTACGGATTACTTCGGACCGATGACTCGGCCTTAGTTGCCCACCCCCCCCTTACTCGTATAAGCTAGGTAGGCTACATAGGAAATAAAGTTATATATATATATATTCCGGTAACAAGTGCTTCTAGCGAGTAGTAATTTAGCTACTATATTAGACTAATACTACCCTCCCGAAAAGGAATAGTGACCATAGTCTCTAAAAGAGGACCTCGTATAGATGATAGTAAACTGCTTGTACTCCAAGTAGTACTGTACCTAGGTACTAGCGTGTTACTTATATATCTACGAGTAAAGAAAACAGAAACTTGATATATGGTCAGGTTGATTCCTTTTTCTTTCATTCATAAAATCCAATTCCCTTCGCCTCTCCGTCCAATGCTAGATGCCAAAGAGTGAGGAAGTGCCCCCACTCTCCCCTAACCTAGCCCTTCCTCCGAAGAAACACCAAAATGTTATCCTAATCCCAAACATCCCAAAATATCAATTCAATTTTTACACCTCTACCTAGCAGAACCCAAATTTCGTAGCCGTGACCTCTTCATACCCATGTGTCCTTGTCACAGAACCACAGGTCATAGTGATGCAGCTCAAAAAAAACGCCAGATCCAAAACGGGATGTCATCAAATATCAAGATGCATATGAGCATTGTTCTCCCCCATCCGAACTCACCTACTCAGCCTTCTCGTTCTTCAAAGTAGGAAGTTCAACGATGGCTTCCCCGATAATCTTGAGGACTTCTCTAATTTGCTCTTCGGAGATAATTAGTGGTGGTGCGAGTCGGATGATATTCTCGTGGGTTGGTTTGGCTAGTAATCCCTTACTCTTCAAGAGCATGCAGAGATCCCATGCTGAATGACCTCCAGTCTTGGACTCGTCAATGACGATGGCGTTCAAAAGACCCTTTCCTCGTACCAATTTAATCATTGGGGATTTGAGATCTTCCAGTCCTTGACGAAGGATAGTGCCCAGATGTTGGGAACGAGCTATCAAATCTTCTTCCTCGATGATTTCTAGTGCACGAATGGAGACTGCGCATCCGAGAGGATTACCTCCGTATGTTGAACCGTGAGTTCCGGGTTCCATGGTAAGCATGATCTCCTTGGATCCAAGTACGCAAGAGACGGGGTACATTCCACCTGAAATGGCCTTTCCAAGTGTCACCATATCTGGTTTGATGCCTGCCCATTCATGACATAGCATACGTCCTGTACGTCCGATACCCGTTTGAATCTCATCGCAAATCAGGAGGACATTGTGTTTCTTGCAGAGTGCGTGAACCTTGGTTAGGTAATCATCTGCTGGGACGACCACTCCTGCTTCTCCTTGAATCGGCTCCACGATGAACGCAGCAGTCTCCTTTCCATGTGCTTCCAAAGCACTTTCGAGATCGCCAATCTCGCCGAAGCGAATGGATTTTCCGGTTGATGGACATGATGGACCAATTCCTGGGACGTAGGGGCCGTAATTGTCTCGAGATTCGGGATCGGTAGACAAGGAGATTGCCGTCATCTGTTATTTCGCGTTAGCATTTCCAAAATGGATATGGGAATTACAGGACTCACCGTTCGTCCGTGAAAGTTCTCTGTCACAGAAAAGACCAATGCTTTGCCCTGTGGGATCTTTTTCGTCTTGTAACCCCATTTTCTCGCAATTTTAATGGCCGTCTCTACTGCCTCAGCACCACCATTCATCGGCAGAGCCATATCATATCCAAATACTTTCTGAACCTTCTCAGCCCATTTTGGGAAGACATCATTGTGAAATGCTCTCGAGGATAGCGTAAGTCGTTGTGCCTGCTCGCAGAGTGCCTTTACCAACTCAGGATGGCAATGTCCTTGGTTGACGGCGCTGTAGGCAGAGAGGCAGTCAATATAGTGTTTTCCCTCTGGATCCCACACACTGCAACCTTGGGCGCGAGCAAAGACGATGGGGAGAGGATGGTAGTTGTGTGCGGCGTATTTGTGTTCGGCCTCGATGGCAGCCGTGGTTGAGGTTGAATGGTACCTGGGATCGGAAAGGGCAGCGACTGGTTGGAAGGTAGAAGCGGTGGGCTTGAGGTTGCTAGTTTGGGCATTGACATCAACAGATCCATCAGCGTGCGGTGCCATGATTGCGGATAAATTGGGCTGGTGTGACGAGTGGTTGAATGCTGAGGATGGGGGTGGATGGAGGGGTGAAGGTAGGTAGCGGTGGCGGTCGAGGTTGCTTGTGCTTGTGCTTGTGGTGTTGCGGGGTTGCAGTGTTACTTGAGGTTGCCCGGGTTACTCTTGTGGTAGGAGAGAAGTTTACTGTTTACACAATCTCAGGAACTTTGAGGCGGGCAGTGGTTGCTCTTTGTAGGCTCAGCAAGATGGGGATGGGATGGGTACTCGGTGACTACGACTGGAAGAGAACAGGTGGGCTCACTAGACCACAATTGTAAGTGGCGGCGAAGAATCAGGGCCATTTCTGCGTGTGACCATGTGAAGATTGGCGATTAGTGTCCAAGTACTGTAACTCAGCTTCAACCTGCCATTAGGGATCACCATCCGTCTCTCTTGACTCTGCCTTCGTGTGAACCTGCGCATAGGGGAAGTCACTCCCCCACTACTACGCTCTACCGAGGGGCTTAAGCCGATACTCCGCAATTAACCTGGCGGTCCTAGGAACCCTAGCTGAAGCGAGCAGCCAATGACCAATCAGAAGAATACATTACTCACTAGGTTGATAGGGTGAGAGCATTTTGGTGATGGCATCCCAGATTGGTGGACATACGATGTAAAAGCGTTGGTGACTGGTCATCTCTATGTCTGTGGCGTTCTGAATAGTTTCAAATTCCAAAATAATCGTCTATCAATCTAGATTGATTAAATAATGCAGGTACGAGAAGATCTGCAACAACGACAACTATATTTGGCCTCAGGCAACAAACAATTATTCATGGCCCATGACCATCAATTTATGACCGTGATAATGAAACTCGAAGCACAAGTGGATCCAATGCCACTCCAAAAAAATATTAGAACTCAATCCAGAAGAAACGTTTCCAGACCAAAACATTTGTGAATAGATTCATCACCTCCCAAACAACTTCCATGGATTCACCATGACCACTCCAACCACCCAGTCTCCACAGACGGCAACCACCACGCCAGATCCGAAGCTAGACCAACCCGAGGAGAATCTTCATTCTCTCGTCTATAGTCAAAGATGCAAAGACATATGGATTATGCTCGTGGCCCTACGATGCGTCAACGCTCTTTTCGTGCGCACCTTCTTCCAGCCAGATGAATATTTTCAATCGTTGGAGCCAGCGTGGCAGATGGCTTTTGGTTCGGACAGTGGAGCTTGGATCACGTGGGTATGTATATTTCCAACGCATTGTAAACTCATGTACTGATTGGAGACAGGAATGGGATCATCAGTTGAGGTCTTCTTTACATCCTGCCATGTTTGCTGCCATCTACTATGCCGCGAATAAAACCATGGAATTGGTGAGCTGTTTTCCGCAGTTTCGAGCCATGATCTTAAAGGTGCTGCCCAATGTAGTTCAGGCTCTTTTTGCTGCTGCAACCGATTACTATACCTGGCAGTTTGCGGAGAAGATATATGGAAAAGGAAGTAGATCGGCTTGGGTGACAGTAAGTAAATGCTGATCAGGTATTGAGGAATATATCTAATCAATATTATAGCTCTTCATGTCGATGTTTAGTCCTTGGAATTGGTTCTGCTCGACAAGAACGTTTTCCAATTGTGTGGAAATGACATTAACTATTGCTGCGTTGAGTTTCTGGCCTTGGGAAATGACTACCGATGCGTCCAGTACAGAATCTTCCAGGTCAGCAAAGGGAAAGTTCAAGTCCTCAACCACCAAGACTCAAATCTTCACAAATTCTGGATCGGTTACAGAGTAAGTCTCTGTTTGGAACTTCTACGAAAGAAGATACTAACCAAGCACGTAGACTACGTACCTCACTTCTGTTGGCTTTCACTGCCTGCATTCTACGCCCAACCAATGGATTGATTTGGTTTTCAGTGGTCATGCCAATCGCTACCCAGTTTTACAAACCGAGTACCCGACTGGCGTTCTCCGACTATCTCATTCTCATCCGTGAAGTAATACTTTGCTTGTCGTTTGTTCTTCTACTTTCCGCCGGATCCGACAAACTTTACTTTGGAAAATGGACATTTCCTCCTTTGCAATGGCTCAATTTTAACATTAGTCAAGACCTTGCCGTTTTCTACGGTCGTAACGATTGGCACTACTATCTCTCTCAAGGACTTCCTCTTCTTCTCACGACATACCTCCCATTTACTATCGTGGCTCTTTGGAAAACTACACTCCTTCCATCCTCAAACATCCGAGTCCATATTCTCACACTAATCCTCGTCACAATCGGCGTCCTCTCCCAAATCGCCCACAAAGAAGTCCGCTTCATCTACCCTCTCCTACCTCTCCTCCATATCCTCACATCCCCAACAATAAACATCTTCTTCACAACCCTCATCTCCAAAACCACCTTCCCCCCTCCCTTCCCCTCAACACCCATCACCAAATCCGTCCTCACCATCCATCGCAAGCCCCTCCTCGCCACGCTCTTCTCCCTCAACCTCCTCATCGCAGGCTACACCTCATTCCAGCACCAACGAGGCGTCATCTCCGTCCTCTCCTTCCTCCGCCACGAATACGAAACCCTCCACCTCGACCAACAAGGACGCCTCCTCCCTCCTCCCTCCTCCCCAACCTCCACCCGTCCCCCCGCCGACGAAACCTTCGTCGCCTTCCTCATGCCCTGCCACTCCACCCCCTGGCGTTCGCACCTCTTCTACCCCACCCTCCGCGCATGGGCCCTCGAATGTCCGCCTCCCATCCACCTATCTAAGAACTCCGCTGCGCGAGAAGCATATCGTGATGAAGCGGATCGATTCTATGACGACCCCAAGAAATTCCTTTCGCAAGAGGTGGGGGGGAGGAACCGACCGTGGCCCCGCTACGTCGTCGGGTTTCAAGGGATTGAGGCGGTTCTGAGGGAGTGGTATGAGGAGAATGTTAAAGGGTGGGGGATGAGGGAGAAGTGGAGGGGTGGGAACAGTGATTGGATTGATGATTCTCGAAGGGTGGGGGATGTGGTGGTTTGGGAGTTTGTGGATGGGAGTTTGGAGGGGTAGGGTAGGTTCGTGCGGTGTGATGCTTTCGGTGGATGGGGTGTTGTGTGTGTAGGATATTTATGTACAGTATGAACCGTGGTATATTGTAATTCCGATACCTAGATATTGAACGCACTACTTTTGCTTAATCAGTCAGTTAATCAATCAATCAATCAATCACCAATTAGTCGGTACTCGTAGAACAGAACTTATCTTGTCTTATTATAAGATTACAGGATATAATGATCTTCGATATACGCTTTGTAAAGAGTATTGGAATCTTAGTATTTGTATAATATTACCTCGAGGATACTCGGGGTCATGACTTTTTGTAAGTGGTTCTTGTTTTCTCTTTGCCCTCTTTCTTTGTCTTTCTTGTTTACTTTACTTTAGTTCTTTAGTTCTTTAGTTCTTTAGTTCTTTAGTTCTTTAGTTCTTTAGTTCTTTAGTTCTTTAGTTCTTTAGTTCTTTAGTTCTTTAGTTCTTTAGTTCTTTACTTCTTTACTTCTTTACTTCTTTACTTCTTTACTTCTTTACTTCTTTACTTCTTTACTTCTTTACTTCTTTACTTCTTTACTTCTTTACTTCTTTACTTCTTTACTTCTTTACTTCTTTACTTCTTTACTTCTTTACTTCTTTACTTCTTTACTTCTTTACTTCTTTACTTCTTTACTTCTTTACTTCTTTACTTCTTTACTTCTTTACTTCTTTACTTCTTTACTTCTTTACTTCTTTACTTCTTTACTTCTTTACTTCTTTACTTCTTTACTTCTTTACTTCTTTACTTCTTTACTTCTTTACTTCTTTACTTCTTTACTTCTTTACTTCTTTACTTCTTTACTTCTTTACTTCTTTACTTCTTTACTTCTTTACTTCTTTACTTCTTTACTTCTTTACTTCTTTACTTCTTTACTTCTTTACTTCTTTACTTCTTTACTTCTTTACTTCTTTACTTCTTTACTTCTTTACTTCTTTACTTCTTTACTTCTTTACTTCTTTACTTCTTTACTTCTTTACTTCTTTACTTCTTTACTTCTTTACTTCTTTACTTCTTTACTTCTTTACTTCTTTACTTCTTTACTTCTTTACTTCTTTACTTCTTTACTTCTTTACCTCTATCTATCTCCGTCCCCCCTTATAACCCTCTTTCCTCTTTCCAAATACTTCTAGTTATATTTATAGCCGTTATTCCTATAGTACCTTAGCACCACAGGATATAAATCCTTAGACATACAGTTACACACTATCTCCGACACCGCCGGGCATAACTCGAAAGTAGATCAAGGACATACCTACTAACCTAGGTAGAAAGAAAAACAATAACGTGGTTTATCAGCGAGTCGATCATATCACCGAGTCGATCACTTTTCCTTGGCACTACCTCCTCAAACTTCAACACACGTTTTCTTCAACTATTTACCATGGAAATTCAAACTCAAGAAGCGCGAATTACTCTAGCTATCGAGGCTATTCGGTCGTCCAAAAAACTAAGCAAACGCTCTGCGGCAAAGATCTACAATGTACCATATACGACTCTTTCCGACAGAATGGCTGGCCGAACCTACCGCCCAGATTCTCAAGCCAATTGTCATAAGTTGACTGAGTTAGAAGAGGAAGTGATTATTCGGTATATACTGGATATGGATTCCAGAGGATTTGCGCCCCGGCTCGCTGGTGTAGAAGATATGGCTAATTTTATCCTTGAATCGCGGGGGGGAAGACGCGTCGGCAAGCTCTGGGCCCATCGATTCGTACAACGACAACCAGACCTTAAGACGCGTTTTAATCGCGTTTACGACTTCCAGAGGGCCTTATGCGAAGATCCTGACGTGCTAGGCGCATGGTTCCGGCTAGTAGAGAATATGAGGGCGAAATATGGGGTTACAGACTCCGACTTCTACAACTTCGACGAGACAGGCTTTATGATGGGTGTTATTTGTCCTAGAATGGTTGTTACTCGTGCAGACCGACGTGGTAGAGGCAAGGCAGTTCAGCCAGGCAATCGGGAATGGGCTACAGCAATTGCCTGTATTAATGGGGAGGGCTGGAGTATTCCTCCATTCTTGGTAGTTCAGGGCAAGAACCATCTCTCCAACTGGTATACCGACGGCGGCCTCCCACCTAACTGGGTTATGAAACCGACAAGCAATGGTTGGACAAATAATGAAACAGGCCTGGAATGGTTAAAGCACTTTGATAAACACACTACAGCTCGTGCAAAGGGTCTGTATCGAATACTAGTTTTGGATGGGCACGAGAGTCATGAATCGGCTGAGTTCCAAGACTACTGTACGAAACACAACATTATTACTCTTGGACTACCTCCTCATTCATCCCATCTAACCCAGCCACTTGATGTTGGGTGCTATAGTGTGTTAAAACGAGCGTATGGTCGGCAGATTGAGACGTTTATCAAGGCCCATATCAACCATATTACAAAGGTTGAGTTCTTTCTAGCCTTTACAGCAGCATACAAGGAAACAATGACAGTCCTAAACTGTCAGTCTGGATTCCGCGGAGCTGGCCTAGTACCATTTAACCCGCAAGCAGTGCTTTCAAAGCTTGACGTAAGGTTACGGACTCCAACTCCCCCTCGGACGTGTAGTGCCAACTCCCTCCCCTGGGTGTCCCAGACCCCTTCCAACCCAACTGAAGCCCTTTCACAATCAACTCTTGTACGAAATCGTATAGCCTGTCATCAAGGAAGCTCGCCAACTCCACTTTTTCAAACAGTTGCTGCGTTAGCAAAGGGTACAGAGCGAATGGCACATGAGATGACCCTTTTGTCTGCTGAGGTCCGTACCCTTCGCGCTGCAAATGAAGCCCTAAGTAAACGCCGTAGGGCTAAAAAGACTCGTGTCCGCCAAGGAGGGGCACTTATAGTAGAGGATGTACAGGATATGTTAGCTCAGGAGGATGTAGATGAGCAAGTACGACGCGACATGCGTGAGGCGGGGGTTGGTTATAAGGAGGGGCAACCTTCTAGGCGGCGCTGTAGAACTTGTGGAAAAGCTGGTCATAACGCGCGAACTTGTCAAGAAGTTATAGATATATCCAGTTCGTCAGATATAGAGAGCGATAATTAATTTAATATATTGTGGTTGATTTATTTAGGTGTAAAGTTCTGTGCCAAGAAAAAGTGATCGACTCGGTGATATGATCGACTCGCTGATAAACCACGTTATATAGATTTATAGTATAAATTTTATACTAAGACTTTTAATATCTTCTAATATAAGGAATAGCTTAAGCTTAATAAGTTCTTTACTAATCCTAATTAAGATCTAGTATATAGATATTTATAATAAGGAGAAGTACTTATAGTATATTTTAACGATTGAATAGAAGTCTTATTAGAAATATATAGTTATATTCTAGTTCTATAACTTAACATCTTTTTTATTAGAATTACTCTAATATTATATATTATAATAATTCTATAGAAGAGTACGTAATCCTAGTTAAGAGTTATACCGGGTAGTATAGGAGATATAAGGAATAGTTCTTTTACTATATAAATAATAGTCTTTTTACAATAGTATAAAGGTATATAAGAGCGCTAGTGTTACGGGAGAACAACGTATATATAGGAGGTTTAATATAGCATTTAACAAGTTCGATAGAGGAGAGAGAAGGAATCTTCTCGGGCTCCGCTATAAAGGAGAAAAGGGGCTCTCTTAGCAAGGCTTAGTAAGCACTAGCACAGCTAGTATTATACCTTAGGGGCTAATCCCTTATAGCTAGAGAGGTGTAACGAATACTCAAACTGGCTAACTAAACTTGGCTGGGTGTTCGCTGGTTGGTATGCTATGATAAGAAGAAGACTATCGGGTTGTTCACTTGGAAGTGTACTCGTTACTTGTATCAAAGATGTCAAACTAATATGATAAGATTGATAACTAAGTTGAGCACGAAGCTCCTATCTAGTGGCAGACATGCCAGTGTTATATAGAACCTTCGTTCTACTGGATCCCTTTGGATCCTTCCTGGATCCATCGGGGTCCATCACGTGACAACAACCAAATGAAATCCATGGATCGCTTAGCTTAACTAAGTTGAGCACGAAGCTCCTATCTAGTGGCAGACATGCCAGTGTTATATAGAACCTTCGTTCTACTGGATCCCTTTGGATCCTTCCTGGATCCATCGGGGTCCATCACGTGACAACAACCAAATGAAATCCATGGATCGCTTAGCTGGCCTAAGCAATCCCTATTTGCTATAAGAAACCTGGATGTGCCTGTCGAGGGTTGCGCCTCTTTATTATGACAAGTATCACGTGAGCACGTGATTCGTGACACGAGGGTTCGCGAGTAATCTTTTATTATATAAATAATATTATCTAGTAGTATTAAAGTAATATATATATATATATATATATTATATAACTATTAGCTGTTAGAAGACCCTTATGTAACGAATACTCAAACTGGCTAACTAAACTTGGCTGGGTGTTCGCTGGTTGGTATGCTATGATAAGAAGAAGACTATCGGGTTGTTCACTTGGAAGTGAACTCGTTACTTGTATCAAAGATGTCAAACTGATATGATAAGATCGATAACTAAGTTGAGCACGAAGCTCCTGTCTAATGGCAGACGTGCCAGTCTTATATAGAACCTTCGTCCCCGTGGATCTGGGGATCCTCAAGATCCCAAGATCCATCACGTGACTACATACAAATGAAATCCTTGGATCGCTTAGCTAGTCTAGCCGATCCCTATTCGCTATAAGAGCATGATAGTGCTTAACCTGTCAGCACGCCGCCTGGTCTTCACTCGTCACATGCTAACACGTGATTCGTGACACCTTACTATAAGGCTAAATTTAGCCTTTTATAATAACGTTAGACTATAATTATTTCTATTATACCTAGGGTATATCTACTTTAGTATAAAGGTATATAGGTACCTAGAGATCTATAACGTTCGGTAAATAGAACTATATTCTATAGAATTCTAGTGTCACGAATCACGTGCTCACGTGATACTTGTCATAATAAAGAGGCGCAACCCTCGACAGGCACGTCCAGGTTTCTTATAGGAAAATAGGGACGCTTAGGCTAGCTAAGCGGTCCAGGGATTTCCTTTGGTTACTGTCACATGATCGACTGGCATCAGAGGTGGTCGGCCTGACGACCTCTGAGGAATCAGAAAGGATCAGAGCGACGAGCACTGATTTAGGAGAACGAAGGTTCTATATAAGACTGGCACGTCTGCCATTAGATAAGAGCTTCGTGCTCAACTTAGTTATCAACTTAGTTATCAATCTTATCATATTAGTTTGACATCTGTGATACAAGTAACGAGTTCACTTCCAAGTGAACAACCCGATAGTCTTCTTCTTATCATAGCATACCAACCAGCGAACACCTAGCCAAGTTTAGTTAGCCAGTTTGAGTATTCGTTACATCTAGGTAGAATGTTCTATATAGAATACTTCTAGTGTACTTATAAAATAGAATGGAATTCTTTTATTAACTAGGCTCTAGAATTCTAGGAGTTCTATATAATTCTAGAGCTATTTAGTCTAATTAAAATATAGGATTTATAGTAAGAAAGTAAATATTAATTAATTATCTATAGTACGATTTACTATAAGATTTACCTAATAGTATTAATCTCTTCGTTACCCGATTCCTCTAGGACCTCCTAAGGAATAATACCCTAGTTAAGAAGGTATATATGCTACAAAATTCCCCTCTACTAATCCTATATCTGTCCTTCGTGATAATGCGACCTCTATTAGCAGATGGGGGTTTTCTATTGGTCCACCGGAGCGGAAGGATAATTTGCCGGGTCATATAACAAATTCCAGCTAGAAATTCTAGAAATTCCATAGAATATTTACCTCTAAAATAGAATACTTCTAGCTAAATCCTAAAAGGAATAGAATTCTTCCAGAGGGGGGGTCTGGAATAGAAAGGAATTCCAGATGCCGAGCGTTGGAGATCTACTTCGAGTAATTTCTACTATATTTAGACTTACTAAAACTTATAAATTAGGCCTTAGGAGTACTCCTACTCTATTCTATCCGGTAATCTAGCTATAATAGGGAGTATTAATTAGTATAGAATAGAATAAATAGAAGAGCCTTCTAAACTTAATAGATAGGCCTCGGAAAGGACGGGAGTAGAACGGACTGGAGATCCTATATCCTAAGTATTTATTTAAATCCTATACCTTATTCTACGAGAATCCGCTACTAAAATCGCGTATTTAAAATTCTTTCACGAGTTATATGCACGTTATATGCGAAGCTAAGAAACCTTGTTTATAACAATAAAAATCGCCAACAAAATCCGCCTATTTGTATATTCCATCATTAGCATCACCGATTTGACTTTACTGTATTTCATTTTCCATCTTCACCATCCATTTTCCGCCGAACCTCCAAACCCAACTCCTCTTCCCATCCTTCCTTCCATACAGTACAATTCTCCTCACTCCCGCATCCACAAGGGATAATTCACAGACTTTCTAAAAACATCTACTACACTTTCTTTGGTCCACCACACTCACACACGTCGCAGTTAAGATTCCCAACTTTCCGACCCTATGATGATATATCTCGTTGGTCCTCTTTCTTTCCTTCTCGCTTTGCTTTCTCTCGAATAATCTGTAGAGTGGGCGGAGTAGGTAGGGTAGGGAGCACAAACAAAAAGATCACAGGCTCCTTCACAGTCACTGTAGAGCCCACAAGCGGTCGTGGCCGTTGAGAAGAGGGCAACGACTAGGAGAGTGAACGTGTAGGGTTTCATGATGTTTCGTTTCTTTGATTGAAAGTGGGATTTTGGGGGGGTTGGTTGTCTGGAGAGTGTTTGGTAGAAGTAGAAGTACAGGAGGTGCCCACCGTATTCTTGTAAGGAAGAGTTGGGGTTGAGAATGAACGTGAATGAGGAATGGATGAAACGGGTTTATATAAACCGCAGCAGGAACCAGGGCGGAATTAGATGGTACTGTAAGGACGGGTGGACAGGAAAGTCAATGGAGAGTTTAGTTTAACTTTGCTGTACAAGTATCCAATGATTCAGAGGGTGGGTGGAAGACATGAATCTACACGATGAAGCTAGCGGATATGGCAAAGTCTGTATCGAGTAACCCTCCGGCCGGCTACTGTCGTATTCACAAATGCTCGCCTTTGGTTCGTCTAGTGCGCTTTCTCCTGTTCCCTGACCTTCGGTTTCTGTATTGAATAGCTGGGATGGGATTGGATGGAAGTAGCGGGTAATGTCTTGAACTACAGAAGTCTGGTAGTTGCCTCATAGCCTCGAGAATATAGTAGGTACCTACCGATGGCAAGAAGGATAAAACGTCGATATATTTATTCGGTCAGAAGTTAAGAGTATGTTTGCCGCCAGGGTTGGGGTTTCCTGTAGTAAAAGTTCAACTAGCATCTAAACTGGTGCTAAAAACCTAATTATTAATAGCTTGTCGAGACAAATGTGGACTATTTAAGAGAATAACTAGGTAGTAGTCATTCGGTCTGTCAAATCGCTGGAATCAGATGTCCACCTGTACGTAGGGGTTCACCCTACTCGATTTTGTATTGAGTTTGGCTTACAGTACTAGATTTGAAATTTCCCCACCTTTGGAAAAGTGAAGTAGATGAATAACGTGGTAAATCGACTCTAAGGAGGAGGCAAGGATTTTAAGTTCGATATGCCCCATAGTGCTCCTTAGGCTCCGAGTAGCTGGATATACAGTGATTGGCTACGAAAAGCGAAGTAAATAATGAATAGATGGTGCACCCAAAAATCACAACCTCCATCTCAACACCTTATTCATCCTCACCACCTCACTTCCTACAAAACCCTAGACTCCTCATTCAAATCCCTTTCCCAAGTTAGCCTTCACCCACCCCAACCCATCTCTCGGAGTAGTGAGCAAATAACAGCTTGTAATACAACAGCGCCCTTCACTAGTTTCCCATCATAAGATCTTACTTATGATACAGTAGAAGCTTCGGGAATGCGTTGCATTGTATTGTATTATATTCAATTGCTATCATATTTCAATGTTTGATCCTTCCCTATCGATCTACCATGATCATGAGCGGACAAAGATATTCGTATCCATGTTTCCATACGATCCCAAACTCCAAATGCCATGCTGAATGCTGAATACTCCATCCATATTTGGTAATCCACATCCGCTATGCTTTCTCTGTTGTACAGACCTATTCCTTGATTTGAGTTTCCAGAAGAAAAGAAAGAAAGAATTAAATGTCCGGCTCGTCATGAAATCGTAGTCCGGCCATATCATAAGCCATCATCATTCCATCATCCATCATCATCTTTTGATCATCCATCATGTTTTGATCATCCATCGTTCGATTCCTGTTTCAATTCCATTTCCGTTCATCGGTTTTAGCATATTTGATATTAGTTTTTTCGTCGGTTCATTTCAGCATGCCCAGCTGTCACATCAGTACATGTCCACCAACCCCAAAGTCTGGTCCCCAACAAGGCAGGACGTGACATAAAAAGCCAACAACTCCTCGGCAAAATCATCCAGCACAATAACTGTAAACTTCCCCTGCCATCGCTGTAAAAACTCCTTGGAGCAGTATTCCGTGCTCAATCCCCCACTCCAAGCATAAACCTCCACTTGCCACCCCTTCAACAATGCCCTTTCAACCGTCTTCAGGAACCCGCCAGAGTACTCCGCTTCCGCAGCGTCACCACTGGCGAGTACCATAGTCGATGGTTCTTCGGCATCAACGATGCTTTCCAGCATCTTCATCTGCAAGATTTCATCCACGCATTGTTCTTGCTTGGAAACTCGTACATAGCTCGGTGCATCGGAACCAGAGGAGTGACCTGAGGTAGCGTAGCCGTTTCCTTTTCCTCCTCTTCTTTTCGGAGTAAGGGAGGGAGCCTTTACAACGGGTTCCAAGATGTTCAGTTCATAACCACATTCTCGGGCGTCGAGAAAGACTTGTGGGAGGCGTTGTTTGACGAGGCGGCCCAAGCCGTCGTGTGCGAGGCTACCGCCATTAATGGAGCCTGCGAGCACTCGACGGGCTACTGGGCGGTTACGTTCAAAGAGGAGGGATAGACAGTGGAACGAAAGTGGAGGAAATCTCCTGTAAACTTGGAGAGGGATGCCACGATCTCTTTTGATTTGTTGGAAGAATCCTATGTTTATGTTTGAGAAATCGACGAAGATGTGAATACCGTCAGACTGTATCTTTCTCTTGTATTCTGGTAGAAGGCTTGTTGTGGATAGCTCCCGAGAAATTAAGTTTCTTTTCTTTAGTTTCTTAATGAGACGGGCTTTCTTTTCCATATATGTGAGAGTGAGTTTAGGACGTATTATTGAGCCATCCGGGTAAACTGGTGGGTATGGTAGAAATGGCGGCGGCGGCGGGACAAGACTTGAAGGAATAAGACCTTTTGTTTTATGAGGTGAGATTTCAAAAGATTTCGGTTTTGTAATCTCGTCATTGATAACTTTGATTTTTTTGCCACTTCTTAATGTATACCGAATTTCCGTATCAGATTCTTGTTGCGAAGAAGACTTGTTCGAAATGCGTTTGGTTCGTCTGCGTGATTGGGAGGTAACTAATCCAAGTGATTCATCCTGCCAACGGACCTCCTTTGCCTTTGATTTATCCTCGTTCTCGCCTTCCAAACTCAACCTGGTGATCGCATTTGTAGGTGTAATTTTCTCAGCTTCATCTTCTGGGGCAGACGAGAGGGGCGTAGATGCTGGAGATGGTCTAGATAGTGTGATTGTGGAGAAGGTAAGAGAACTAGAGGAGGTTCCAAATGATTCATGTCGGCGTCGAGTGACTGCGTCAAGAGGGCGACCGAGAAATTCCCAGCAACGATTAAAGTCTCCTAACGAGTTTGGCTTGCTTGTAGTGGGGTCATATTTTGTAGGATCGAGAGCGACGTCGGCGATTTCAGCATCGTTTGGGGAGGTGGATGTATGCGAATGCGGATAATTATGAAGGAATCTGAGAACTGCATCGAGGTTCCCCAGTTCAGGTTCTGGGTGGCGGGCGTTTGTATCCATGGGGACCGGATCTGAAGATTGTCAGTAGGAAATTGATGTAAGTAAGGTGGCATAACATACTGTGACGTAAATAATTGCACCGGTAGAGCACTCATACTTGTGGGTTGGTGTTGTTGTTTTGTGTAGGTAGAGAGTTCGCAAGCATACGCAAGCGTATTGCGATATCTCTGTGCTACTGTACGGATGATGACTCGGAAGTGCAGGTGGCAAAGTTCCCGCTGGATCGAGTGAATGACTACCTGGTAGCACCAGTGCGCAGTGGCAGCCTTGTGAGCTAGCCGAGCTGTTCCTCGATCATTGCTACTATTTACCTCCGTAGTCTGGAACATTTCCTAGTGTACAAGGGCAAATACTACTGGTAATGCAAATCATTGCATTCGACCTGTTCTGGTTCATGGATTTTGGAGCGTTGGACTTATGGCATTAGGAGCAATGAAAGAATCTCAATGTTCGCGGGTTGTATCAGAACCCGAAACTCATATATTTTTAGATTTCCTACAGCTATTTGAGGATTCAGAAATCTCTATTGCCAGAAGGGACATTAACCATACCCAACAACTCTTTGGTGTTGTATATACTGGCACCTATGCAAAAACAGATCCGAGGAACTATTTACATCGCTGCCGCTACCCGCATCAGATAAGGTTAGCAGGGCGGAGGTGAAGGCCATCACGTGTACACTAAGTCGCTTTGGGTTAGCAAGGTTCTGGAAACTTTTCCAATTGCTCTGCTCAAAAAAAAGCTCAAGCTCGAGAAATTTATGAAGTGCTCCAGAATCACTGACAACGTCGCAACGCCAATCGAGAATACATTTCACCAGCTCGCGCGCTGCACCCTTTGCGACTAGACGGGGCATCTTTAGAGCTTGTCGGAATGGCGGATATCAATTATCTGCTCCATGAGAGCTCGGTGGGGTACGCCATTTTCGAGGTCGTGAACCAAGGCGATGCAATTGGAAACCGATTGAAGGAAGTTCAAGATGCGACTCTGGATCTTGCCAAGTTTGGAAAGATGGTCAAACTTGTCAATTTTGCGCCATACAGGTACACGAAATATTTCCGTAGCAAACGAAGTGAACTAACACCCCGCGCAGAGGAGCTGCCGAAGCTCTCGAGAACATCAATTTAGTGTCTGAGGGTGTTTTGTCCGAATATTTACGATCGAACCTCGAGCTGAACCTCCCAAAACCATCCAAGAAGAAGAAGGTCGTGTTAGGTGTTTCCGATAAGAATTTGGCTGGTAGCATCAAGGCTTCTTTCCCGGGTGTCGACTGCGAGACGGGAGAGACTTCCGAGGTGGTCGCAGACTTGCTTCGTGGGGTGCGATTCCACGCGGGAAAGTTGCTCAAGGGTCTCCAAGAGGGCGATGTCGAGAGAGCTCAGCTTGGTCTTGGTCACGCATACTCGCGTGCTAAGGTAAAGTTCTCGGTTCAGAAGAACGACAACCACATCATTCAAGCGATCGCGACCTTAGACCATCTCGACAAAGCTGTAAACACCTTTTCTATGCGTGTCAGAGAATGGTATGGATGGCATTTCCCAGAGCTCATTCGAATCATCTCCGACAACCACACCTACGCAAAGCTTGCGCTTGCCATTGGTGATAAGAACACTCTTACCCAGGAATCATTACACGATATCGCAGCTATTGTTAGCGATGACGGAGATATCGCGCAAGCGATCATTGATGCTGGTCGCGTTAGTATGGGCCAAGAAATCTCAGAAACCGATATGGACAACGTTTCCGCATTCGCAAACCGTGTGGTTAAGCTCGCCGAGTACAGAAAATCTCTCTTCCAATACCTAGTCAACAAAATGGCAATTGTCGCACCCAACCTAGCCTCCTTGATTGGAGAAGTTGTCGCAGCTCGACTCATCTCCCACGCCGGATCCCTTACTAACCTCTCCAAATACCCCGCATCCACTGTTCAAATTCTTGGTGCTGAGAAGGCGCTTTTCAGAGCCCTGAAAACCAAGGGAAACACCCCAAAATATGGTCTTATCTACCATTCCAGCTTCATTGGCCGTGCCGGAGCAAAGAACAAAGGCCGTATCTCGAGATTTTTGGCAAACAAGTGCAGTATTGCAAGCAGAATCGATAACTTCTCTGAGGAGCCTTCCACAAAATTTGGAGAGGCATTGAAGAAGCAAGTTGAGGAAAGATTAGCCTTCTACGCAACTGGTGCAGCACCAATGAAGAACGAGGATGCTATGGTAAGTTCTTCTTTTTATCTGTACGAGAATTCATGACTAACCCAAAAAAACAGAAATCCGCAATGGATGCCGTCCTAGGCGATATCCAAATCGACGAACCAGTAGACACAGAAATGGCCGACATCGTCCCAGAAAAGAAATCCAAATCATCCAAGAAGGAGAAATCCAAGGACAAGGATGGCAAGAAGGAGAAGAAGCGAAGACATAGTGAAGTAAACGGCGACTCAGAAGTAGTCGAGAAGAAGAAGAAGAAGTCCAAGAAGGAATCTGCCGACTCAGATTAAGCATCTAATCTGTGCCGTTCGTTCTTGGGGGATTTCTTCTCTTTTTTTTTAATTTTGTACATTTGGTTGGGCTGCTTGCATGGTGTTGGCTTTTTCTCTTTTCGGTCTGTGTTGAATAAATGTGGCGTTTGAGGAAAATATGATCAACCCTTTTCCCTTGAATGTTCGGATGGTCATGAACGGTAGGTAGATACGGACCTAGCAAAAAATGAGAAAGAAATCTTGAAAATATCATGTACTTATCCACGTGGTGTTGAGTCAGTGTATAAAATGGTATGAACCGCATCTCAAAAACGCAATTTACTGCATTTCTTCCGAACACATCATCCTACCTCATCTCTTGTTACTTTTTTCTTCATTCCGTTCAGTACAATGGAGGTATTATTATAGTATCATGTATCATGTATCTTCTTTTCAGATTTATAATTAATTTAACTTCCTCATAACGAGCCCTCACTACCAAACTCCTCGGTCCACTCCTTACTCCTCTTAATATCCTCCTGGGACACGGTTGGCCGTGCGCCTTTCACTGCCTTCTCAAAGTCCCTCAGGGTTAAAGGTGGTTCGAGGAGTTTGTCAGCGTCGACTTCGGTCCAGTTCATTTCGATGGCTCCTGCGTCGCCGGGAGAGCAGGGTGTAAGTTTTTCTGAACCGTCGACTTGGACCTGTGGCTAGGCTGTTAGTGAGGGAAGGGAGATTGGGGTTAGGGTTTATGGATGGTGAGGAGACGTGCCTTTTTGTAATGGGTTGCCATTTGGATTAACCGCACGGGTTGCATCAGAGCATCCTGCACTGCAATCGTGATATCACTCCCCGAATACCCTTCACTCAGCTCACCTAATTTCTTGAAGTCCGCTTTCGTGAGATCACATGGGGTAGTACCGACGGATATTTCAAACATGGTTGTTCGAGCTGCGGCGTCGGGGAGTGAGATGTGTACACGACGCTGGAAACGACGACGGATGGCGGCGTCTAGTTGCCAGGGAATGTTGGTTGCGCCTAGGACTAGGACGCCTTTACTGTCTCGTCCTACTCCGTCCATTTGGACGAGCATTTCGGTCTTGATACGTCGTGATGCTTCAGATTCTCCTTCGCCTCGAGGACCACAGAGAGCATCAATTTCGTCTATGAAAATGATTGAGGGCTTGTTCTCTCTGGCCATGGCAAATAGTTGTTTGACTAATCTGTGAGAATGTAAGTATGATTGTATGTATGTAAGGAATTGTAGATATCAACTAACCTTTCAGACTCTCCCATCCACTTACTGACCAAATCTGAACTACTGACACTGAAAAATGTACTGTTGGCCTCCGTAGCCACCGCCTTCGCCAAATAACTCTTCCCCGTCCCAGGAGGTCCATATAACAAAATGCCCTTCCACGGCTGTCTCTTCCCCGTAAACAGATGGGGGAATTTTATAGGCAGAACAACAGCCTCCTTCAAGGCCTCCTTGGCCTGTTCCAACCCCGCAACGTCCTCCCACCGAATATTAGGTTTATCCTGCAGAATCGCACCCGCCAGCGCACTCCTCAACTTCTTACTATCCGCGTCCTGCTCCCCACCCGCATCCTCCTTCCCCTTCGCGCCCCCCGCCGCCGCCGTCCCATTCGCGCCCACCATCCCCGGTTTCTTCTTCGCGGCGTCCCCTTCAAGATGCACTTTTAATTTCTCGGCGCGCTCCATGTATTCGGCAGCTTTGGTTCTTATCATCTCCTTGGACTTTGCGTTCTTCTCCCATTTTAGGGCTAGCATGAAGAGTTCTAGAGATTGGTAGTAGAGCTGGTAGGCTTTATCATATTCGGCTGCTGTGTCGGCTTCGATTGCTTTTTTTACGACGTCTATTGCTCGTCCCAGGAAGTCGGTATTTGACATGGTGGGTGGTTGTGGTGGGGTAATTGGTTTGAGGTGGGAGAGATGGCGAGACGTGGAGGGGTGGGTTGTATAAAGGTGTCGCGATCTTGAGATGCCAGTAGGAGGATATCGGCTGGGGAGAAAGGTTGGTCGGCACTTGACTAGATATCTAAGGGTAGGGGCGGCCTAGGCCTGGTGTTGAAAAGACGCCGCTGTTTCGTAGATGGTGAGAATGAAGGTGGGCTTGTTGTTGATTAGATAGGTAGCTGCGCAGGAGCCCGTATTCCAGATCAGAGGCTGAATATCTGCGAGACAAGACCGGAGAGATTTTATGCTCGTGAGGTGTTTGGAGGCTGAGGTAGAGTAGAGGTTGTTTATAACGGAGCGAGTTCTCTTCGGTTGGAGGTCTGCAGGTGTAATTCGTTGCCTTGCACTTACCCCGCGAAGCACGAGGCCCGCAACGGCGCTAGTGAAGGACCTCTCTCAATAAATCGCCAGATACTTACTTACTGTACTTTGCAATCTCACACGGGGAATTTGTGCAACGGGTTACTTGAGACAGATTGAGATTCTGCATCTTCTGTCAACCTTCTTTGATTAGCCGTTTCGTCGACTCTGCGTGATTTCTTGAAAAAAACACCTTTCACCCCACCAACACCACTGCAATGGCAGACATCCAGCAACGTCTGCAGGCACTGAGTACCGAATACCAAGCTGTCCAACAAGGTAAACCGCCTGATACCTCTCAATATGTTCAATTTGTTCTAACAAATCTAAAAAGAACTACAAACCCACGTCAACTCCCGCCAAAAGCTCGAGTCGCAACAACAAGAAAACCGCGCCGTACAGAAGGTTCGAGACTACCACCGAAGCTATTCATCCAACACGGAAAAGAAGCCAGGAAGCTAAGATCGTGTTCGCGTAGGAATTCTCAGGACTGAAAGACGATGCCAATATCTACAAGATGGTCGGACCCGTATTATTGAAGCAGGACAAGACCGAGGCGGTTTTGGCGGTTGATGGGAGATTGGAATATATTGAGAACGAGATGTACTTTCCACCTCTTCGTCCTAATATCTCGATATATTTGTAATCTATACTGATGTTTTGGCAGTAAGAGAGTGGAGAAACAGATCAAGGATACCGAGGATAAGAGTGATGCTGTTAGAGCACAGGTATAATTCTCTGTTTCTCTTTGATTTGACATGGTTTGGAAGTTGTTCGTGATGCTAATACGGAGAGAATAGATTATCCAGACACAGTCAGAAGCACAGCCACAAGGTCCAGGGTCTCAGCAGCAGGTTGCGGCTTGATTTGCAAGAGAAAGAGATTTTCCTGTGCTTTAGCGGTGTTTTTGGTGTTGCATTGCGCGGCGTTTATATCACAATGTCCTCATTTCAAATTTCAAACAAATTTCGTAATGTTCTACTCATGTCTTTCTGTTGAGTGTTTTGGTTGGTTGTTCCATTTCTACACTTTGGAATTCTGATACCATCATGAATTAATTTGATAACTCGTTCTAAGTGGACATGGGTGTCACAATCGTTGCGCATAGCAAACGTGTTGTGCCATTCACGGAATTGTGGGCAAAAGCGTCAAGTGATCTAGTTTTTGCTTGATGTTTTTGGGGTTTTTTTGCCCTTTTGTCTCTTGGGCTCTTTGGCGTGATAGGCCTGTGTTCAGATCAAGAGTTTCGTGTGGAATCTAATTTGTCTTCACGTCCACTATTTCAGGCGAAGAGCAAACTATTTTCGTCATATCTATCAGAATTCTGATCAGATCAAAAGCATTGCTGTCTGGAAACACAACTCGAACTTATTGATACTCACAATAGGAAGAATTTCTTATTGCAAAAAGCTGTTCATTCATACCACTATCTAATCATTACTCAAATTCTACGACCCATTTATCCCAAAATGCCATACAAAAGTTATCTGCATTAAAATATACTACTTCGCTTTCTGCTCCCCAATCGTACGGGAGAGCTAGGAAGTGAGTTGGAAGAGTACATATCCCCTACCTCTCGCCACCAATGTATCGGTAACCCGTGTAACATGATCCAGTCGGTAACAGGGGGTCTCTTATGTTTATCCCACTGCTCTGAAGCAACCCTATCTGTCTCTTCTTCACCCTTAATTTTCTTATGGTTCTCTGATGCACTACTCAATTTGTGTGGGGACCACCAGCCGGCTGGGGGATCCCCAAGTTGATCCCAATCACGTTTTCTGGATTCGGGTTAAGGTTCAGGATGCTTGACAGCTTGCTCATGCGCAAAGAAGTAATCCGGATCCCAAAACTTCTTGATCTCCCGGAGCTCAGCGGCGTTGTCGCCGTAACATGCTTCCTCATAATTATCTGGTGCTAAGTCTCGTGCAGCAAAGTTGGAGAAAGATGCCTTCTGGTCTATGGCTAGGGGTGTTAATGAATCTATCACCGTTTGATAGAACTTTCTCATGTCTCTCTCCAGCCATTTGTCTTTCCACTCAAACATCCCGTAAGCATAGTAGGTGGTCTTATTTCGCCAAGGGTCACAACTAGTCTGGTCTTTCTTTTTTATCTGCTGGCCACCTCCGCTGATAAAAGCGATGTAGAATAGGCAATCCTTTTCCTTTCCAAATTCTTTTTTGAAACTTCTATGAGCCTTTACAACTCGTTCGGTAAATTTCTTGAGTATCTTGGGGTCCATCTCCAAATTGAATGAGGCAAAGAGGCGGTAGCTGGGGTCTGATGGAAAAGCTGCTTTGGTTTCTTCTGCCCATTGGACTACAAGTGTCTCGTGCAGGAATCGGGTGGATTTCTCGGGAAGACATCTTCGTTTTAGTTGCCGATTTAGATCTTCGTGCTTAACTAGTCTATCGATTTGTGCTTGGAATGCGGTCGTCCCGCTATCGTAATACTACAAAATATGATGGTCAGTATCGGGGAAAATGAGAGCTGTAGGGGCTTACACGGCACCCTCCAACTTTTACTCATCTGGGAGTTGATGAGGAGCCTGAGAAATGTGTAAGGAGTGACAAAACAGAATTTTGCGTACTTACAGTAGTGTAGCGAATTCCAAGAGCCCCATTCGCTTCCCTAGTGTCAGAAATCCAAGTGGAATCACAGGTAAATTTGTCTTTCCAAGTTGCTGTATAGAAAGTTTGCATCATATCTATCAGTTTTCGCTCATCTTCTTTGGCCTCCGCCCGTTTGGCCCTGATTTTCGTGGCATCAGTCTCGTCGGGGTCCAGCTCCGCCAGTTTTGGAAACCAAGTATATCTCCCACCAGTGACGGTCTCGCCTCTTAGGTTACACACGCGAATCTTCATTTCAGTCACCACACCGAAGGGTTTTCCTGCTCCAGCACCGCAGAGGGCCCAGAAAAGCTTTCCCTTCTCCGAATCTCGCTTATACGTTTTCTTGACAGTAACGATTGTTCTATCGGCGACGACGATAGTGATCTCTCTCACTTGATCGCATCCCATCCCAAGGGATCTACCAAATGGACCAAGCCCTCCCCCTAGAAGGAACCCAGCTACACCGACCATCGGACACCGCCCACCATTCATCACATAACCGTCCAGCCGGCCATTAATCAACTGTCTATAAGCATCACCCCACAACGCACCCCCCTCTACAGTCATCGTCATATTATCCTCCGACAGATGCGCTCTATTCATCAAGGCCATATCCATAAGGATACCTTCATCCGCGGAAGAAGCGCCAGAGTACGAATGGCCACCCCCTTTGACGGTCACCGGCACATTTTGTGACTTCGCATACCGGATGACATCCTGGACTTGCGTCGCATTCTCGGGATGAACAACACATGCGGGCCGCGAGAATCGGTATAAGAGATTGGAGCTCGCGATGGTTCGCTCGTACTCCACGTCTGCGGGTCTGTAACAAGGGATTTGGAGGCCTTGGAATATTGTCACGAGGTCGAAGCCCAGGTCGACTAGTGGTTGTTGGATGAGAGCTCGTGGATTGGGTTTCAGCTTTAGTTTTGTTGGTTTTGATTTTGGCTTGGTTGTTGATTCTTTGGGTTCTTTTTCCTTTCCCTTGCCTTTGGTTCTCGCATTTTTGGCAGCAGGCTCGGGCTGTTCTGGCGGTTTTGTTTGTGTTGATACTGATACTCTGGTGCGTTTTTGACGAACGGTCTTTGGGGATATCCGGGAGGATCTCTCCGCCGACCTTGTGGGGATGTTAGCAGACCTAGAGCTTTGGCCCTCTTCGACTCTTGAGTCCATCATTGTGATGGCCTTTGGATAAGAGTGAGAAGTGAGCGAGAGAAGATCTTTTTGAAATAATAAGAGAATGAAAAAATTAAAACCGAACTTGGCACTTGCCGATTCCTGAAAGTGATAATGGGGAAGGCGAAAATAATGGACAAAGAAGGTTGCGAGCGGAAGTGAGATGAAAGAAGATTTTATGCGTGTATACAACATGAATGAAGATTAGCGTTCTATTGCTTTCAACTGAGACAATTCATTCCTCTCTTATTGAGAAGTGGGCAAGTTTTGGGATGTGGTATTGATGAAGTGTTGCGAGGTTTTGGTGGTGAGGACAGGGAGTCGATACGCTATGTCTTCGCCGTCCTCAACAACGAAACCTCTCAATGCTTGATGTTAAAAGCCTAGGTGATCCGATTTAATAGTACTATAGCGGTTTTTAGTAAATAGACATCCAGTCCGTTTTTTCGTATCAATTCATTCAAGATACTGTAAATAAATAATTGTTGTGGTCGATGCACGCAATCGGCGATAGGTTCGGTCCTCGGCTCCTGTCTCCGGCCCAAGTCCGGTCATCCCGACCTCCCGGATGCGTCTTGATTTTTCTCGCTTTGCTTACGCTATTCACACGTACATTCAGATCTCTAAATAGATCATGCCCTGTAATATAAACATATTAACGGTAGGTTGGTATGGTTAATTATCATTCATGTAACACGATAGTCCTCTGTGCTATTCAATTATATCCTACCCCGCCCTAACACCCTCTGCCAGTCGGTCATCGCAATGACGGCTCTCTAGGGGCCACTGCCGTGGATTCGGTACGCTTCAACATCCCGACAGCCTCCGGACGTACAAATACTGAGTACCGTATTAATTAGTATATAAGATAACATATAGTAATTAAAAAGTCTGCTATATGACGAAAATAACCTTACCTTAATACAAAAGTAATATCTAATAAGCAAAAAAGTGAGTCCATACTACCGACCACCGCCTTTTATGCCGCTTCTACTACTATTATTACTGCTACCACGCCCACCACACCTACTACTGGCTCCTTTTTCCTCGTGTCCGGCTGCTTTATCTCTACTCGAAGGGCAAATAGTCTAATTATATCAAATACTATTAGGTAGACTTTTTATTTTCTGTTGATTTGTACTTAACAGATGAGTATAATAAGGGGTAATTCGGTACGATTCTATTGGTTAGACTCATAAGATATGATTCCTAGCGAGTGGAGGAACCTTCTCTCTTGTCTCAATTTACCTTATATACAAATAATACTTTAAATAACAATCAATACGGTACCCTAACTCAACAACAATGATAAAATGGGTTCAAAACAAAAGGTGAAGATAATTGGGATAGAATGGTAAGTTTTTATTAGCTAATAGAACTGTTCCAGAGGTAATTTGGAGAATCAGACACTCTTCAAATACAGAATAGCATCCATCCTAGAGTTTTTGAAGAAATTTTCTGTCTTTTCCATGCCTCTTCCCTTAATATGGCTTCGCAGCAAACTGTCTACAGAACAGTAGGCGGGGAGTGATACAAGGATTTTATCACCTCCTATACCACGACAAAGCCATTTTTGCAGATGCAACACACAGTATCGTAGTTAAAAGTCTGGCCACACTATAACGATATCAATATATAGCTTAGTAGTCGTGAGATAGTAAACTTACCCCACGATTGCTACAGCAAATAACAGGCGGAGAGCCATATAAAGATTGTCGCATCTTACTCTGCAACGATAAAGCCATCGTTGCAGATACATCTGGCGGCATCACAGTTGAAATCACGGATACCCTATAACGATGTCAATATATATCTGGTAGTCGCAAGATAGGGAACCTTACATCGTGATTTTCACAGCCGAGTCTGCAGAGGTTCTGAGTAAGATCAGAACCACCGCAGCCTTGTGCGGCGGCAACGGCAGCAAGCGCGAAGGCGACGAGAACGCTGAAGGAACGCATTTTGATTGTGGGAAATGGAAGAAGGCTTCGAAATCGATCGAGCGTTGATAAATTTATAGAAAGAAGTTGATAGGTAAGTAAGTGTTGTAGATAGAAGAATAGAATAATGATGCAGAAGATTCACTGGACGGGTAGCAGGAGACTATTAAATAGTAATATTTACAACACACAGTCGTCCGTTCTACACATTAGGCTTTGCCGAGATGTTTAACCTGGCTTCGGCTTTCCGGTCACAGAACTTGGCCAAACTTGGCCAAACTTGGCCAAACTTGGGGATCGTGGATCTTGGAGCCGATCTATGTGGAGGTTGAGAAGGATTAGGACTTGGCTACACTAAGAAGCGAAACGTCATACCAGATCAAAACATGAACGTTAATATTAACGATCACAGCCTCACACTTTATCCAATCAAGGCGTTGATTGCATTGAGCTTGAGTCGGAACGCCCTGTCAAATCTCCTATTAACTACTTTGTAGTGAAAAGTTTTCTTCCTTATTTATCAAAAACAAGAAGATAAAATTTTGGAATTTTTCTTGAGGTTCTCCTTCGTATGCTAGAAGTGTCTTGGATACTTCCTCTTGGCGTACTACTGCAATTGGCGATACAATTTGTAAGAATAATTAGCTTAACCCGCGACTAATGTCTCCCCTTCGTAGACAAGGGGAACCAAGGCTAGCATCAACCACAACTTTTTCTTATTATCTCTAGGCAGGCTACTAGTCGGTGAGGCCTTTCTTTGCGCTCAAGGTCGCCGAAAACAAGTGCAGCGGATGATCTCCAATTACAGTAACCGATATCCTTCACGTGACGCAGCCAAGCGAGGTCGCTTGGGAAAAGACTAGGCATGACGAGGGATGTCGTAAGGGACAGGAACAGGTTTCGTAGGACAGAAGACAGTGGAGTCAATGGTGATTTTGTTCCCTACTATTTCTACTTCGAAGTACTCGTACTTCGTGTTAGGATATTCAAGTCGTAAAATTTTCGGGTTAACATCTGTTATGCAGATCATACGTGAGAAAACCTTGTTTATACTGCCTAGATCCAAGCCTCTAATTCGCTTGTTTAGCTAAAAATCGGGGCCGAGACATAATCTTCACTTGCACTCGTACGGTAAATTTACTTCATAGGTAGGGTGGGACTTCTACGAAGTAGCTGTCCAGTGGTCGCCCTCTTATACCAGCCTCAGATCGGCCAAGTCACACGGATTCTCGAGTCCAGGACAATAGCACGGGAAAACCTACATACATGGAAACCAGAAACGTGTTATTTCGACGGTATGCAATAATGATACGTGGTCAAGGCTGCTCTTATGCTGCTCAGCTGCTGAAAACCCGGAACCGCGACTCGACAAGCCGACAAGCAAATATCCGCCTATCCTCACGCGCTCAGTCGCTACCTTAGTATCTTTGGCTGGAGGAGGAAGCAGCGGTACAGTTTTGTTCTTCTTTTTTGAACTTCTGTCCTACCAAACTACTATGACTTTTGATACGTCCCTTTTAGTCCGCTGTATAACCTAATAGTCGCTGCCTGCGACCTAATTACAAAGGTTTTACCTTAGCCAATTTACCTCGGGACTGGTGAGTATTATCTTGGTTCATTTCCTATACGGTTTTCCCAATATAAACTGCTATATATACTAGTTAATGCGTAAATTTATCTAATTTACTTGTGGAAGTCATGAGAAAGGTTTTAGAGAAATAAAACGGGACGGGTTGATCATTATGAAAAGGACGGACAGTGTTACTACAGTATTCCCTTTCCTCGCGTAGACTAAACGACGGCTGCCAATTTCATTCTGACAGTCTCAGGAATACCTTTGCACTAGCTCACTAGTGACAAGTCAGAAAAGAAAACATAGAGCTGAACGTGGATTCCGGAACGCCAGCCCTCGACGACCCAACCAACTTGTAGCGGTCGCTGCTACTTACCGAAGTAAATCACTTCGTCCCGGGCGTAACAAATGTTCAAAGTTAGTGGAGTAAATTTACTTGACCCTTATTTCGCCCGTACTAAATTCCAACGTTTACAATGTCTCGGACGAACTCCCTTTTCGAATGGGCTGGGACGCCAAGCGTACGTCACCGGGGAATACGGCTCAAGGTGTATGGGCTACAGTATACAGGCCGTGGCGGCTTTAACCGAGTCCCAGCCTATACAAGGAACATAAGAGTCCCTTGGACCTCTTATACTGAGATTAGTGAAGTCTCTGCGCTTTGATTATTTGATAATAACATGTATAATACTGTCTAAGATATAAATTTGGGTTATAGAATTTAGAACTATAGAACTATTTTAATTTAAGTATTCTAGGCTATAGAATTATAATTACTTCAATATTCTAAGCTATAGATTAGAATTACTCAAATACGTATTATACTTCAAAGAATAGATTCAGTTTAAGACGTAATTAAAGGTATAATTCTTATTTTCAAAGGTTTTATACTAATTAGTTCACCAAATTCAATTAATTATCTTAACTAAATATCTAAGATAATTAGATTAATTTACTCTAAATAGTTATTCTAATAATCTAGAATAATAAGCGTTTACTATACACACAACTATAAGCAAGAGGGCCACCTTATTACCTTCTATATTTTACTCGTATATAATTCTTCGGTACAGAAAGCCCTTTATTAGATAGGTACTTAAGATAGATATAATACTAATAAAAGATACTAGCTTCTTTTATTTTCGTTCCTATATTGAATAGAAGTATGTACCTAGCTGCTAAAGCTGCGATGATATTTTAGCGAGAAGAGTTGCGCGTGAGCTGTACTTTGTTAAGTAATGTAATAGTCGGTGTCGCAAGCTAAGCGAGGGCGATTCACAATGTTTTGTTAGTAAGTGTGCGTGTTAGGTGAACAGCGCTTCGTCTCGTGTTTTCTGGCTCCCAATGACGCTAGTTTCAGCTTCTTCTACCGGATTTATATACACAGCTCTATTGAGAAGAAGCGGGCTGAAAAAGCTTTGGTTCGCATCCTGTTTGACTTGTTGTTGTTTCTGAGATCCAGTAACAACTCGCAACAAAGATACACGAACATTCCGTTCCCTCATTCCAAGTCAAAGGGCTTTGAGGAAAAGGGACTCCCGGGGGGGAGGGCGTACATAAGAACGAGTACTGTTGCAAAATTGGAGTAACCTTCGTTATCCTATTAGCTCTTTAATCCACGAGATCCCCATCGGCTGTTCGAGAATCTAAGTTTAGCAAAAGAAAGCGGTCAGGATTGATTTGTCTGTCATCATAGCTCAAGTGAATCCCCCGCCGATGCGCCCACATGAAAGACTCGACATCTTGCCTAATATTTTCAGAAATCAGGGCGATTTACGCTTTTCCCACAACTCCCTCTCGAACTGCGGCTAATTATTAGCATGGAAAGAGGCTTTCCATTACATTATACTCAGCTCCCAGAACGAACGTGAAGATGGTCTGGTCTTCTGTGTGCAACTACCGACGCGCTATTCACAACCCGACTTTTGGGTGTTTAATACATGTTCCAAAGCTCGTCAAGAAATGAACCGCTTCCTTTTCCGCGATCAAATGGTGATGAATTCAAGGCGAGATAACTGTATTGATGATTCGGAGCTTGCGAGATATCTCGTTGCAGCAAGGAGCCCAAAACCCATGCCTTTTCGTCCACAAAAAAGCCACATACATGTTATCTTGTCATTCCCCTACATGTTTTCCAACACTCAAGTCGATTGAACTCAAGGAATGGTCTGTTCTACAGTATAGGCGGAATTTGCAGAGAACTTGCAAGGGAAAAAGAATGACGTAAATGACCACCACTGGCCGATGTGGGGCATCAATCATAGTTATAGGAACCTAGAGTTATTCCCGTACCAGAAAAACATATCGATTACATCTTCACTTTGCCCACTCAGACAAGAGCACATTACCTTGGGGACCTTTTGTTTCGGGACTACACAAACAGCGAAGTGAACTAGAAACAATATACTTCCTTGCGGCACTTGATAATCTGGTTAAAAAAGCAAAAAGAAAAGACCCAGAAGGTACAATTTCGACGATAAACTTTTGCCGAGTCAACTCCAAGGAATTCGCCCCTTTTAACTTCGTTTATTATTCTGCGATATATTCTTCGCTCGGTCAGGATGAGCTTTGAATGATGTAGGTTGCTAATTTGTAGGATTAATTTTTTTCGGTTACATATCTTATTACAATTACCATGGCTGTTTCTTGACCTTAATAATATTGGTAATTGTAACACTTTGTGTGACTGTCTAGTCACTTAGGAGCGAGCTTCCAATTCTTCTGGGTTCGATCTACACTCATGAAAAGTCGAATTATAGGAGCCAATTCTCGATCATGAAAATATCCCCCTTTTTTAATCCTCAAACAACTTCTCATGACTTATTAGAATTGAGTAAAGTCTGGTGCATTTACATCCCAACGGCTAGGATAGTACGTGCTACTTTACTTCAATCATAGGATGATTATAGTAGTTCTCACGTGATTACTAACGCATAGTGATACGGCCCTAACATCACCATTTTTCTTTCTATTACAATGTGAAAATCGAGTCCAGGTTTCTTATAATAAGAAAGCGTGTCCCTTACAACCACTAGCACTATACAACAATGCTTATGTTCAACTTCAACGAAAAGCTTGGTTTGGTCTCAAAATCAAGGGACAGTCCTAATGATACTAAGTGTCACGAATCACGTGTTCACGTGATACTTGTCATAATAAGAGGCGCAACCCTCGACAGACACATTCAGATTTCTTATAGCAAATGGGGATCGCTTAGGGTAGCTAGGCGATCCAAGGATTTCTTCCTTACAGAAGATCATGTGACTAGGGAGTATGAGGAAGTATAAGGGAGGCTTATACTACTCTATACTACCGGAGTATAAGGAAGTATAAGGAAGGCTTATACTACTCTATACTCGGACCATACGCGGGGTATGAAGGTTCTATATAAGACTGGCACGTCTGCCATTAGATAGGAGCTTCGTGCTCAACTTAGTTATCAATCTTATCATATTAGTTTGACATCTTTGATACAAGTAACGAGTTCACTTCCAAGTGAACAACCCGATAGTCTTCTTCTTATCATAGCATACCAACCAGCGAACACCCAGCCAAGTTTAGTTAGCCAGTTTGAGTATTCGTTACACTAAGAGCGTTTCATGGGTCGTTTACGGAACGGACATAGGCGGATTAGGCACGGAATCACTAAACTTTTAATTATAAACAAGTCTCTTATAAGTATACGGATTCTTATATTAGAGGAGCTATAGTAATTATTGCCCGTAAGAGACGTGGGTAGTTATTAATTTATACATACCTCTCTTTTCGAATAAAAACTATTTTAAAAGTAATATATAACTAAAATAGCTGTATAAAGCTATATAAAGAGTTTGGAATAATTATTAACGCTTACTTTTATTAATCTAGGTATAGTAATATTTTTATTTTATATATATTAGAAGGTTAGTATAAGTTACCTTATAGTTAGCCGATTATAGTAGGAATTATAATAAGTTTAGGAGAATAAAGTATAGAGAGTAATAAGATTATAAAAGAAGTGGTTATATTAAGTTAAAAGCTTACAGAATTAAGTAGGAGGGAGCATAGGTTTTATATAGACTAGCGCGTATGCCCCTCGGCTAATGCCTAGACAAGCTCTACTATAACGGCGGTGGAGTGCTACACGTGACATACCACGTGACAGTTAGTATAATTACCCTTTGTTAAAAATATAGAGAGGAATACTTATAAGGTTTTATTTTTATTTTTATTAGCTTTTATATACTATTCCGTGATTGCCCGGTCCGCCTATGTCCGTTCAGTGGTCGTATGTATTTGTTTAAGTATAACACAGCAGTTTTCTAAGGTGTTATAGTTCCTGTACACAAAACGTTAATGTATCATTGTTTGCAACACTGCCTCAAAGACGAAAACACTTGAAGAATAAAGTTCCTTCTCTGATTAAATGTATCCTTTGAAGCAATATATTAGTCTCAGAGAAGAAAGGTATAAGAACAAGTACCCCTGGCGAAAGTAACCATCCCTACTACCTATTTACATTTCACGACTCCGACCGCAATCAGCAGAACTCAGAGTATCTACAGGCCCAGGGCTCCTTCAAATAAGACGAGTCAAACAAAAATGAATCCCCCTTTGAAACTTGGTTGTCACTTTACTTGCTATCAATAACTTTTAGCACTTTTGTAACGAATACTCAAACTGGCTAACTAAACTTGGCTGGGTGTTCGCTGGTTGGTATGCTATGATAAGAAGAAGACTATCGGGTTGTTCACTTGGAAGTGAACTCGTTACTTGTATCAAAGATGTCAAACAAATATGATAAGATTGATAACTAAGTTGAGCACGAAGCTCCTATCTAATGGCAGACGTGCCAGTCTTATATAGAACCTTCATCCTCAAGTACTATGATCTGGGTAGCCAACTCGCCTGTCGAGCTGGCGGTCCGTTTCGCTAGGTCGCCGAGCGATCCAGCGATCCAACTTAATCATGTGACCATAACCAATGGAAATCCCTGGATCGCTTAGCTACCCTAAGCGATCCCTATTTGCTATAAGAAACCTGGGTATGCCTGTCGAGGGTTGCGCCTCTTATTATGACAAGTATCACGTGAACACGTGATTCGTGACACCTAAATTCACCTAAAAGTAGTATATTCTAGGACCTTTTAATTATATTTACGTATAGTATAGTATAGTGCAAAAAACTACCAGTTTTAGATTCATAAACTGCACTATACTAGCTAGTCTAGGATTTTTTTTAAAACTATTAAAAATCGTATAAAATAAACTATAGTATACTATAGTTTTACGTAGTATACTACGTACTGTACCTATTCCCTACACTGTCTAATATAGATTTCAAGGATTAGCTAGACATTTACTAGCCTGTTAATGGAATAGAGTTTTCTCAGAGACGAATCTTAAGGTTATCGAGAGCGAGCTTGTAAGCTCGGGTGGCGTAATCTAGTAAGATAGGATTATAGTTTTCTAAGCGAGAAAAAACGTGCATATTTTGGTCGCTTTGCATAAAAGGGGTCCTTTGTTACCTGCATATATCGTGCATATAGGAACACCAAAAGAGCGATCCTACTCGCAAGGCCGCATCGAGCCCATAATACTTCTAAAACTTTCATCATTGCGGCATAGATATATTAGGTTAATGCGCTATAATCCTGTGTTTTCAGAATGTACGTACGATTATTATAGCGGGAGTTATATAATTTAGAAGTTGTCGCTCTCTGATTGCCCCCTTTAAAGTGCGACCAGCCGTGCTTTACCAGGCACCTAGGCACTCACGCAGGAACACCAAAACCATAACCACCACTCTCGCGCCCGCATCCAGCTGGAATCGTATAGAAAACACACACAGAGCGAGCATAAATAATCTAAGCCTCTAGGCTATATTCCAGTGTTCTCTCGATGCTATTACGATACCTATAGCTAGCCGGGTGTGGGCTGGCATACCGAGAGTAGGACTATGACGTACGACGTGAGCTGAGAGTATCCGAGCTCCGTGTGAGGCGCACAGCCACGCTCTAGCCACACCAAAGGCCGCACTCAAAACTACTACTCTCGCGCCCGTATCGAGCTAGAATTTCATTTAAAACACATATGAAGCGAGTATTAATTATCTGAGAATTTAGGCTATACTCCAGTATTCTCGCTATGCTATTACGATATCTGTAGCTAGCAGAGTGTGGACGTACGTAGAAGTGCGACCGTGGATTTTGGTGGGGTGCCAGGGGTGTGTCGCCTGAGCGCCTTCGCACGTGATTAACCGCCTTTACGTATTTTTCCTTAGTATTTAACTCTTAATTAAATAACTTATTATTATTATAGTATTTAACCCTTAACTAAGATATCGAATTGAAGCTCGCAACCGTATTATTAAAACTACTTATTAATAATTAAACAATTAAATAATATATATAAATATTAAGTAAACTTATAAAGAGACTATTATGTCACGAATCACGTGTTGGCATGTGATAAGCAAAGACCAGGCGGCGTCCTGACAGGTTAAGCACCAGCAACACACTCTTATAGCAAATAGGGATGCTTAGGCTAGCTAAGCGATCCAGGGATTTCATCTCATAAAAGTCATGTGACCGTCATTGATCATTGGTGATCAACTGAGCAACGCTGAGCTGGATCAGTGGGATCAGGGTGATCATAATGATCAACGAGCAAGAAGGTTCTATATAAGACTGGCACGTCTGCCATTAGATAGGAGCTTCGTGCTCAACTTAGTTATCAATCTTATCATATTAGTTTGACATCTTTGATACAAGTAACGAGTTCACTTCCAAGTGAACAACCCGATAGTCTTCTTCTTATCATAGCATACCAACCAGCGAACACCCAGCCAAGTTTAGTTAGCCAGTTTGAGTATTCGTTACATATTAGACGTAATAAGAGGGCGAGGGCGAGCCTGCGAGCCCGTCTGGCCTCGTAAACTATAATATTCTCCTTTTACTTAAGTAGAGATATTATATATATATATATAATAAATTAAGTTATTCTCCCTGGAAAGATAAGTATATATATTAAAATTATATATAATTTAATAACTATAACATTCTCTCTTCACTTAAGTAGAGACTATATATATGTATCTAAATTTAATCAAGTTATTCTATCTAGAAAGATAAATATAGACATTTAAATAATAAATAATTTACAAATTATAATATCCTCTCTTTACCAAAGCATAGACGTTATACCCATCTACCATCAAGTTCATATCCCCACTCCCTTCCCTTCCTAAACTCACCTTCCTCCCCCCTTCTCATCCCCTCACCCCCAAAACACCGCAAAAAAGCAGCATATCCGACCCTCAAATCCCACCACTTACTCCCCCCGCGTCCCAAAAGACGGCAAAGGCGGTCCCCCAGGTTGCCCCGGCAAAAGCGGTTCCGAAGGCTGCCCCGGCAGCGGAATCGCAGGAGAATTAGGATTATTCCCCGGATTTGGAGGAGGTTGCAGATTATTCGGGTTATTGCCTGGATTCGAAGGGGAACCAGGTGTTCCTTGCGGCGGATAAGGGTTTAATGATGTCCCTGGGCTGTCTGGGAGTGGTGGCGTGTTGGGGTTATTTGGATTGGGACGCGGATTTGAGGGATTGTTGGGATTTGGGTTGGGATTTTGGGGCGTGAGTGGTGGAGTGCCGTTTGGACCTGGCAGTGGTGGGCCGTTGGGTGTGTCCGGAATTGGTAGTGGTGGACCGCCTGGTGTACCTGGAATTCCTGTTGGTAGAGGTTGGGGAGCTTGCCGTGTGTCTAGTTGTCTTTTGTTGGGGTGGGGAGCGGACTCTCGCTTAGCGAGAGGTCTAGCGAGAGGCTGAGATTCGGAGAGAGGGAGGGCGAAGATGCAGGTGCTCGATGCGAGGGTGAGGGCGAGGATTTGTGAGAGAGTGAGTGGTTTCATGGTGAAGACAATGAGATTATGGAATATTCTGACTTTTGCGTATTTTGTGTTTGTATGTGGTATTTTCTACTGAGTGAGGATAAGATATATCCGAAAGACTTTGTTTAAAAACAATTTTATCCGTTTGGAAAGGAGAAAGAAAATGAAGAACGATGTACAGAAGAGGTGCTTTCAATATATACATGTCGTGGCATTGTAAGGAAGTAGCCCTTGAAACAACCCAAGCCCTCTTACGATTCTGCATGAACCACCTCGCGTGCGAACACTCAGCCTCTCTCGCCTCGCGTAGCAACGTTATACTATACTCTAGAAGCCCAAAGACTCTTATTGGCAATAAGCCTTCCCAATTCGTACTATTCCGCCTCATTTGGATCTAGAACCACAGCAATTCGCCTCGCGTGGCAACGTTAGCAAACGCTGTAGACGTTGAAGAGTTTACAAAATCCCGATGTGGTCGAAGGTGAAGCCACATACGTCCGAGAAACGTCAGACATAAATGCAATTTTTTCAGACGAGACACTCGGACAGGACATCGCATACTCGCCTCGATCATCTGCTCATCGAGCGTGCGCATTGAATACGTCAGATTCTACTTACCAGATTCGTCTGACCAGAGACCAGACCAGACCAGACCAGATTAATCGTATCAAAATTTCCCACAAAACGTTAAAGACTTTGAAAAACGGTCATGAAAAGATAAATTTCAAAAAAAAGTCTTTTAATTAAGAAAACACAAAAGGGCGAAGACTATTTAACGCCGGTTTTCCTCAATGCATGAATTACAAGGGTACAATCCCATCCATCCCATTCCATTCTCTCAAGCCTTTCTTCTTTCGGTTGCCACCACACAGATAGAAGAAAGATGAAAAGTACTCATCCCATCCATCCATCCATCCATGAAAAATCAATAAGAAAATAGAGGGCCTTGGGTTCCCACCCCAGCAACCACCAAACGCTCTAGGTATACGCATACATGTTTGATATACATTTGACAGAGCCTCTGCGCAAAAAACAGAAGCCGCAAAAACAAGAGAGCAAAAAGGCGGTCAACCCCAAATTCAATTTCCTTCCAAACTCCAAATGCACAAGACCCCTTTTCACGCCAGACCCAAATTTACCATCCTGCAGAGGCCTGCCCAAATAGGGACCCAAGAACTATCCTTCTTCAAGCAAGAAAGGTAGATGTCGATGCTCTTTAATGACTCCAACCCCACATAAAATTCACGCCGAGATCCTTTTACTTCAAAGCCCAGCTATCACAGCATTGGTGCCGTTTACTTGAGATTGCGATGGGGTTCCCAAAGCTGCTTGTGCTGCTCTGGCTTGCTGTTGTACTGCATTTTGTTGCTGTGTTTGAGCAGCTAGTTTTGCCCGCTGCTGTTCCATCATGGTCGCCTGTTCCTGCTGCGTAAGATAGGTATGATATCCCGTAGATTGAGATGGTTGTGATTGTGGTGGTTGTGTAACCTGTGAGCTGCCACTAGTCATCATGGGATTAGAGAGGTATCGACGGCTGTCTTGAGGCAAAGGTGGTGTTGGAGAAGAATAAGCAGGTCGAGCTTGGGCTGGGCTGGCTTGACTATACATGGACATTTGTGGAGAATTTTGTCGGTTAGCCATGGCAGAGGCCGCATTGTAGCGATAATCTGGCCCATTTTGTGTGGGTTGAGCTTGATGTGGGTATCCAGATGATGGGTAACGTCCATTCATTGCATTTTGTGGTGCAGTTTGGGGAACACCTTGATAATTATGAACCGGCGCTCTCAAAAAGGATTGGGCAGCGGCTGCCTGCTGCATGTACTGTTGTGGTTGGCTTGAAGGTGCATATTGCTGAGCTGGACGAGGAGCGGCTTGGCCATAATTTGGTGTGTTGTAGCCCTGTTGGGGAGGTCGGAAGGGAGCAGCAGCAGCGGGCCTTTGTACTGAGTAAGGAATTGGAGCTGCAGCTGAGGTATGTCTTTGCATACTTGGCTGAGGTGCTCGCGAAGGGGTCGGCGCTCCTCCATAATATTGGTGAGAGGGCGTAGGAGTGGGGCGAGGGGCAGAGAACTGATTGCCGTATACTTGGCTTGCCGAGGGGGTACGGTGGATAGGAGTTTGCTGTTGCTGAGCACGAGCCACATTTGCAGCACTTGCTGTAGCTAGTGCTCTTGCCTTGGCTGCACTTTCGTCCTCTTCCATAACTCCTCTAAAGTTGTCCACTTGAATTTCAATATTGGTGCTGACCCTAAGTTCCGACAATCGGTCTGCATCTAATTTGGCAACGGCATATGGAGGCAGAGTAGCGATCATCAGCGACAACTGTGCCTTGAGCATCTCGTAAGTTGCTTGTTCCGCATCGCTTGGTTTTGACGGAGTTCCCGTGATGGAAGTATCCGGAGCCGCAAGAAGGCCACCAGCTGCGCGAATAGTGGGGTTCAAGGACATGTGTCGGATTCTTTGGTAAGAATTGAGAGTCTCCAAAAGCTCCGATATGCCCTCAAGTACCTCCTCCACATCTTTCTCTTGGATGGACTTCTCATCGGCGGGAGCCAACTCAACAAGGCTTGGGTCAACAACATCCTTTTCCCAGCCCTCAACTGCTTCTTCAAATTTCTTAATGTCATCTTCACTGCTGATATTGGTTGCATCAGAGTCTGCCTTGTTTGACCCAGTCAATTCTGCGACATTTTCGACAGCTCGATTATAGGCTCGTTCTCCAGATTGCTGCCACCAGATACGTTCCAACATACCAGTTGGCATGACAGCCGCTGTGTTATCTTTGGTGGGAGCAAAGCTGCAGTATGCGCTACGGAATAAAGCATCTCGTTTTGCAGCTTCAACCTCGGCGGAGTCTGCCTCTGGAACCAAGCTTTTAGAACCACTAAGACTCAAATTTCTATCACGGTGACGTTTCTTAGAACTCTTTGGCGAAGTTGCGTTGCTGTAGTCCAGCCATTGACCACAGCTGACATTTGCGTTAGAGTAACTGGCGCTCTTATACCGTGGTTCGAAGGAGGATGGTTGGTACCAGCCAACAATCTTTTCTTTAGTTGTTGAATTTGATGAAGGTTTCGGTGGTTGAAGTGGGATGATGTTTGCGGGAGATGGAAACACGTCACCGAGGGTCGCCTTTTTGACTTCAACCAGGTTTGACGATGGCATGGGAATGATTTGTGTAGTGGTAATGCCGTTGGGTAATCCGCCTTCCCTGATGGGGGGTAAAATTTGCTTGACCTCTCCTTCAAGGTTCGTTGGGAGCTGGAAACTAGAGAATAGCTGCTTTGGCTGAGGGGCACTTCCGTACAAAGTGAGAACTTTCTTGTTATCGCCCGAGGCCGTGGTGATTTGAGGACGAGTATTTGTTTGTCGCCCGTTAATGCCATTCAAATCGCCATCCTTCTTTTGGGCTTGTTCCGTAGACATCTTGTGCCTTCTGACAAGCTCGTGTGCTTTCTTTTGAAATGCCGAAACTTTGAGGCCCAGTTCGGAATGCGCAGATCCTACTGGCATGTAATGGTTTCTAGCGGCGCTATTTGGCAGTTGCATCTTCTCCTCCATGTCTAATACGGCGGCATTCAAATCTTCTAGAACAGCATCGAGGCTCTCGTAGGCGTGAGCGGCCGCGCGCGTCAAGATGGTATTTTTGACTTCCGAGCCATCTTGGGCCTTTTGCCGTTTGGCTTGCGGTTCCGTTGAGAAAGGGCGATCATTGAGGGGTCGATCGAGAATCGAGGGTACGGTATCAAGTCTAGAAGTTCCGATTAGTCGCTATTTTTCTAAGATGAAATGCCAGATGCTAGATGTGGGGGAAAGGCCATGGTATGGTGGAGCGTCGTCAGAATGCCGTCGCATGCTTACCCTTTGAGGATATCTATTAAGTCGCGAATGTCGGAGTGGGCGGGGGTTCGTTCGTTCGATGCGGTTGTGGATGCGGCGGTGGTCTGGACAGCCTCGGTCGTGCCATTTGTTTGAAGGTCAGGAATTTCGGTGCTGTTGGCGCGTTTCCGCTTGGAAGCTGGAGTCAGGCTGTCGTGGTTGGAATCAGGCGGCTGCGATTGCGGTGATGGGAGTGGAGGTGCAGATGCGCTGGCAATGCCATTGATGGTGGCCATGGCGAAGGTGGTTCCCTTGCTCTCACTCCGAGGATTTGGATTTGTACGTTGGGTACGGGCGCGGGTGATTCGCGAGCGCGATGGCTGAGGTCGATGTGCAGTGACAAGAAGTGGATGAAATTCCCGTGACCTCCAGCTGTCTGGTGCAGTGGAAATGGCTGGGCGTGATGAGGTGCCTGAGGATGGAGACGGGGGGTTCAGGCACCTACAGAGGCCGCTGATAATAGCCGAGCCCGACAGGGGAGCAAGACCGGGCAATGACAATGGAAAGAGTGAATGGAAGTGTGATCAGGCGCAAGATGTACTTGACAGCGAACGAAGTCGGTTCACCACGTTTTTCCTGAGGAGGATCCGGTATGAAAATGCGAAGAAATACTGGAAGGGGAGAAAAGGGAAAAGCAGCCAGCTTTCATTTGGGCCGGCCAAAAGTAGCTTAACGCTAGTCTTGGCCACGGTTTCCATCCCTGGCAAGCGCGGCGGGTCCATAGCCTTGCCAAGGCCGGCGCCGGCTGACTCCGCTGCAGTGTGGGTATCGGGATCGGCATCGGTATCGGCATCGGGCAGACTGTCAGGCTGTCAGGCTGTACAAGTATGTGGGCTCTGTGTGGGATAGAAATTTGTACTCACACCTGCATTCCGTACAGACTACCTACTCTAGTACTTCCAACGAGTATTTCTACACCTACATCTACGCCTACACCTACGGTGCCCATGGGAGAGCTATCTGCAATGATTTCTGGACCTACTTCCTGCCACTGCCAATAACAATCTACATCTCCAGATCCAATCTCGACTCCCCGCCAACTGAAAACTCGTATGGCAATATGAACGAATGCAATCGGCGCGCATTTCTGTCTCGAGATTGGACAATGTCTTCTCACGCCTTCCAATTCGCCGTTCTGATAGTAGACCCAGCCCCAGCCTCGATCGATCTTTCCATCCCAATACCAGACTTGTCAGTCAACTCCGCAGACCCAACTACATCACTTTCAATTCCTCGTGCTCGTACTGACAAATTATCTTTCAGTTCCACTTGCGCTGCCCCCATGCGATTGGCATAAGGTCTTTCCACAGCAGCGCAGTACCGCTCCCCACTCCCACTGACAACGACAAAATCAAAACAACGCTACGCAAACGCAAACGATATATTTCGCCTGCGGGGGCTCTTTTTTCATGGCTCAATAAAAAGTCGCTTGCGCTGAAGCGGAATTACTTCAATCGTATCTGGACAACAATCGATCACTTGTCTATCCATGCGGTAGTCTTGCACAGATTAAATGCTAATATCAACGCTCTGGAAGATACGGTATGTTTCCTGGCAGAGAGGCATCTATGTTAATACTTATTTTTCTAGTCCAGTGAGCTATCAGTCAGCAATACAGTCAGCATTACAACCAGCAAATACGACCTCTATTTACCCAGAAATCTTCGAGGTGAAGGAATTACCGAGGAAGATATCAGTCATTGGGTATGGATATTTTCCGGCGAAAATCCGAAGGCGATGCTGCATCGCTTTCTCGAAAAGCCACCCATCAAGTCCCATGTTCTCCTGTTGAGGATTTTGCAATGGGACATTACAGATGTTCAAGATCTACGCAGAGTCTTAATCTTTGTTTGGAAACATATACTTCGGGTACCGCAACCAGACAAATTTGCTGGCATGGCGGATGCTTCAGTGCGGATATCGACGAGGAGGTCTTATAGAGTTCATGGCCCGATATCGATGGATGACCATACATTCGGACGTCTGGTCTCTCTTCTTGCACGCCATGTTCGAAAGATTTGGCCCGAAGCCATGCCCAATATTGCCTGCATGCTCATACCATATTCTGAATCGATTTTTACCGACTTGCCCGATGATTGCAGAGACGTCGACCTTCATCGCCACCGAAGACTCTGTACGTTGTATAATCGTTTCCTACGACGTTTTGAACTACCTGCATCCCTACACCCCCTCGCCTCCATGAAACACAATTGGAGTGCACAACGGAAACTTTTGGAATTGGGGGGAGATTTTCAACCTCCTCTGATCTTGAACGAGCGAAGCTTTCAAGCTATAGCTACTGTGATGGCTGCCTCAAGGAAAACGGCACGAGAGTCAAAGGTTGCGACACTTCGTTCCCGTGATTGGCCCCCATGGAGAATTGCTCAAGATGGTATGGATGCGCTGAGCACTCCCCAGGTGGATACTAGTAGGGTTTTGCTGGCCCTGGCGCAGAAAGCAAACTCAGGATATGCTCCTACAATAATTGACGCCCTTTTAAAGATAGCTGGCGGGCAAGAACTGGATGGTACCCCAACAATACACACTCGACGTCTGATGAAGTTCAGACAGAGGGCAAGACAACTTTCTGAAGGATCTGATCCGCTGGACCCAAATGTATGGGGCATGAGAATTGAGGCAACTCGAGATGTACAAGAAGCGTGGAGTGCATTTATCGAGTTTGAAAATTGCGGTGGAGTTCCGACACAAGCCACATACTATCCAATGCTTATGAAGCTTCAGTACGAAGGGAAGAGACTTGGTCATGAAGGAAGGAAGTCTAAAAATGCCATGGCCCCAGGCGATGCTAGAGAAGTCATGGCAGTTGCAAAAAACAATTATAGCAAAAGCTATCAATCCCGACTTCAACCACCTAGCTTTCTCGTACTTTATCATCGAATGGTATCTTCTGGTATTAGACCCAGTGGGAGATGTCTGAATTTCCTGATACAGCGAGCGCCTTCCCTAAGGCAGGGGTTAATTATTCTTCGAGAGGGTAAAGGAATTCCTTTCGATTCTTGGCTGTATATCAGTGGTAAGGATACTTTGCACGAAAGGTTTGACGTTGACATCCTCCCCGAGGACAATATCTTCTCGGTGGTTCATATGCTATGCCGCTTTCTGTTATACGCCGCCAAGCCGAGAGTTGAGGGTGATGCTCCAATTGCGGCCGAGGCCAAAGAAGCAACTTTCAACCCACTGCCCCAAGCCATAGCACTTGTGAAGAGAAAACTCCCTATGTTCCGACCAACCTGGTATACCCTTTTTAAAGCACTATCAAGGAGAGATGTAGTTGTTTCTTTGGAACTTGCTGGGGAGCCCGAGAACGACATTTTGGCATGGCAGCTGCTCCGGGATCTCCTTTCGGATTTTCACCGTTGCGGACTAGAGCTTGATCCAGACGGCTTTGTACACATTTGCTCTATAGCATCCAAAGCTTTTCCTATGCTAGCTACGCTTTTTACCGTAGAGGCGTCGAGCGCTCTTGAACTGCTGAAAAGGGAGTTTGCAAAGTTGGTTGATGTCCAGAAATCAGTTTACGATCTGCCACAACATCTGCATCGCATATCTGGGCACAATCTTCATCTTTACGTTCGCGTGATGGGGATCGCTGGGCAGCACGAGGAGATCATCAAGGTGCTGCGATGGACTGTTGAAAATTACGAGTATTTGCAGACGGCATCCATGGATTCTGTTAAGGAGCAAAGACACATGCGCAAGCTTTTTATGGCGATACGTGTGTTTCTTAGCAGGACGGAGTTCATGAAAGAGGCGGATGATCTGGTGGAGGAGATTCCCGATTGGGAAGGTTGGGCAAGTGATGAGGAGATTGAGGAGTATGTCAGGACGCCTGATGGGCGTGGCTAGAAATGTTGTGTGCATAGATTGTAGGATGGACTGTATGATAGGTACGACGTTGTAGAATCATGGATTGGACGATGGTCCTTTGTATATCTGGATTCCTCATGCTGTACCTCCTCGCTGTGGCCGCTGGGTAGGTAAAGTGTGATACTGGGCATGTCTTGGCGGTGTTGTGATGGTTCCTTCAGCTGTGTGCCACGAAGCGAGCTTCTTGAAACGTGAAACTTGAGCTACTATGAGTAAGCTGTACCTGTGAGAGATGGAGGGAGTAATCGGTCAGGTGACTTTAGCCATACTAAATTAGTCACATAGACGCTAGAGTAGTTTTAAGTGTCACGAATCACGTGTTAGCACGAGTTTAGCGAAGACCAGGCGGCGTCCTGACAGGTCAAGCACTACCAGAATACTTATAGCAGATAGGGATGCTTAGGTTAGCTAAGCGATCCAGGGATTTCATAGCAATTATATCACGTGACCAGTAATGGTCGTTTGGTCGCGGCGACCAGCAGCGATCATGAGGATGAAGGTTCTATATAAGACTGGCACGTCTGCCATTAGATAGCAGCTTCGTGCTCAACTTAGTCATCAACTTAGTTATCAATCTTATCATATTTGTTTGACATCTTTGATACAAGTAACGAGTTCAATTCCAAGTGAACAACCCGATAGTCTTCTTCTTATCATAGCATACCAACCAGCGAACACCCAGCCAAGTTTAGTTAGCCAGTTTGAGTATTCGTTACACTAGGGCTTATTTAACTTAAATTATAATCTTTAGATTCGCGGTTTTAACCTCTAGGCTAGGTCTTTTAGTCGGCCGAGCGCTATCCGGTTACTATATAGCGGTCTTTGTATTAGGAGGTTTCGCTTAGGAGAGTTACTAAACAAGGGTTTATATCTATAATTATAGCCTATAGGTCGAGAGATTTAACTTTCCGAGCTTTATATAATATATAGCTACTACATAGTAGAGGACTATTTGATTTCTAGCGTTTAAACTATATTTTATATATAATTAGAGGTTTTACCTCTAGGTTTTAAGTTATCGGTCCTCTTATCGACTCAGGGGAGTCTATAGACCGAGGGGAGTAGATAGAGGAAGTAATCGGTCAAGTGGCTTAAGCCATACTAAATTAGTTACATAGACGCTAGAGTAGTTTGAAGGTCCGACAGTCGGATTCTTTAATCCCCACCTCATTCCCACTTTACAACCCCTGGTTTATTTGTGAGCTGCTGTGCACAAGCTGATACCGTAGACCAGCTGCACTTGACCTGGTAACAGTACTGATCTTCTATTGCTTAGTCATCCAAAATACTAGATAGGAGACTTATGAACTTGGAGATACTCTACAGGGGAGATTGGAGCTCCAAGAACAGTCGGTGAGTGTTAGATAATCGCTCCTCGAGAGAGCTCAGCTGTACTCGTAGAGCAGAGCTACCTGGAGCTGTAGCTGTAGCTGTACCTGTAGCTGTACCTGTAGCTGCACCTGTACCTGCACAACCTGAACAGCTACGATGCTAACGTAGGTGGGTTCGTAGTCACAGGCCTCGTACTCCAGTACCTCTCCTGAAGCCGGGGAGATGCCAGCCCCCCGCTATTTCGAAGAACCGATTGCGGCGTGCAGGCGAGTCATGGTCTTTGATTGGCTGTGTCCCTGGGCTGATGGCAACCGATGGCAACCACCGCCTGCCAGTCTGCCGCCCTTTCGCTTCGTCGTCATCACGAGGCTCCTTCACCTCATCCCCGGCCATGATCATAGCTTAGCTCCGCCACGCCCCGAGCACTGCTTGCTACCTAGGTTACCTCTCGCATCTGTCAACCTCACCTCCTCCATCATCAACAACAACCCAAACCCATCCTCATCACACACTTGGGTTGATCACCACCACCAACTCCTATCCGCATTCCCATCAACACTTTGATAGTGTGCTACTAAACATACTTCGCAACCATGAAGGGTGCATTGATTACCGCAGCAACGCTGCTGGGTTCTGCGAGCGCCGGTATCCACAAGATGCCGTTGAAGAAGGTTTCTCTAACAGAGCAACTTGCCACTGCCAACATCGATACTCATGTCAGGCATCTCGGTCAGAAGTATATGGGTGTGAGACCACAGAACCATGCCGAGGAGATGTTCAAATCGTCGTCAGTTCAGACGGAGGGTAACCTCCACCCAGTTCCGGTCTCCAACTTCTTGAACGCTCAATGTACGTTACACCCTACTATCAAGCTCCTCAGCTCAACGCTAACCACGGCATAGACTTCTCCGAGATCACCATCGGTACACCACCACAAACTTTCAAGGTCGTTCTCGACACTGGTAGCTCCAACTTGTGGGTTCCATCTTCCGAATGTGGTTCAATTGCTTGTTATCTACACACCAAGTACGATTCATCCTCATCATCTACATACAAGAAGAACGGAACCGAGTTCGAGATCCGATATGGATCAGGTAGCTTGAGTGGTTTTGTCTCCGAGGATGTGATGACTATCGGAGATCTCAAGGTCAAGAGCCAACTCTTTGCTGAGGCAACAAACGAGCCAGGTCTTGCTTTCGCATTCGGCCGTTTCGATGGTATCCTTGGTCTTGGATTTGATACCATCTCCGTCAACAAGATTGTTCCTCCATTTTACAACATGGTCGAGCAAGGTCTGTTGGATGAGCCAGTCTTTGCCTTCTACCTCGGTGATGCCAACTCTGAGGGTGATGAGTCCGAGGCTGTTTTCGGTGGTGTCAACAAGGACCACTACACTGGAAAGATCACCGAAATTCCATTGAGACGTAAGGCTTACTGGGAGGTTGATCTCGATGCCATCACTTTTGGTGATTCCACCGCCGAGTTGGATAACACTGGTGTCATACTTGACACCGGAACTTCCCTCATCGCTCTCCCATCCACTCTTGCTGAGCTCTTGAACAAGGAGATTGGTGCCAAGAAGGGATACAACGGACAATACTCCATTGAGTGTGAAAAGCGTTCCAGTCTTCCAGACATGGCTTTCACTCTTAGCGGATACAACTTTAGCATCACTCCTTATGACTACATTCTTGAGATTCAAGGTTCTTGTATCTCTAGCTTTATGGGAATGGTAAGATGGCATTTCTCCCTATTTATCAAATAATTATGCTAATATTATTTAGGACTTCCCTGAGCCAGTCGGACCTTTGGCCATTCTTGGTGATGCATTCCTTAGAAAATGGTACTCCGTCTATGATCTCGGTAAGGGAACAGTCGGTCTTGCTGCCTCCAAAGCATAAGGTATCCCGCGAGGGGATGTGTTGATGAATACAAATTGGGTACGGATAGCATTGGCATTACACTAGGAGAACAAGACACTTTTTTCTTTTCTGTCCTTTTCTTTTTTTCCTTTTTTACTCTTTATTCTACTACTTCAGATTGACAGATATGGGGTCTGGGGATGGTTGAGGGGTGAGATGAAACTTGTAATCAAATCTTCCCTTTTTACCTACTCTCTTTTTTTTTCCTTTTGTTTTTTGTGTGTGTATTGTCTCGCGTTGGAAATTGAAATTGATGATCGAATATTGAGGTTTGAGATTGAAAGTTCGTGAAAGTGACAAGGAGGGTTTTTGATTATATCACGCTTGGTATTTGTTGGTGTTTCGTGAACCTTGAATGCTAGTGTATAGTTACGTGGTGAGTGAAGTGAAGTGCGTGTGATGTGAAGTGCGTGTGAAGTAAATGTGAAGTGCCTGTGAAGTAATAAATGTGAAGTGTGAAGTGTGTAGAGCAACTTAGTGAATTGAGGTGGAAAATGAGGCAAGGAAAGACGTGGGGAAAGTGAGGAAAGTGGGTGTTTTGTTTACTGGTACTTTGTGGGATTCTTTTTACTCGTTTGGGGGTTTTTTTTTGAAGCGGTGGGGTAGTGTATTTGGAATTTTTTGGGTTGGGGATGAAGATGAGGATGAAGATAGAGATTAAGATGGGGAATATATGTATATAGATGTTTGTGTAAATCTACTGAGGGTTGGGAGTTGGGAGTTGTGATTTCGTGATTTGTGGTTTGTGGAGGATGGGAGGGGTGAGGAAGGGTGAGGGTTGGGGTTTGTAGGGAGGGGGTTTGTGGGGAGTGAGAGTTAGGGAGTGAGTGAAAGGTGGGGTTGTGGGAAGAAGGGAGGGGGAGTGAGATAGGAGGAGGGGGGTAATATTATAGTTGAATTCCTATCTTAGAGAACGGTAACATACTTGAGCAGTAACCCCGAAGGAAGGAGTACTAGGAGTAGGCGAAATATTTTGTTTTTATATTTACTAAGCTTTCGTAAGCGAACCTATAATATTTGATTATTTGAATATTATATTAAGAAAAACTCGGGTATTTAGTACGTGTTTTATATAAGATTAGATAAAGATAGTAAAATAGGGTTTTTATTTATATACTAAGGAAAAGTCTTCGATAAGTATTATATTTTAAATCTAGGTATTACTAGATTAGATAAATTATAACTAAATCGTAAAGCCGGAAATATATTATATTTACTACTACTACTACTACTACTACTACTACTACTACTACTACTACTACTACTACTACTACTATTATACCTCTACCTTATACGGTTATACTACTACTCCCGTTTAAGCTTAAGCTTTATAGCCTTGAAATTTCACGTGTATACTCGCGACCCTTACTATCGCCTATACTTACTATCGTATAGCTGCTATACTCTAGCACAAATCTTGTAGTAGGGTGAGAATATGTAAAAATTACGTTTATATACATATATAAAATGTGTTTCTAATGAGTTATATCATCGGATTTGTAAGGTGTTATAGGCTTAAATGGTTATCCAGAGATATTAGGGGGAGTGAGAATCAGTGATCCTGTTGCAATGTATATATTAAGATGTCGAGCCAGTGTGTGTTTTCAATGGCAAATGGGATTAAAGACAACGGTATGTGAAAAGGTTTTTATTGAGATATGAAGTATATGTGTATTGTGAGATGGGGTATGATGTGATAATGTGGATGCCTGCCTAATCCAGAAAAAGAAAAATAGTATGATAAGAAAAAGAGCACTTGTACCCAAAAAGAATCACTCACTTACTCACTCTTCCCTCCCCTCACATACATACCCTCACTTCTTTGCACTTCTCCAATTATCTAACCCCTTCACACTCCCTTCAACTCTCCACCATGTGATTCTTCGTTTCTCTGGAACCTCCTCACCGTCACCCCACTTACCACCAGATCCCACTAAATCACATCAAAAGTTAATACATCCCATTGTGCGATTAATTTGGGTTAAGATTTGAAGAAAGGAAAAGATCGGAGAAGAGAAGGTACGTACAACAACCCTCCCTCCAAATCGTCATTACGGAATGATCATCTTGACCCTTTGGGGGACGACGGGAAGGACCGCCGTGTGAGGCGGGTGGGTAGCCACAGTAGACATGGGCGGACTCGGTTTGAATTCTGTTGGCCGGGGGGAGGAAAGGGGTGGTCCGCTGGGTGATGTGAGTTTGTTGGTTGAGATGGGCATGGAAGGGGTTGAGAGGGGATATCTTACAAGCCTGCTGTTATGTGGGGATCGTCTCGTTTGTATGCGGGAACTGGTTTTCCGTTGTTGACGGTGGGTTTTGTGCCTGCCCGTGAGGTTGCATGTAGGCAGGAACTGTGAAGGATTTGGGTTAGTTTTCATGTACATCGATGAATGAAAATATGATTTGGTGAAAGGCTATGAAGTTTGAATGAAGAAGGGATGACATGAAACCATAAGCGAGAAATGAAAAGGGGGAATAGAGAGCAAGTGATTGGGAGTGATAACTGAATAAGAGAATAATTCACCGTATGAGAACAAATCCATGATCATGTTCTCTAGCAGCCTGAGCACAAACTCGCTCTACAAACTCTTTGTAGACGGGTCCTGGGACCGTAACACCCCACTGCACGAATACCTTGTATTCTTGTGTTGTTCGAGGATTCAAGGTTACGATCCCTTCCTTCCAACCGGATTTCTTGGAGTCTTTTGCCAGTCCTTGAGGACGTGGAGAAATAGCTGCGAAGGGTTCGTCGGCGCGGAAGAGCTTCATGGTTGTCTTTGTTGTCTTGGTTTGTTTGGTAGGCGAGGAGGATGAGGAGGAGGATGGAACGGGTTTTGGACCCCGGCCTCGTAGCATTTTCGGTTAATTTTAAGGGGCGGGGATTATTTTTGGAGATTAGTTGATAGGTGTAGGTTGAGATGGCTTTGGTGTGTGTGCACTAGTTTGGATGCGGGATCCTGTGGTTTCGGAAGATAGAAAGGGAAGAAGGGAGAAGGAAGGCATTAAATAGAAAATCTGAAGATAGGAATACATGTTGAGGTGATTGGAAAAGGGATTGATATCCAGTGTGTGACTGATATCATAAGTGATAGTGGTGTCCCAGTGACCTATGTTGGGCATAAACTGTGATTGAAAGAAAGAGACGAGCGATTGAATATGGTGAAGTCCCGGAAAATCCTGAAAAGAGTACTCATATGTAAATATGATTTGTATAAGCTATAAGCTTCTCAATTGGCAAATAAAAACATGGAAAAAATGGCCTTGGGCAACAAACGAAATTTTGCCGAGGCGAGTGATTCACCCTTAAATCGCACCTTCCGATTCATGATTTCACCTGCGCGCAAACTATAAAGGCTTCGATCTCCCAGGGTATATTTCCTAACCTTCTCTCCCAAAACACAACACTACCACAATGGCGCAACGAGCTGATACTTCCTTGAAACTTGCTTCGCCTATCATGGAAGGTGCGCGACACACAGATGAGGGCGCTCAAACTGATATAGCCACAACCTCAGACCGCGAAGAGCGCGCAGAAAATTATTTGCCAGACGCCATTATCACGGAAATAGAGGATGGAGTTGAAATGGGTGTTGCAGAGGATGAAGAGTTTGTGCGAAAATATCTCCCTCCTGACAGTGATAATGTGGAGGATGTTGAGAGATATCAACTTGGAGGCTATCATCCCGTCTCTTTGGGCGATATCTTGGGCGGCTATGAGATAGTTCATAAACTTGGCTTTGGCGGGTAAGTTGACACTACTATTCGTGAGAGGATATATCATACTAATTTTTGAAAGATTCTCCACTGTTTGGCTAGGCTGGGATGTCAGTAATAAAACCTATGCCGCCATCAAGATTAACACCGCAGATGCGACAGTGAATTCTGACGATGACATATTTAAACATATATTGGAGAAAGGAGCTGATCAACCAGCCTTGAAATACATCGAGCGGCCCATTCGATATTTTACTGTGTCGGGACCTAATGGATGCCATCTATGCACTGTATCCAATATTCTGGGACCAAGCATATCGCAGCTCACAAGAGATGAAACCCCTCTGGGGATTGAAGAGACACGACGTATGGCAATGCAGTTGACACAATGTGTCGCTTTCCTTCACTCCAAGGACATTGGAATCGCCCATGGGGATCTGACAACATCCAATGTGCTTTTTGAAATATCCAGCATCAATCACTGGCCCGTTGAGGAGCTGAACGATCATCTTGGAAAGATTAGAGTAGTGAGAGTATTCGATGAAGATGGAGAACTCAATACCACGGATTTCGCCCCAGAATACCTAGTTGAGCCCGTGAACCCAATGAATCTCTTCGCTCTCAGAACAGGGAACATTAAAGTCATCGATTTCGCAGAGTCTTTTAATTTGGACAGCCCTCCTGAAAATGGCGTTGGTACACCATTCCCATTTTGTTCTCCCGAGTTGCTGGTTCACAAGAGTGCTGGGAAGGCATCAGACATTTGGGCATTAGCTTGCTCGATTTTGGAGATGCGAGCTGGTGAACCTTTGATCATGGGAATGATGGGTGATGAAGGCGAGATTTTATCCCAGATGAGATCGCTGTTTGGTCCTTTCCCGGAGAATTTGAGAGACCCTGAGGTCAATGAGGATGAGGTTTATGATGACTCCTGGACTTTGAAAACAAGGATTTTGGGGGATGAACCGATGGAGAATGTCACGACGAACGGCCCATATCATCTTCTACCGAATCATGAGAGCTTTGCCGAAGAGAGACGTAAAATTGGTTGGCTCGCACGTCTGAAGACATGGGTCTGGGGCTTCTTCAGCAGTTGGTGGACAGCAGCGTTGGAATATATTCGCAATGCTCGTCGCACAGAGGAAGAGCAAGAGGAATATCAACGTAAGGCTGCAGAGAGACGAGAGTTGAAGGTACTATATGATCTGCTCAGTGGAATTTTCAAATACGATATTGAGGAACGGTTGAAAGCGGATCAGATGTTGCTTCATCCATGGCTTTCACCAGATACAAATTTGTAAATTTTGGTTGGGAATTCAGAGGTATCATTTAGGTACAGGGTTTCAGATGTAAGATAGGGTGAAAATTGTGGTTCTTTAATATAATCTGTATTCATCAGTTTTCCTACTGTTTTCTTGTCATTGTAAAACTCGTCGTACTTGATCAGTATAATTTGTTGTTTCTGTGCCATGTCACTTTGGCATGACTGTAAGTGCCCAAAGTACTTTTCCTAAGTGATGTGCCCTCCAATTTGGTATTTTTGAAATTTGGGGGAAATAGTTGTGGACTGTTGGAATATACTAGAGCATGCGCTGGTGTTCTCTAGCCTCGACTGATCGCTTACTACTCGGCCTTTTCAGTGGGTTAGCTAGCCTTTTTTCTTAAGCTTAGTGTTTAGTTCCATATATAAAAGCCTAGGAAAGTTTGTAATTGTTTTTGAAAGCGAAATTATACCATATTGCTTCGAGCTCTATCCCTTACTCCGTAACTCCCTGGGAACTGGTAGGCAGAACGTCCTAAATAGGTTTGGCCTTATTACTCCCGCCAATCGAGCTCGCCGAAAATGTTAGAATGCTACTTGCTAAACCGAATTAGGACGTTCTGCCTACCAGTTCCCAAGGAGTTACGGAGTAAGGGATATTACGAGATTAAACTAGATATATATTAGGGCTTCTATAATTTAACTTACGCAAAGTTTTACCTCTAGTGCCTACTCTTCTCCTATTTCAGGAATACCTAGATACGCTACGTCTATATTACTTATACTAGTTCATAAGTATAATTCTCTTAGTTTTTAGAGTTACGTTTAGGAAATTTCATAGATTTACCCGACCTTTGAAATCGATTTATATAATATTACGTTTGTTTCTATACTCTTTACCTATAAAAGAATACTAACGCTTACGTTTATTATTTAAATAGGGGAGGGAAGGAGAGTAGACGATTAGCTTACGGTTTATTCATGCAGTTAGAGGTATTATAAACATGGTATAACCATGCCATGCTTGCTAAATCAGCTAATGCTACTAATGGCGTACTATATAGGCTCTTAGGGGTAATCGGTAGGTATTCGAAACCAATTACGGCCTTGGTATTGTATAATACTACTATTTAGGGCAAAAACTAGCAATTTTAGCTCTAAGTATTATAATGATAGAAAATTCTACTCGATTAATATTCGACTCGAATGTGTCAACAAGTATATACTGAACAAGCGAATAGAGTTCTGACAAGTTATACATATTCTGGGGTACGCTAATGAATAGAGTTTGATCTACTAATCTGAACCGAACAGGCCGTTACGAAGTGTAATCTGAAAGTTAGATTGAACGTGTATGCTAGGAGTAACCTTTGTTATGAAAAGGAGATGAAATGTTACTTTAAACGGATTGTTAACCTTGATATACCAGTAGTTCAAAATATATAAGACCTGACTACGAGTACTTCACATGACTACTTTCTAGCCCTCGTCAATCATCAAATAGTCGATCTAAGAACCCTTACTATCAAACCGCCAAGTCGCCTCTCTATCAGTTTTCACACCGCCCAATATGAACTCCTTCTCTACTATTATTCTGGCTCTCGCTGTTATCTCTACCTGTTCGCAGCGCCGGCAGCTAATACATGCACCGAAACATCTGCCCGGAGTGATTGTGAGAAAACATGTGCCGCAAACGTCAGTAGTCCCCGTCCCCATTTTGACCGACGAGACGTCGACTATGGCGGTTACTGACTTGTTACTATTACTTTCAGAAAGTCGCAACGAAGGTCAAATCTTCTGGATGCAACGCCAGCGGTGGAGGCTTGGGTTTTAGACATCTAGCCCTTCATGCAAGCGCGAGGCTCCGTAAACAACATCCAACCAGCCGAACACAAAGGCAGAGAGCAAAAACTGCTTAGTTATTTACCAGACGAGATTTCTTGTGTGCAATTTATGCCTGGGGCTTTTGGGATGGATGGTGGGCAGCTGGGACCGCCATTTTATACTAGAATCGTTCCTGCGCGAAACTGGCGTCGGTCAATAGCGCTTTTGAGGAGAGGCTGCACTGGATTTGGGGGAACAGTTCTAAAAAATATACCAACCTTTTTATACTTAAAAGTTCGGGACATTTCACGCATAGAATGTCCTACCTCTGTTCCAGCAACCATCTAACCTCCTTAGCAGTGTACTCCACGAGGCCTCTGCTCATTTCCAACTCTAGAAGAACTGTCGAAGAGTGACGACCACAATCTTTATACATCAATCTCCATTCTTACATTCGCTTTTGCTCTCAAAGCCCTTTCATATATCAACCTATCATTTTTCAAGAGATCTATCACCGCAAACTCCAAAACAAGCTGGTGAAAGCCCCTCGAGTCTCTGCTCCATTTCCATTTGACGTAAAAGCACAAGATCACGCCTCGAAACATCACCACCACCTAGGTCCATTATGATGGAAGTTCTATTTGAAATAGGGCCATTCTTGCCGAAGCATACACACCTGTGTGTGGAAGCTGCGGCCAACAGTTTATAGACGCGATGAGATAAAAGCTAAAACTTCCTAGCGTCATGCAACTCAAAGAAGGAGATTACTTCGAGACTCGAAGGTTGTTAGGAACACTTGTAAGATTTACTTTCTTAAAGTGTGTAGTTATGGTGTAAACACACCTTGGGAAAACAACAACAAGAAAGGCTTGATATGCGGAGAAGCATAGCTTGTATGGACTAATAGCAGCGTTGATAAATATTTTTTGTTCACCTGGGTCGTCTGTTCTTTTCCTAGTAGCCTTATGGAAAGTATCAAGTTGGATGAAAAGTCAACTTTTCTCAAGCCATAAAAGTAGGACACCTATTGTCACTAGAATTTTGACACTTTCGATTTAGTCCTACTTGATAGAAAGACAAATAAGCCTTGTTTAGTTCCATTGGGTTGTCCTCAAACCACATCCAACAAGAAAAGAGAGCTGTTGCCACCCAGAAACGTTTCTCCAGCAGAAGATAGTGGAGCGTCATGTTTGTCTAAACTTTCAAAACATTAACGTCGAAGCTATCATGAACCCCAACTTATCTAAAGCTCGATCTTATCTGCGATTCAGGTATTGTGTCCCAATGAATAAGGTAGTAACTGAAGGGAAAGCTGCGAAGACCCGGCAAAATACTTCCGAGTTAACTTGCATTTCGCATAGGCAACAAAAGGAAACATAAATTAGCCAAGGCCAATTCTACCATTATATGACAAGAAGTATCTCACATTTTAGTCCTAAGGCGGACGTTTCTCCGGTTCAGTACTGTAACCGAGCTTGATACATCGACAAATGAGAACAACAGTTGTTTGTGTAGTATCCTCTGTCTATGGCATCAGTAAGACACGTCAGATATTCAGCATGCATTCAACTAGAGTGTTACGATGGAAACAATACTTTCAAGCTGTCAATCAACATCCTTATCTAAAGCCTGCACTTGATTCGAAGTTTCAGGAGGACACCGAAAATCTGATGACCGAGTCTCGACGGGTACCTCAAGTAGATCTTTAGCCATGAACACCGTGATAGGTACATATCATTACATTCTCCTGCATTCCTGCAAGCTATGACGCAGAAACATGTGCCGGCAGTGCAGCAAACATTTCGAAATAGGTACTAAAACCTCACTGCATCACTTCATCACATTTACTGATGTCATTCGATTTTTACTTCTCTACTTCTTGAGTCTGAGAATATAGAATACCCCTGCCGAATGCAGGTTGTTCCCAAAATTTCTAATGCCACAAGTATCACGAAATCCAATCGAGCGAGATCTGCATGCAAGGCCTGAGATGGGAAACTTGATACGCTGATATTGGATCGAAATGCACTGCATCGAAGTGCATTCGGGGTCCAACCTACTTCATCAAATATGGGAGCACCACTTCTGTTTCCCAAGCCCATCTCACCCGAGTATGCATTCGAGTGTTACTTTGTGCACGCATGAAGTGGATTGCGGTGCGGCACGCCCTGAACATTAGGCTGAATGTTCTGCATTTTTGGGACTCTCGAAAAGAGGGGTGCAGGAAGATAGGATTCGAGAGTGCGGTGAAACATGACATGTTTAATATGAGTGCATTTGTTTTATTGCTTTCCAGAGTTTCAATGGCTTTTGTCCTTGTTTTTTTTCGACAACACTGTGGAAATCTTCGTGCCTTCAATTGAGGTTAAATTGGGGTCCAGTTCGCTACCGTCTATTGCGGGCTTTGGGTAGTGATACGACGTTGATCACGACATTGTCCTTGCAAACCCATGTTTGCGCGTGTCAAAAAAATCCCCGAGCTGGAAACTATCAGATAATATACGGTTCCGTGGTTTGGTATATATATTGCAGGTTCAAAGTTGGTTGGTGGTAGACCCACCCCCACACGGCAATTCACATTTAACCAGAAATGAGGGGTAGATAAGGGGGTACAAGGGTCTTCACATGGGTAAACATGGGGTTTTCACGCTAACATGCGAAATTTGCATTGGCTTCCAGGAATCTGGTTTGTTTGGCGTTTGAACTTCTGGTAGTTGGTACTCTATATGTGTAACAGAACTCCATTTTCGTGGCTTGTTAACTTCATTTAAATCTTTTCGGAAGGAGTATGATACCGATAAAAAATGAATCCAGCGGTGAGTGATCACCTGCTAGATTGGTGCGGCACACGAAGTTTTGAACCAATACCAAAGAAGATATTGAGAGTCCGCCAGAAATACATGGGCTGAGTTGCAAAGTCGGACTACTCACCCGTTGTGCTTGATGATCCGATCTGCCTTGTCGATACTTCAGTCTCAACAAAATTCATGAGTTCGAGGGATTGGGACCGGTAGTCTTTCTACGGAGGGGGACTTCCCCATATCATATTTTTGGGAGGTGATCAAATTAAAAGTTGTGCAGATGTCCCCCTAAATGGGTAGCATCATGGGTCTGATTCCCTGATCTTAAGCAGTATGCTAATTCTGGTATATGATTTGCGATTGGAGGTTGCGCGGTTCATTATCTTTGTGTAACTTGAAGCGCTGAAGAGGGTGCGCACCAATAGATGAGCTTTGAGACCCCTCGACGCGTCAGTAAATAGCGGGATGTGACTGAACCCGATGCTTTGCAGCAGTCTTTTTGGGTTAGAGGATTTTCTGTAGATCCAAGAACTAGGTAGCTGCAGCGCCACTTCTCGTTTGCTTGCTCTTGATGACCACTCGTTTTTACATGTAGTCTGTATATTCGGTTAATGATCTACTATTAGGTATCCATAAAATTACATCTTTGCTACTATAGCAAAATTGAGAGAGGTCTTGCTGAATTTCAGTCTATACATAAGCTAAAATTAGTGCCTCTTAGCCAAAGTTAGGTTATTTCAGTAAGCAGCAATGTCATATATACAAAGACTGGAGCCATGCAAGGCAAGGTTCTTTGCTGAAACAATCTTTCAAGAACACATCAAAATTAAGAAGCTCTACTTCTAGAAAGAAGCATACTTCTTATTGTATTTCAGTTTTGTCTAGTTGGAATCGAGTCAGAGATAAAGGCTGCGAGCAAACGAAAAGAAAGCAGTGCGAGCATTTTGTAGCACTGGTAGAGCTTTTTTCTAGCCACTACGTGAAGAGAGACAAAAGAACGTATCTGGAGAAAAGTGGTACTTGAAGTCAAGAGTCTTATTTCTCCAGTTAAAACCTCCTGTGAAAATACTCGGTGCGCCTGCTAGATTAGTAACAAAAATTACGAATAGCCACATGAGCAGAACCTAGATCAGAGTTTACCTCAAGATTTTGGCTCTGAACTTTTCAATTGAACTTCAGAAGACGAACATACTAAATAATGAACAGGTTTAATACAACCAAAATGTTCTTACACAAAGTATGCATATATTAATGTCGTACTAAGTATCCACAACAATACCAAAGGTATATCTGTCAAATTCAACTCAACGGTCAATTTGCTTGCAAAGTACTGTACGGCTATGCATCTCGTTCGCAAATAAGCAAGAGGTGCTTGAGATGGGAAAGGATATTATTTTCAGGCAGACAAACGTCACTTTGGCCGAGAAAAGCAAGAAAATAGTAACTATCAAAAGGAGAAGGTAGTGACTTCTATAGCTCTACGTAAAGTATGTTTATAACTGGAAATCGAGGGTTGAACTCCTATTAGACATAAAATTAAAAAGACGTATAATTGTTCTACATTCTAGTCAGATATGATACATCACTTGCTAGTCATGAGTATACTTGCTAAGCAGATATTGTGTTCCTAATAATGGTAAGAACATATATCGAGAAGCGATTATTGGAGTTCTTAATCTCTTGGTGGTTCTTCGCTAAAGGAGGCCGAGTTGTATTACATTTCATTAATTCTTTGAAAACCACATCTAGTAGTTTCCAAAGCGCTTTGCTGGTTGGAATTTCCGTTATAATCCAGAATCTTCGTTGCCCTAAGTGAAATGTGTTTATAGTCTCCAATGAGGTTGAGTTACGTGTTTGTGGGGCGGGTAAATCAGCTGACAGCGTGCGCTGCTTTTTCCCGTTCGCGACAAACTTTCCTGTCACAAAATTGTTTACCCAACAACAACGCCAATATTGACCGACATACCATTCAACATGGCCACGGCCACTGGAAAGCCCAAGTAAGTACTCTCCACGACCAGAATACTGTCATTCCTGGATTTCTAAAAAATTTAGCAGAACCTCCAGTTTAAGGACTTACTCTAAGCGCGTCAAGACCAGCTCCGAGCTCCCGCCAAACAAGAAGATACGCGTCGACGACCCTCCGAATAATGACAATGAACCATACGCAAGCATTGTTTCATCTCCTGTTTTGAAGGAGACTCGAGAGACGCGCATAAATATATCTTCGAACCAACCAAAGCCCATCGCAGAAGACGCCGATGCGCAACTGCCCCCTCCGAAGCCAGCTCCTCGGTCGAGCATTCGAAGCTACTTCAAACCTGTTAGCCAACAACCAGTTCGTGACTCGAGTATATCGACTTTTAAATCTTCCGACACGATCGAAGCACCCACACCTGTATCCCCCCCTTCGTCGCCGCCAGCCTCCCCATCTGCCATACCCCCTATCTCAGAATCGAGAAGACCGCGTAAAAAGTCTCGACGAAGACTTACGACACGAAACACGGGCTCTTTCGAAAAAGATATTTCCGATAAAGACGGCCAAAGAGCGACAGAGAAAACTGCTCATGAGATAGTTGGAAATGGGGAAGTAGGTACTACCAAGAAGAAGCGTGCCAAGGCGAATCTACAACAAACCCAAATAGACTTGGGCCAGGATACAATTTTACTTTGCCCGAAATGCGGCATGATATTTAACGTCACCAGCTTAGACGACAAAAAACTACACGATAAGCACTGTAGTGCAAAGCTTGTGTCAACGACTTCGGAAAGGAAGTCTAACAAAAGCGAGAAGGAGTTCATTTGGGAAAAGAACATTGGAGACGCCGCGCATAGAATTTGTGTCATCACAACAAGTTCGAGTAAGGAGGCAAAGAATAATGCCGTTAAGGTTCTCGACTTTACTCACGAGCAGATGGGAGGGTATCAATATGAGTTGTCAGAACTATGGTCACAAATACCGGATCCCAAAGATGCTTCGAAATTAGTTCCACGCTTCAAGCTTTACGTCTACTACATCGGGTCTCATGTTGTTGGAGCTATTCTGACTGAGGCTTACAGAGACGGGATACAAATCTGGGGGGGCCAATCGAGAAATGACGAGAAAGTAGTTGTGTTGGATCGAATTTGGGTAGACACCGACCATCGCCATCGTGGTTATGCTCGGCAGCTGGCCGACACCGTTCGACAAGACTTTGAAAAAGGGCGCGAAATATCAAAGGACGAAGTTGGAACATCTGAGCTTACGGAGTTTGGCAAGGCTTGGGCTAAAGCGTATTTTGGAGTATGATGTGTTGATTTGGAGTTGTCGAGTTCGGATGATACCCTGGGAGTGTAATTGCGGATTTGGATATTGCTTTTGCATATACGCTTCTGCTTCTTGGTAAAATAGCATTCAATCACAGATGTTCTCTGTATCGAAAGGGGGAAGTGGCTCAGTTATTGTGTATCAACCCACTCACTGGATTGGGACCAGAATGTAAGCATTGATGTCCCTTCTCTTAAAATACTAATATGCATCCATCTATATTCCATAGCATTGGAGGATTTCTTTTGACTAATTCCCACGGATCACCATTTATTTGCTCTTCTCCCACTCTTTTGGTATTGTACTTAATTGACAGGATATCCGGAACTGGCGGGATAGTCTGGAGCATTCTCTTGCCAACTCTCATGCAAGCAAAATTCATGACCAATATAGACTTTCCGAGAAATCGTCATGTATAAAGTTTTATATAAAGTTCAGTTTCGGGAAACCTGACGATGCCACACATATTGTGTGAACAACTGTCTACTACTGTAAGATTCAACTGGCTTTGACAAACCACAAACCACCAACCCTCCTTCTCCCTCGCCCTCTCCCTCTCCCCTCCCAATCAGTGCCTTTATTGGGCACGGACCACCTTTTTGATTGTGGATAACACTCAACCCTCGACCATTCGTACTTTCCGGCGATGACAACACCAGAAGGCATTCTCATGATCTGACGATCAATGGCGCACGTGTAGGAATCGCGCTTCTCCTCTTCATTCTCGGCACCGAGTGAGTTGGCCAAAGACGTCGTTCTGAGCAGCACGATGTCTGCCGCTTTCCATTCTTCGAACCCTTTCAGGCGCAAAGCCCCCTCGATCATCTCCGCATACCCCGAAAACCCCTCCCTACCGAGCCCTGCGCAGATCACCTATCAAGAAGCTGATCCCCCGCCACGATCTCCCATTGTACAAACAATTGACCACCCGAAAAAGATCACGAAGAAAGTTCGCGTTCAATCTCCCCCTCCTTCGTCCCCTTCTGCACCAAACTCTGCCTCGACGATTGGAGAGAATAGCTTTCCAAATAGCTACGCCCCATCAAACATACCACAAACTCGACAAGTGCAACAAGATGGGGAAGATCCTTTTGGTAGCGTCACATCAGACACTTCCGAAGATGAAGCAGTCGGAAATACAAGACAGGCTCCGCCAAATCCGTTCTCTAGAACATTGGAAACTATGGGACAGTCTACGCGTGGAGGACAAGGACAAGTAACACCGAGTGTGACGAATCCCGGAAGAGCTTCTCTGGATGTGGACGCATTCAAGAGGCTCTTGATGACTGGAAGCGCAAGATTGGATTTTCAGATACCATCTCCGCTCAACCCGGCGCAAGCTGCACGACTCGGTGATGGGGGCAGCGGCAGTACGGATACATCGTCAATATCAAGACAGTCGATCTTTGAAGCGCCGCCAGGCGCTCACCCCGAATCATCCCGGACTTCTCATGAACTATCAGAATTAGAAGATGATGCTCAAGATTTGACGTCAGGAAATCACTCTTCTGCTATGGGCAAAAAGGCTCCACCGCCTCCGAGTTCAAAACATGGTAGGCTTCTGAGACTTGAACTTAGAGACGATCCCCCTTCATCCAACTTTTCTTCACCAACTACACCAAGCTCAACATTCTTCCAACCGAATCTCCTACCCATACGTCAGCCTCCGTTACAAACTGACCTCAACAAACCTCTTCCCCCTTCCCCAACGCGGGCGAGCCATGATTCTGATCGTGAATCTATTTTTGATAAAGAATCTGCTGGAAAAACTCCTGAGCCTCCATCGTCATCGGTGTCAATAAGAAGGAAAACACCTCCAGCACCACCAATTGCAAGACGCCGCAGTCTATTGGCGTCAGATTCGAAGTTGGGTCGAAGTAATTCAGCAAGACTTCCTTCGAAGGTGGACGAAGAAGAGAGGGCAACCTTTGAGTCAACAGAAAATGGTAGGCCGCGCTCAGGTAGTGGAAGAGTACCTCCTCCGCCACCGTCTCGCAGGCCTGCATCCATACGAGCTTCATCGCACCCTCTGTCGTTGTCACCGTCAGCGTCCACGATGTCCCTACCAGCACCAGTTCCAGCTCCAATTCCACCTCCTACACGTGGAACTTCGACGAGGAAAACATCGTCTGGAAGACCTCCTTCAGTGCGTAGCTTGGAACCCCAACCCAACAGTAAGCGTGCTTCTGTTGTTCCTCCGCCACCTCCCCCTCGTGCTGGCAGGATTCATGCGGAGGCCCAAACTACCGGGAATCCGCGAATTGTTAGCGGTGAAAAATCCAGGCCGAGTATAGAGAGCCATGAATCTACGTTGTCTTATCAAGCACACATTGGGCCCAACGAGGATAAGGCTGGTGGACATGATATAATAGCAGACTTAACTGCGTTGCAACGAGAGATCGATGCTCTACGTACCCAATCCGAGAAGGACAAAATCACATGATTAAATTTATATGCGGGCAGTCGTTTTATAAAGGAGGTAACAGGTTGTACCATGAAGATTTTTCTCACCGCCCATTTGAGGAAAAGGGGCGAGGCCAGGCGAGCCGAGTTCTCAGAACACGTGGACATGAGAGTTGGGTTCGGACTGTGTTGTACCGGTTGGAAGCACAATTTGTCAAGTGTCCGAATTGTCATCATTGGTGGTCAGCAATGCCCCAGAGAAGGACAAAATCGTTAGAGTCCAAAGCCTAAATACGCAATTCATCATTCATGAATTCTTTGGGGGCTTTGTTGTCATACTCGGCGTGCGGTAGCTAGAGGGGGAAATGTCAAGACATGGTTACCTTGTGCGGGATCAGTGGCAGCATTTTACGGCTAGGCGACTGGAGGAAGCTCGGGGACTGCGAACAACGTAGATACGGCAAGATGATTCTACAGTTATGAATCCATTCATCAAGTACCCCATTTGCATGGTTCATGGTATCCTTTTCATTCGACCTCGTCAATTTTCTCTTAAGCCTAATCCCGAAAGGCTTTCACCAGGCTTATGCATGTGTAGCGCCTGATGAATCAATTTTGAGTAAGACATTGTGCAGCCATCATTTCTACCAACTGTTCTTCAGCACGGTATTCGGCAGTATCCGAGCTGGAAAATAATACTTGTAGCGTACTGTCGTATATCCGACTCATACTGCCTTCCATTTCGATTGTATAAACGATATAGCCGAGTGGCTCTGTTTACCATGGCCTGATGTTTTTTTTCCATGCGTTAATTTTAGGTTACAGCCGACGCTGGAGATATAAAATCTTGTTACTCTCCAAAAGGCTCCGGATCCGAGAGCGGGATCAAGGATCGATCCGGCGATCTGGGTGGCCCCTCTTTGAGGGGCACAGTCGAAGGCAACGTGAAGCGACGAATCAGGTCCGACATGGGGGATTCTCTTGGTGGGAAAGCTAGAATCAGTTGGGTGACAGCTGCATTAGACTATATAAAGCCTTAAACTCTCTTTTTGACATTCTGCATATCGGATGTGCTAGGCTGCAAGTGCTATGCATGAGTCGCTGGTGGCACAGTGCCGATATGGATGGGTGGATGGGTTGCTTTTCAGCGCAGAAAGTTGAAGGGGGGCCAAGTTGTTGGGCTCCTGGGTTGGAAATGCGATGTGATAGAGAAAGGGGATTGGGTCGGGGTCTGTGGGTTTTGGCGTTGGGCAGGCACCGAATCAGAGACGTGAAGAGGACTCAAGGACGTCCACGGCATTTGAATCCAGCTTGTTTATTGGGTTTGAATGATCATGGCACACGCTTGCTATATTGTCTAGATTCTATCACGTTTTGGTGGCACTGTAGCACACGCATGGCTTCTCCAAATTATCCACAACATGTTCCTGGCCCAGAAGGGGTCTTCTGGTGCTTTTTATATTGCAACCATCCCGAGCATCCCTCACAGCCATCACATGGCAACTTCATGGGAAGGCTATATTTTGTTAGACTCGTGTTCGGCGCCAGCTCTTTACATGTTTCGGGCCGGCCATTCGAGATATTCATATGTCAAAAAAGGGCTTACAATAACTATATCTCAGTAAGACGGCTCGGTCCAACACCAAGCGGCATGTGTGGAGAGGCACAGGAAGCGACAGCCTGGTGATATCCATGCTTACATGTTTAAGGAGGTGCTTCCTTACAAGAATAATTCTGTCGTCCGTTGCGACCCGTGGGTTTCCGAGAAGGATGTCTTGTCAATATGAAAACAAGTCCACATAGGCTGATCTGAATTTCTTGCCCTTCCCAAAGACGGCAAAACATTGATCTCGGGCTACACCACATTTCCCTTCCTTCGCACGAATACTTCCGTAACACTATGGCTGCGGCCGCAATCTGGCTCGGAATACCAAAAGAGTCCCTCACTCGGTGGAAGATGTGGACGTCGATGTTCGATGCGGCGGTCGCTATTGGAGGAAATTGGCCCTGGTACAGGTAGAGGGTGCTGGATATGCTTCCAACGGCAGAGGCCCTGATCCTGCAACTCAGCAGCAAACTGGGCTGCATGATGAGGTACCAGGGACCGTATATAGAGGGTGCGTGCCTTGGGAAGAAGCTCCGTAATCAATTTCTCTCGAATCTGCAGGGCGCACGTCTGGTTGGGTCTAAGAAAGAGCTCGCCAACTGCCAATTCTAAACAATAATACTTGTCAATTCAATAGAAGTCGTCGACCTTTGGGTTTTCCAATGCGCACGGTCGGTCGGGCTACCTGGTACCCGTACAGCTATCGACTCACCTAGCCAGCCAGCCAGCCAAATGTGTTATGACGATTTCCCTGTGGGCTTTATCCAGCGGGAGCATGCGCGAATGAGCGGTCGATCAATGCTCTTGACTCTCGCACCACGAGCAAAGAAAAGGCTTGGCTGTGGATGGCGGGCATTGTGGAGTTTTGCCGAGCGTGAAGATGTCCATCAGGGGTTTGCTCCAGGGAGAGCCCTCGTCCAAAAATGTGCTGTGTGTCAACTCTTTACGAACCGCAACTCTATATCAATAACAGAGCTATACAAGTACTGTACTACGTACTTCTTCACCAACCTCTCGTCATCTGAAGGCAAAAATCTTCTTCAAGCATTCGAAAGCATAAACTCCGTACTCGCTCGCGGTGGCGGAGGGGTACACGTTGGACTATATACACGATTTGTTATAGATGGCGTTGTGATCTGGATAACGGCTTTTAGGTTTCTGATTGGAGCTCGTGGCTGTGAAACAGAGGAAGCTCTAGATTCCAGATGATCCATATCTCGATAACATGGAGCCATTAATTCATGCAAACCCCAGATTCAGACCAACAAAGAAACTGACCTCAATTAATCATGGAATAAGTGATAGGTTACGGTAGCATTTATTACCGGTGGCCTAGCCAGCCCATCACCATCAATCACCCCTCGCAGGGCGTCCATGTCAAAAATTTCGGCCACCGCGCCAATGGCAAGCGTCTATCGCACCCAGCGAGCTGGATGGCTCGTTCGTCGGGTTGCAATGGGACGGGTGCCCATGGACGATGGTGATGGCTGCTTACTTACCTGACCCTATTGAGTTTCTTTTTACGTGGAGCTCCACCTTTTCGTGGAGTGCTACGTTCAATCGCTACAGTACACTTTGCTTTCCTGTTCTGTACAACATCAAGTTGGGTTGGGGATGGGATGGGATGGGATGGGCAAACGCCATTCAACCGAGACAATTGGTAACACAGAGGGTACACAAACAGAAACAGAAACGGTCGCGTTCCTTTCTTTCATACGAGTACGAGTACAGGATCAAGTATTTCCCCCTCCTCACTTTTTTGTGGAACGCAACGCCTTCCACTGAGTTCCTTTTTCGGCTCAGCTCCCGAGAGGAAGGACGCCTTATGGGAATTGACGGGGGGTTTTTTCGCCCAAGATAGAAAGGAGGGGTTACCTTGAAGATGATTCATCGGGGAGCTTTTACAGTAGAGCTAGTTCCTCGAATGTGTAATCTTATGGAATCCTTTCGTAGATTCTTGTACACGACATACTGCTATTATTACTTATATTGAAATTATAGAAATGCATTTAAGGACAGTATACTTCAATATTAAGGTTAATTGGCTTCTGGAGAGCTGGCTGGAGTTCATTTCGTGTTTTTATAAGACTTTTTGTAGTTACTAGATGTAATGCTGTAGTAGGTGTCTTATACATGATCACCCCCCTCTTCTGTGAATTCGAGACCAATGAATGTTCTCTATTCTGTATCTGTGCTGAAACTCAATCCTCGTCGAACTATGGCTCCCCGCTGACATCGCACTCGCATTTCCCGCCACCAGAACCGCAACTGAATGACTTGACTTTCTATTATCATAGAATCTGTAAATGTTGATAAATCAAGTGGGTAAGAGCGAGGGACTAACATTTTTGTTATATAATGCCTCGTAGGCTGATCGGTCGCATGTGGGTGGCCCTGGGATAGGTTTAACAATCTGTGCTTCGGCCGTTAGTAAGGCGATGCTAAGAGATATAAAGGTTAGAGTAAGGATAATAGTAAAAGATTTCATAGTTACTTTTAGAGATAGTTTATTAATAGTTATTACCCGGAAAACAAAAAGCAATAAAGTAGGCTTAGTAAATACTTAGATAGGTTAGGTATAAGGTTATATATATAAATAAATTATAGAATAAAAGAAGGAAAGAAGATTTATAAAGGTTATTATAACTTTCTTTTATACTTAATCTAATAGAGTCCTAAAACTCTTTACTTATATTATTAGATTATACTAAGATAGCCGAGAATGATAACCTCCCTCCTTGTGTTTAGGTCTGGTTACTTCGAAGTATAATGCTTCTTGGTTTGCTTATAATAAGGGAAGTGGGTACGCCGCGTTCCGAGTACCGAAAAAACCAATGTGGTCTTATTATCAGAATACAGTACACATAGCGCGCAACGCGAATGTAGCAAACACTCGAGTATGTCGAGCATATATATATATATTGAGTTTAGTCGTTAAGAGTATTCCAATAACCCTAACCTGTAGCTCTAACCCGAATCCTAACCACCAGGGGACGAAGTAAAAGGGTACTTGATTTAAGGATTGCTAACACGCTAGTAGGGACGGTAAGAATACGACAACGAGAATATAACAGTATGGATAGATGGGAATAGCTTCATGTGCTAAGCTAAATTACGTAAGAATCAAGTGGGGTTTCCTGTTTCCTCTTCGAAACAAGGCGTTAACGCGGGGGAGTCGACGAGACATGACGGCTAGAGGAAGAAATAAGAAACCTCTGAATTTCTTCAACAAGCAGTAAGATTGCTTTTGCCATCCCATCCCATCCCTTCCCCCACCAAGCCCGTTGGAGAATCGGGGTCAACCACACCGGCTGGGATGGAATGTTTCTTTTTTAGAAGCAAACACGTCCAGTAAATTTAGGTTACTCGTAAATTACTTTTTGAATTCTCCCTCTACGTAGGCAGATTGGATACGTGCTTGGTTCTGCACTGCACGCTCTGTGTGCTGCACCGTGCTGTGGTTGCTGATATTGGCGAGAGGGCGAAGGCGAAGCTAGGCGAAGGCGAGGGGCACCGGAGATCAACCTTCTTCCATGCCTTGTTTTTCTCAATGCAACACCACCACCACACAACCACTTTACTCTAACCTGCGACCGAGATGCTACCCTGACTTCTGTGTAACCGTTGCCGTATTTCCTTCGTATCATTAGCGGGACGGCGTCGACGGATGAAGCCCAAACCTGTGCAACTTGTGAAAGGCCCAAGGCCGCTCGGAAAACAAACATGGGACGGAGGATGGATCATGCTCAAGCTCATGCTGCTGCTCGTGGGAAAGTGCCCACATCGCTCAACACAACATGAACTGTGCCACTGCCACCAACCCGAGGACCGTACTCCGTAGACCGTAGACCGTAGACCGTAGACGGCCAGCACGGCTTGGAAAAATCCCACATTTCGGATGATCGTCACACTTTACCGATAATGAAACTTTTCGAGGGGGCCATGGCTGGAGCATTATTGTGGTGCGTGTCCATCAGCGTCTCTCGTCCAAACCCACAAACTTTCTCTGCATTGTCTTGGAGTGACGACTTCACGATCCATTGTGGGGTTGGTCTGTCCACTTTTCCCGCAAGGAGCTGGTCGTTGCTTGACTCGAGCTTGAGCCACCTTGTTTTTCTAACATGCACCTGCTCGCTAGTCTCGAGTTTGTTGCTGCAAAAACCAGAACTAGCGCCGTGTCACTCTGTCACTCTGTCACTCGGTTTCGTGCCGTCGTCCTTGTCTTCTCCAGCCCCATGAGGCTAGAGGACGTCTTCTCTAGCGGGTGCCGACTTCAACATCAACCCGTTGGCGATTGGCGAGAGGCCAGTAAATACAAGGACACGCCCGGAAAGGCGAGACTTGGAAACACCAACTCCCTCGCCACACATTCCAAAGCCACCTGAATGAGCAAGGTCCGCATGGGATTTTTATTGATATATGTTGGGAAATCGAATTCGGACCAGGCAATCAAGTGGCTACGACGCTGCGCTTCGTACTTGCACAGTAGCTACGGAAACTACCGGGTATGGCACTGGCAGTCTGGCAAACGTTGTAGATTCAGGAATAGGCCCGGGAGTTGGTAAATAAAGTTTACAGAAGCATGAAATGTTGGTCTAGCTTCGTCTAGCTTCGTCTAGCTTCATCTAGCTTCGTCTAGCTCCTCTACGAGTTGTTGGACAGGACGGGAAGCTAGAGAAGAGGATCAATCGGTGTCGTTCCGCTCTTTTTCTCGCAACTTTATTCCCTTCTCCTCCACCTCCCATTTTTCTACGAGACTCAGCCAGCCTTTGCAATCGTCATCTTCCTACCTATCAAAGTCTAAGAAGTGGGTTGTGGCGGGCAGCATCGTGGAGAGAATGGGATCCACGACACTACGGGCAGCACCGGCACGATCTTGGTTTGATGTGCCGCAACGAGCCCTCCGCCAGATCGAATGCATAACCATAACCGAGCTTGATTGATAACTTTCGAATCTGATACGGTTGACGAAGAAGTATTTCAACTAGATCCCCGGTTATCCGGGATTTCGCTATCGAGGAAAAGTCCAGCCTCTTTCCTGCATTACATCGAGGTGTACCATGGCAAGGCAAGACTTTGATAACGAAGCCGGAGGTTGCTGAATCACGCAGATGATGTCCAGGGACCGACGACTTTGGTAATCCTCTACCTAGTGGTAGTGAAAATGACATATTTGGCATGCATCGATTTCCTGGGTTCAGGGACTCTGTAGTAGGTTATGGATGTACGAAGTACGATTAGGACTGGCCATGCCATGCCATGGAACTTCTCTTTCGGAGGAAAGAAAAAGACCCTGTCAGGAGGCCAGGCCAGTCAACTTGTCAGCAAGAGTCTCCAGCTTCGCCTGCCCCTCCCGCCCCCCAGTTCCTCCTCATTATTACTTCCCGAATAGGCATAATCCGTGTTTACATGGGCACCCTGCAAGGTAAGCCAGACGATGTATGCACAATCCACACCACCTTCAAGATCCTTACCCCTGCCATCCACCCCCCTGCCTGACCAAATCGAGATGCACGTCTGGTCGCGGCGTGAGTTGCGTAAACTAATATTACCATCTTGAAGCTCTCCTTCTTTTACAACTCTTCCGACCTTCTTCCACTCATTTTCTCGACCTGTTGGAGGATTTTTGGATTAGAGGGAACTCTCGCCGGATGGTATCTTCGACTTTCACCACTATTGAATTCGAAGCCTAACAATGGATCAGCTATATTCAATAGGTGAACCGGAAGTTTCGTGGTCCCCCACTACCACACCAGGCTCCGATATCATCGAAGAGGTCGTACAGCAAACGCCTAGACGACCTCGGCTCTCGACCGCCTTTGTTACACATCGTATGCGCGATTCTCCTCGGAGACAGTTTCGGATGGAAGAACGCCTTAGCTCGTGCGGAGACAAATTATTCGGAGAAATCGAGTTTACCATGATGGAGTCGAGAGGTAGTATAGACGGGTCCGAGTCGTCAGCGTCAGCTTTGACCATGATCACCTCGGCAACTTCGACATGTACCGATCCATGGAGTGCGGGTGGTTTTGTGGAAGAAGAGGAGGACGAAGAACCCAATTGGGACCAAGAAGACGATGTGGTGGTGATACCGAAATTGGAACCCATAGAGGAGGATGTAGATATGACAGGACTTTCGGAAGTGAAGGAAACAACGATGCCAGAAACAGAAACGCCGTCAACGGGATCGACGCCCGTACAGACGAAAAGACCTCGTGGCCGACCTCGGAAACATCCTAAACCTAGTGCCGAAGCACAAGCAAAGGTTGCCAAAGGGAGGTCGAAAACAGGATGCATCACATGTAGAAAGAGGAAAAAGAAGTGTGACGAGGCAAAACCTGGCTGTAAGTCCCAGCAGGTGGTTCTCGTTCTTGCAACACGCACTGACATTGCCAGGCATGAACTGTGAAAAGAACTCGGTACAATGCGAAGGCTACCCAGCCAAGACCATCTGGAAGAGTGGCAAAGAAAAAGCGGAAGAAGGTATGGTCATGAAGACATGCACGACGAAGATTGAGGAACTGACCGCATCGACAGCCCGATTACGCAGGGCCGGAAGCTACGCATTGCCAAAGATTAATTTGCCCCCTATGATCAATGGCGTTGAGACTGAAGGTGATAGGATGTTCTTTCAGCACTACATCACTCGTCTCAGTCTTATATTTACGGTCGAGGGGGAACAAAATAGTGCCTTCAAGAATGTCTTGCTACCGATTGCTTTACAACATACGGGTTTGATGCACTCAATTCTTGCTCTCTCTGGAAGACATATCGATTATCAATCAGCCTATGGTCGTCAAGTCCTCTCACAGCACCCCAATATGAATGTCCAGATTCTCGAAGAACGTTCTCAATTCCATCACGATGAGGCGGTAAAGGATCTAATCCAGGAGAAAAGAGAAGGAGATGGAAATGTTTTACCCGCCACTTATGGCCAGATCTTGTGTCTGGTTCTTCAAACATTATCAGATCCCAAGCCCAACGGTCAACATCGATTCCATCTGCAACACTACCAAAGACTCATCCAGGAAAGGCCACCAGAGGATACCGACTTCCTCAAATTCATCCAAGAGTTTTTCCAATATCACATCTGTGCCGACGAACTCATCGCCCTCCCTCCCCCTGCTGCCACTCGAAATGTCTCTTCGGACGACTGGAATCTGCCCAACAGTGTCATCCAACCAGCAGCCGTCCGTCTCTTGGGAGTAGCCGACGGTCTCTTCCTCTACATGTCCAAAATCACAAACATCCGCAACCAGATCAGGGATAACATGGAAGCTAGGAAAGACCCTGTTGTAGATTACACGTCCCTTTACCGAGCAGCCGAAATCGACGCTGGGATCAGAGACTGGACACCAGCATGGCCAGAAGGAGATACACGTGATCGAGCCGGACTCCTCTACAAGCAGATGATGTGGGTTTACCTCTGGCGTACTATCTACCCCCCAAAGAATACCCACTGGCAACCTGATACACGAATCACCAAAGCTGTCGACGATGGCATCGTGCTTCTAGGGAGTTTTGCACCTCGCGACCCGAGTCAAACCTTGATCCTTGCACCCGCCTTCGTGATCGGATGTGCAGCATTCGAACCCGAGCAGCGGGAGCCAATTCGAAAGGCTATCGGTATCGTGAAAGCTTATACGGAGTACCGAAATTCTGATACGGCCCTCGAGGTTCTGGAAGAGGTATGGCGTTTGATGGACGTAAGAGACGAGCGGAGTTGGGACTGGCAATCTATTGCTCATCGCATGGGCATGGACTTTTTGGCTACTTGATTCGTCTCACTTGGGCTCGACTTGGACTCTTTATTGTGCTTGTTTTGTTTTTGATACCCCACTCCCTCCATGTATGGCGGTGCCCCTCGGCGTCTCTCTCTTTCATGTTTTGATCTTTTCACGCTATTACGAATCTCTATCCCGCTGTGTATACACCTCGCACCACATTACCAACTCGACTGGGGTATTTTACGATCGACATATATGTTGTTGTCTTTTGGGAAGGAAACGAAAAGAGAGGGGAAGAGACGAGGATTTTGACTTATGGATACACATACACCTGATACGTTTATATATATATTGCGTTATATATATATATATATATATATATATGGGGGAAAGCAGTGGTTGAGTAGAGGGTTGTTCATGAATATGGTTGATATATGCATATATATCTCTCATGTATCTATGTTTCTCTTTTTTCTCTTTTTCTGACGAAACAAAGTCTCTTTTGTCACTTAGTTTGCTTTAGGGTTAGGTTAGGCTGTCTGATATTTTTGGGAGGGGATGATTTTGCTTATGGCTTTTCCTTTTTGAGTAATTTGGTTTGGCTGGGCGGCGGCTCTCTCGATTCCTGCAACTTGGTCTCTTTTTTTGTCTATGATACCATCACTATTGGAAAGGGGGTGGGGACTTCTGCTTCGTGGGCGGCCTGGTTTATCTTGATAGTATGCGGCTTTTTTTTCCTTCTCTTTTCTGGTTTCCTGTTTTGGGAGGGGTTCAAAGGTGGGACTGGGAACAAATGGATGGGTGGGCGGCAAATCTTGGTTCAGAAAATTGTTGGTCTTTTGTGTGCGAGCGCGCGGTTTCTTGTTATTTACTTTCTGATGTTGTTTTGAATTTGGCGTGTGTTTTACTGGTGTAGATAGTTTGGGCTTTGGCTAAGTGGGAAGGGGGGATGGGATGGGTATGGTTGGATTGGAATGGAATGGAATGGGGTGAGGTGAATGGAGTATTTAGGTTGGTTGGTTGTAGTACATATGCTTATTGGATGTCAATTATTTCTGCTATTACTTTACTTCTCGAATTTTCCTCATGTTGTCTTTCTGTCTTTCTGGCGTGACTTCGAAAACAACTTCCCTACCCAAATTGGCATGTAGAAAAGTACCAAAAACCACCCACCCACTCTCAACCAACTTTTCCTTCACAGTATGTATGGGTTCGTTCAGGTTTCGTACTCGTATGAAAGTTATGGACCTTTGTGCAATTCTGCCAAACAAACTGCCCCGAAGTACATCTCCCTAGCCTGGGTTCATTTCCGATATATACATGGGGATCCTCTTTTAATTCTCCTAAATTCTCCTAGCATTGGCACGTTCATGGGAGTATCATCCGAGGGACCGAGAGGGATCCATAAATGGGCCTCCCCACCTGGCTCGGAAGGGAGCAGCCGTCGAGTGTGCAAAGTTTTGCATGCACGGATCGTGGAGTACATGAGGTCATTTTTGACTTTGGACGATGCCATTATTGTGGAGTTTTTTTTNTTTTTTTTTTTTTTTTGCGGGAGGGGGCGAGGGGGGTTCTTTTGAGTTATGTTGCGGGCGGGTGAGATGGGGTTGTGTTCTTATTTTTTTTATTTTTTCTACTTTTTTATTTTTTGACTGGAGTAGGGGTGTAGGGATTGTTACATGGTGGTACGTCGTATCTTGTTACAGACAGTTGTCAGTGGGCCCCTGGTAAGTCAAAGTTGTTGAGGAGGACAGGACCCCACTATGTTGCTGATAACTGTCAGACTGGGGATGAGTTTGGCGTGTTTGTGGGGTAGTCTGTACGCTCCGTAATTTACATTACATTAGGTCTGACTGTCGTGACTGGTTCCACCGAATCTGTCGTATAACTCTCATCATCGTTCTAGAAAACCCTTTGGAAAGAGTCGCAAAAACCGAATTTCCAAGTTGGGATATCTCGTCAATATCGCCCTCGGGTTATCTTATACAGCAATGCAGAGGAAATCCTTGGGAATCTTATTTGGCTAAATTCCTTGATTGCCCGAGCTGATCATGCCACGCTTAGGAAGAACAACCGAACATACAGGGGGCGTATGAATCAGCCATGAGCACCAAGAGAGTATACCTAGGTAGTATCCAACCCAATCGGAGAAACAGACGAAAAACCCCACAGAAAATCACATAGATGCCCTAGAATAATCTCATCCTCGTCCTCGTAAAAGCTTAGACCATTTGATTACTCAGAAGGCAAAAAATGATAGGGCTGGGTATCCAAACATGGCCATCGGGCCTCGCCTCGACCAGCCAAAAGAAACTACGCAACAAGCCAGGGAAAAAGCCACCGTCAGATTGCTTCCCCCCAAAACGGTCCTGCCCCATGTCAATTGGGGGCGTTCGTTTACGTGTATGTCAGCAAAGCCTCCCGTCTCATTTGTAGGTAACCAACCTTGCGTTGCACAGCATACTTTGGTAAAAATGCACAAGTCTGGTACCGTGTAACCAGTTAGCGAATCGATATTTATTGCTTTCTTGAGTGGCTGGATGGGGAGTGTGTGGTCTATCGGTTCTTCGGGACTGGAGAAGCCAAGAAGGTTCCCCAACTGCAGTGTTCTGAGGCTGCTTACTCGTTACATATGACCGAGTTGGGCTTATCGGGGGGTTTTTTTTTGTTCTCTTGTTCGTTGGGGTTTCGCTGGAGAGCTCTTCGGGGGATTTCTAGACCGGGGATTTTGGTGAGGGGTGCGCGCTGACGAGTTCTGGTTTCTCGCTTGGGTTTATTGGATGGTGTTGGTTTCATGTACTGGACGGTCTTGGGAAAGGGGATGGACGATGACTGCTGGATGTATGAATAGGGGGGGTTGCATCGTGAAAAGCCTTCAAGGGGGTGCGGCTTCACTCGGGAAAATTTGACGGGACGATCGCGCAAGGGAATACTACTTATGGATCTGACATTTCCCTTTTTCAATTTTTGGCTGTGCATAGATATTATATTTGCTGTTGGTGCTTAGTGTATCGCATTTCTTGGAGATATTTTGTTGTTGTTGTTATTCTTAGGGGATATATTGGATGAAGGAGTATGGTACTCGGGTTCTTTGGGCTTTGAATCACTGCCAAATGAGTCAATGATGTGGTGAGCTTGGTGTTGAGAAGTGACTTGTTTGGTCACATGCTACAATTGTTGGGGGTCTTGGTGTTGGATGGGATGATAGGTGTTCGAGAAAACAACTTGCGGTCAAGCTTACTGGTTTTTTAGTTGGTGAAAATGCACTCAGTCATGAAAAGCGAGAGAATTGTGTTGGTAATATCGCCACATGATTCTTATCACAGGAGATGATCCAGCAGTTACTGGGTGTGGTGGGTAATTGATCCTAAGAGTTTTACCACATAACTTGACAAACAAGTAGCAGTTTGTAAGCGAGAAAACTAAATTATTGCTACATGTCTTTCTTGTTCTTCATGTAGATGTCCAAAGAACGCAGTTGGGGTTTCCTGACATCAATTAACAATCACTTACGTGAAGTTTCGAAGTCATGATCAGGAAAGATTCTCATAGAAACGAGTCCATAAATAGTCTCAGCCTGGTGGTGCCACGGTGGGCATGAATGGCAATGCCGTAGCTAAACCCCAACTTGTTGTTCTTATTCTTCAGTTGATAGTTTTAATACAAGTCGTTGAACTGATGAATCTCCAGACTTGATTCTTTGTAGCATTCGATGATATTCAGACAGCAAATAAATCATTCTAGAACATTACAATGTCCGTAATTGATAAAACAATATGGTTATAGGTCGCAGAAAGCCAGGCTAGACCAATCGCCAATAGGATCTGAGACCTCAAATAAGCGAAGATATCCACTCCAACAATATTGCATCAACACATAGGCACTCAGTTGATCTGGTGAAATTATTGTGAGGTGGTATTTTCACAAAACGAAGAGTACACATCATCTGCTTTTGCTGGGTATGTATCTACCTGTTCTTCCGTGGGTTGGACGGCACCGTTCAGAAGGATCGAATCTGTCTCCTTGAGACAAATATACAGAGAACCTTCACGGTAGTGTCATTGAAAGGTGGTGAAAAAGAACCTATAAAATGAGTAGCTACTTTAAAATAAGATTTAAATTTAATTTAAGTAAAATTTACCCCTCTTTCTTATATATCTAATAACTATATACTAATTTCCTATTTAGGATTAAGTCGAATTCTAGACTTATTTATAAATACTAAGGATTCTACTTCTATAACCCTTTAATACTATTCTTCTATATATATAACTTAGATCTCTTTCTTTTAGTTCCTCGAGGACCTACCTCTATTACTTCTTCTTTTATATTATATTATATCTAATAAGTTAGCGAACTCGTAGAAGCTATACTAGTAGCGGCCGGAGTCGGTATAATATTTATAGTAAGAATAGATATAGAATAAAGTCGTTAGGGTGACGGTTCTAACCGTCACCGTTAGACTTTGAAAAAAGAGGGAAACCTAGGAAGATTAGATAGGGATAACGGTTATTTTACTCTTAGAGTCCTTAGATTATTAAAAAGTTCTTTAACCTAGTTATTATTTAGTAGATAAGAGGGAAACCTAGGAAGATTAGATAGGGATAACGGTTATTTTACTCTTAGAGTCCTTAGATTATTAAAAAGTTCTTTAACCTAGTTATTATTTAGTAGATAATATAGTATTTAAGTATAATTTATAATAGATTAAGTAACTAGTTTAATAAGAGATTATAGTAGACTTTCTCAGATAATCTAATTATTATCGAGTAGTATAATAAGAGGAGATAATATAATCTATTAGTTATTTAGTAGAATAATAGAAGAGGAAGAAATAAGTAATAGCTAGTAAAACTAAGGTTCTAGAGATAATTCTAGCTCTTTATCCTTTATAAGTACCTTATAATTAGTTCTATAATCTACTCCTAAAAGATTATTAATTAATAAAAGGATTAGACTAGGATTAGAATCCCCTTTAAGAGCGTAATATTTATTTTAATAAGTAGTATAAAGTAAAATACCATAAGTTATAACTTATCGTATACTATTATTTTATCTTATAAATTAAAGCTCTATTAGTACTAGCAATATAAACCTTTTATCTACCTAGATAATATTCGATTAGGTTAGTTTATAAAGTAGAAGCGTATTAGTAGAGCGGAACGTAATATAAGCTTAGTTAAATAAATTTATAATCTTTATATAACTATTAAATACGTAGGTATAATATAAAAGAGTCTTTGTAATAGAAAGAACTATAGAAGCTATCTAAGATAAATCCGGAATTTTATTAACTTTAGCTATACCTAAAATAATTAGTATTATTACTACAATAAAGTATAATAAATTATAAACTATAAACCTTTTAAATAGAGTTAAATCTTTACTTAATAATAAACCTACTATTACTTAAAGCTGGTAGTTAGAAACTAACTAGAATTAGCTTTCTGTAACGAATACTCAAACTGGCTAACTAAACTTGGCTGGGTGTTCGCTGGTTGGTATGCTATGATAAGAAGAAGACTATCGGGTTGTTCACTTGGAAGTGAACTCGTTACTTGTATCAAAGATGTCAAACTAATATGATAAGATTGATAACTAAGTTGAGCACGAAGCTCCTATCTAAATGGCAGACGTGCCAGTCTTATATAGAACCTTCGTTCTCTGTCTAATCGCTTTAGTCGCTCGCCTCAGTCGCTTCAGTCGACAGGCGACTCAGGCGACTGAAGCGATCATGGTCACGTGGTACTTTAATCCGACGAAATCCATGGATCGCTTAGCTAGCCTAAGGATTCCCTTCTGCTATAAGAGTTATGATAATGCTCGACCTGTCAGGGCGCCGCCTGGTCTTCACTATCTCCCGTGGTAACACGTGATTCGTGACACTTTCTTTTTTATTTCTTTTTATATAAGCTTTTTGCTATAAATTATATTATCTACTTATTATAAGATAAATTCTCTAATGGTATAAGAACTTAATAAAATACTTTATAAAAGTATTCGAAAAGAGAGGATAATTTAAAGTATTATTTAGCCTTTCTATCTACCTTATAAATAGG